GAACAAATTCCCCATTATTCGTAGATTCTCAGGTGATCTATTATTTGATTGGGTTGCAATTGGATATGAGGTCATTTCCACATATGTCAGAGCACATGAAGGTAAATTTTAATTATTAGAATAGAAATGGAAAATATGATAGAAGAATTTCCAATTAATGTGACTTTGAAAAAGAAACTGTCTAAGGAATCCAAAGAAAATCGAACAAACGCTGAAAATTTCATTGAGGGATATTTCTATGTTAGTTTTCCTGAGATCATCAAATTAATTTAAACAAAAAAATCAGCATAAGGATGTTTAGCCAGTTAAGGCAAGTATTTATTAAGAAAATATGAATTGGGAGAATTAGATGTAATAATTCAATATTAATATTCTTAGTTTCAATAATATTAGAAGTTAAAATTACAATTAAATAATTTTGTTTGTAATGTCGAGGACATTAGACCTATTTGGCCACAAATATCTATACATACTAAATTAAAAGTTCTTCCATTATTCAGTGAATTCAATGATGACTTGCTTAAACAGTTAGCATTATAATCCAGAGAGCTCTTGTTTGATAAGGATGAATGCATCTATAGGGAGGGAGACTTAGCTAGATATTTCTACATTATTACAAGAGGACGAGTAAATGAAACAAGTTCAGCTTATATAAATTACTCAATTTCTAAAGATATTGGTTAATTTCTATCATGCCATCATATAGTATTGGAATCAACTTTATACATTTCGTAAGTAGTTGCAGCATCATTAGTAGAAGTAATTCAAATAGAAATTGAACTGATGGTTTCTCTTTATAAGCAGAGTCTGTTCATGCAAGATTTTGTTTGGAGAGATAGTATTTTCAGTTTAAGCAGATTCTATCCAAAAGAGTTGCAAATATTCTCACTTGTAGATAGGGAAATAATTGAAAATATCCTAACCTTTGTTGTTTTTAAGAAATATTAAGCCTATACTAGTGTGTCTTTTTAAGCAGGCATTCTTTTGTAAGGAAAACTGACAGAAATGAAATAGGAAAAGAAAATTAGAATAGAAGAAGATTAATTTGAGATGAATTGCAACGATGGTATGTAAGGACCTTTGCTATTCCCATTCATTAATTAAACATATACCTATTAAACAGAAACTGTTTGTTCATTTTTTTTGTTTGATGAAACTAAGAAAGAAGAGATTATGAAACTCATTTAGACTGAGCGATCCCAAGAAAGAAGACGAACCCGACTTTAGACTGATCTACGTGTGAGTGTTTCCGGAGTGAATAGGTACTCATATCTTTATATTTAGATAATCATTTGGATTTTCATATCTTTTGAGACCTTCGAAAGTGAATTTGGATGTTAATGAATCAAAACATTGATAAATTATCTAATTATTAATATAATTCTATTTTTAATTAAATTGTAATATTGATTTATAAATAATTTGCTGTTTTAATGAATATAATTATATAAAGTATGCTATTCATTAAGAAAGAACATTGATCAAATATCTTTTTATGTATTATGATATCGAGTGTTTATTAAATGAATATTTTCTCTTCTTGTTAGTATATTCTATGTAGAATCAACAATAAATTAGTGCACTTATAAAGTTCGTGAGTTGACAATATACTTTATGTTATAAACCTTTCTTATTCAATTTGAGCAACTCTTAATAATTGTACTTTTTGTAATTCCATTATTAGGTTTTCCTTTTGAAAACTAAAAATAGTGAAAAAACAGCTTACTCATAACAACAAACTTGGAATTAAACTGTTCATTTTTTTCTATGAGTAATCAAAATGTGGAATGATTTGAGTTGATGAGAGACACACTTATTTCATAATAATATCAATATAAAGTATTCATATTAATTCTTTGTTCGAATTTCTGTTTCTATACATCTTCTTTTTAATCTTCAGGAATTGAAAACATATATTGCTAATTGATCTTATTCTTCTGATTTCCCACCTTTTATATCCAAATAAGATTCTTGATTTCTTGATTTTTAATGTCTCTAAATAATTTCAGGACTGTTATCAAAGAAAAAAACTATAATGTTGATGATCCATATAAATACACCAATACTCCAATTGGATCACGAATTAAGTCTGTCACTAAAACGGCTATGCTCAATCCTCCAAATAGAATTTCCAATATAATGCCAAAGTAAACCAATAGTTATATCTTGAATAAGATTTGTCTATCAACAGCTAAGTTAGATGACTTCAAATTAAATTTCTCTTAATCTTCATCCGATTACTAATGAATTGATGTTTTATAATCCTATTAACTCGATCCCACATAACTTAACTTTTTCTATTCCCCTCTTTCTCTCACTACTTTTTACAATTATTATTATTGCAATGATTCCTTCCTTTTCTCAGCCGAATCCTTTGTCTCCTTAACAGCTTTGATCTACATCTTTATTGTGTCGAGATAAGCCTCTCTATCCTTCTCATTCTCCCACTTCATTGAATTAGATTAATTCTCATTCAAACAACAACTATTAATTTCTTCATCAGTGGCTTCCTCTTTAAACTGATTATCTAAGTCCTTTGCAGATGAATCACTGTTTAAATCCTAGTTTTTTTAGTTTGACTTATTCGACTTCAATTATTTCTAACTTTCCTATCTAAATAATGATGATCCTCTAAATCCTTTCACAAATGTTCTCGCAAATGACACAGACTTTATTTTTGTTTATCCTATTTTTAACTTTGGTTCATCCATCTATTTTACCTCATCCTAAATTTCTTTCTTCTATTCCTCAATACTTACCTACCGAGAAAATCTGGCAACTCTTAAAACTGACTCTGGAGATTTACTCATACTCTCCTCCTTTTATAATTATAATTTTAGTTATTGTTCCATTCCCTGATATTGAATTCTAAACTATGATCTGCAAATTGTGATCTAATCCTTTATGCAGGTTTGCAATGATGACCCGTATATTATAAACTCCACTATGAACAAAAAGAAGTTTGCCATCAAAAATACGTAGCATACCATCAAAAATATTGGATATTGCACTCCTTTCCTTAAACCTTAGATTATTACTTTATTTACCATTCAATGTACTTACTGTTATCTAGACTAGCAACACAATAAACAATCGAAGTTTTAATGCCTCCTTGTAATAGGTAAATATCCACTTCCTTGGTTTTTTTACTTCTCCTTGATAAATATTATATGAAATCTCATCGTACATCGTATACCAAACGATCAATAAGCAACCGTAGATATAAAACAGTATCGTGTATACTACCTCTGCCAGCAGTCTCTCGATGACTGTCGTATTCCCTCTCTATTAGCTTTATGTGTAAATTAAGTTACATAGATTTCGATAGGATCAAGTATCAGCCATATCAATTTACAGACTGATAACACCATTGTTAAGACTAGGATATAATTCTGAGGAGATCCAATCAAAGCATAGGCATATTAAATACATCTAAAATATCAAACATCATATTACGTGTAATAGGATGGAATTCTTTGAGTCTTTAAAGAAGTTTGAAATTATCTAATAGTTACGAGTAATACTAAAGAGAATGCAACACAATAGATCCCAATAAATGTATAATAAGGGGCAATGTAAATATCTTATAAATTTAGACGACAATCCTCTCCGAAAGATCCTATGTCACACATACATTTGTCTTCAATCAATATTCCCTTCTCACAACATTCTGTCTCACATTTCTCTTCTGTCATTTAATTAATTTAAAATGAAAAATATAATTTTTAAATAAATTTATTATCTAAATATTCAATTCTCACTCTTCTTTAAGTTCGTTTACATCGACATTAAATCATCTTTAACTACCACCAAAATTATTAAGATTTTGGTTATTTGCTCCTACCTCCTAGTTTTATATAAGTTTTATCCAAATTGATACATCTATGTATATAATTCGTTAATAATAAACGATAATATCGCATTCTATAAAATATTCATTAGTAATCTCATGAATCAATATCCAATTAAACTACAACCTTATCCTACGTTACTCTAATTTATATATAATTTTTGCACTACTACTAAAGAAAATATAATTATTGGAGTATATATATAAAATAAATTTTAATAGTATGAACGATAATATTGTATAAAAGCTAAAAGAGCAACATGAATAGGAAAAGTAGCAAATGATTAAAGAATTTATGAAGAGAATAGATTTATTATTGCAAAGCAATGTGCAAAAGTACCCAGAAGCTGAAAATTGGAAAGAATTGATATTGAAATATGAGAAGCAAAGACAAAATGAGTTATATGAGTTGAGACAACATTTGGAAGTATTGCAGAGATCATAAATCAACACAAAAGATATAGAATTCTATGCAGAAAGAAGAGCTTATGAAAATAAGATCAATGAATTATAAAATAAATTGTAACAAGATGATGTTTAGGATCTCTATGATACGATTGAATACCAAAGAAATGTGATTCTGGATTTAGAAGATTAAATTGGACTATTGTAAAATGAAAGATAGTAATTGGATTAACATATTTAACAATTAAATTAGACCATTGACGTTCTAAAAGACAATTTATCAAGATATCAATAACAATAAGATACAAGGAGGAAACAAAAAGCTGAAGTGATAGAGGCCATCGATGAGATGAAAAGAGAAAGGGAGAAAGAGAGGGAACGAGATACCGATAGATATAGAGACTTAGATTCTTTTAGGTCTCCCTAACGACCATATCGATACAGTCATAAGAGCTCATGGGAACGTAACAATAAAGATTGGAGATTTTCGAACTAACAAGTGCCATCTCCTAGACCTCCAGTTAGCACAATCCATTATCAGTCCCAGCCAATTTTATCCTACCAACAGGAAAATAAAGAAATCGTCTCTAAGTTGTAAGAGATTAATGAAATAAAATACAAATACTAAACTGCATTAAATAATATACTTAAATTAGAAGCTTAAGTAATTGAAAAACTATAGCAGGATGACATAATAGTGGAATGATCAATTTTATATGTATATTTATGCAAATAAATTTAATAATCAATCTTATTTTAGTTTTTATCCATTATTATTTTGCGCTTATTATTGTTACTTTTCTTATTATTATAGTAAAATTTATTGTTCTTCTTTTTCTAACTACATTTACTGTTCTCTTTCATTTTCCTTTTTTTTAAGTTCTTCAGTCCATGTTCCAGTCATAACCTTAACTATTTCAGGGGATCTAAGAATATCAATCAGTTCAAAGTATAAAATATTTTCACTAAAACTAATTATAGACTTAATACCTCTTGAAATCTTTTTAAGATCTAGCAATAGAAATAGCTTGGCAAATCATAATTAAATCATCAGGATGGACCATCCCTTTGAATTCAAGCATCCAAATTTGTCCAGAGAAAAATGATCGAATAAATGATCCAATAAGTAGGATAACTGATGTATAAATTGTAATGATGCTAAATCCTTGAGTTAGAGTTGAGAAAGTGTCCGAGACAACAAACATAATCAAACCATTAGGCTAATCTTTTTTCGGGGTTTATCCACATGTTTCCAACAAGCATGCATTACCATTATAAACAAGAGTCCACCAAGATTATCCATCCAAAGGAGAAGTTCCAGAACAAAAGAATGATAAGTAAGCACTTGCAACACTATCAACTCCATTGAGATAAATAGGTTTAGATTTGAAAGACGTTCCATCAGCGGAGTATAATTATACAGTTTCAATATAGAGGTTCTATAAATCAATTTAAAGGGGATCTTTTGATTCTGGACTATTTTTGCATTGCAATAATGAGGAAATATTTTATAAAACTGACTTTGGTAAAGAGGTTTCATTCTAACCTGGAAGATCTTTTAAATATTCATTTCCGCTTCCAGGATATTAAAAGTAATTTTTGGTTGGGATGATTTTTTATTAATCTCTCGTAAAGATAAATGATACATTAAAGAAAAATTCATGAGCTACCGATCCATTTATTGTTTCATTAAGTTATTCTAGTAATTGTTAGTATAAAGGATAGGAAATATCCCAATTAGTATTTGAAAAGTTTAATAGTTAAAATTGCTATAATTCTCCTGATTTTGGCGCATTATTAATAATTGAATTAGTACAAGTTTAATCTAAGGCTAAATCAATCTCTTTTTGACTATCTAAAGTGTTTTCTAATCCATATAATTAATTAGTTTAATATAAAACAACATTTAGGGCTGTTTTAGTGTTAATCAATGAAAGTGAGAATTCTCCTCCTCTAACAGGGTTCAGTTCTGATGCTGGATTTAAACTTGAAAACAGAATCAAAGGACCAAAAATGCAAGCAAAGATTACTAAAACTAAACAACAACCACAAGTGCATTTCTAAAAACCAGAAATCCTTTTTCCTAATGGTTTTTCTAAATAACCCTTAGATTAATTTTTTGTAAAATACATAATTCCATGAATGTCTTCCAAAGTAAACCATTAAAACACATCTAAGGAAGTCTATAATAAATTAATACATTTTTACTTTAAGGAATGTCCAGTCCATTAGTACTTTGAGTTCAAATAAAAATGGAATTGCATAATAAGTTTAAGCTATTGCGTATGATATCATATTATAGGACTGTAATAAAGTGTTTCTAAGTTTTAGTTTTTTATAACCAAATCTCAACTGTAGTGCAGATACAGTGAAATATGCTGAATATAAGATGAAGAAACATTCAATATAACCATTTGATTTATATTTAGAATATGAAGCTGCTGAAGTAGAATCATGTTCATAAATTGGATTTTCCCCCCAAGGATTCCCTAATTTTAAGAAAATCAACCAATATATTAAAATTACTGTGCACAATTATAAGAGGAATTTCAAGAAAAATTACAGTTTATATTTCTAAAAAAAAGATGGCTTTTTATTGTCACTATCTATAACATCTGCATTACTTTTCATTGTTATGTATCTTTCAAAAAACATCAATATGAATTCAACTAACAATGCCCATATTAAAGATGTTGGTATTTAATTAGTTTTCAAAATGTTATTGATTTTTATTGATTCATTGACCATATTGGTAAAAAAGATTAGAGTGTAAATTAAAATTAAAATCTAGATACTTGCTGTAATTGGATACAAGTCAACACCAGGTCTTGAAAACTTGTAAGAAAATATCCTTTCAAATAAATTAGAAGAATCCTATATCAAGATCTTGGGATCATCAATTATTCTTTTTTCTATTTCAATGCTTTCTTTCAATTAAAATTAATTATTATCCTCTTGTTAATTTTGTAAATCATATAAATCTTCTTCAAAAACTAATTTGTCTTGATCGTCTTATTTAGACAGATTTTATTTCTCAATAATAGATTTCTTAATATATTTTGTAAACTTATTTATTTTCATTCTTAGATATCCTTAAAATATATTTTCTATATCTAATAAGCTCTTATAATATACTCCATATTGCTTGGCAAAATAAACTTAAAAGATAATAAAAATCATTAACATAACTTCATATGAAATACTTTGATTTCCGTTATAAAGAGGATAATACCAGGCCATTTTATTTCCATAATTCCTTTTTTGATATTACTTTTCTACTACTCCACTTAATGAATAAGCAAATACCAACAAAGATATGAAGAAATATATTGTGAATGCAATTATCCAAAATAATTTTGATTAAACCTTTTCATCAATCAAGATCCATGAAAATAACAAAAATGGTAAAACACCACCTAATAGGCCACTGTCTACTAAATAATAGAATATGATAAGCAAAAAGCAAAAAGGCATCCAATATGTAATTATTAAGCTAAAAATTTCTGTAATGATTCTAAATATTAGAATGCTTAAAGACAGTTTTGTAAGAGCTGATGAGTATTTGGTATTTTCGACAACAATTAATTATTTGTCATCTACTATCTTTACAAAATACAAATCAGTTGATTTTATGTACTTTTCATAACTAATCTCTTCATCAAAACCTTATTATTGCTTTTATGGAGATATAGAATAGGTAGACTGAAGCATTGCTTACTTTGATAATTTTGAGGTCAACTTCATTGATGAGATAATTTTTTACATTTTTCTACCAAGTTTAGAATTGTTATATGAGGATTTTTCTAATTTCTAGATTAGCTCATCTGTTATTGTTGTGACATCTAACATTTAATTTGGAGCGGCTCTTAATTTCTTGTGTAAGTGAGAATAAAATTAGTCAATGTACAATAATTCCTCTTCAAATTATCTGTAATTTTCTTGAAGGAAATCAGTTAAAGAGAATTATACTCTTCTCTTTAAAATGATGTTTTAGGATAGTAGATAATCCATAACATTGGGTAAACTCATAAATTTAAATTTATTATTGAAGGATTGAATGAAAGCAATTATTTCTATACATGATTTTTATGATTTGGTTAAACCCTAAAACTGAGTATCTTTTAATAGTTTTTCTTCTGGCATCTCTGCACTTTTTCTTTCTTCTTAGTCAACTTCAAATTAACTAACCATTTCCTTTCTTATTGGTATTTCCAATTCACTAGCAAATTATTATTTTTGTAATTACTATTGTTATTATTATTATTATTATTATTATTATTATTATTATTATTATTATTATTATTATTATTATTATTATTACTATTATTGTTATTATTCTTACACTTACTCTTACTCTTATTACTCTGAGTGTTTCTCTAATTATTATTACTATTAATTTTATTATTGTTAATATTCTAATTGTATTTCATCTGCCATTATGACTTTATCTTTAGTTTTATCTAGCAACTTTGCATGCCACATTTTTAATTTATCTTAAGCCTTTTCTTACGTTTTTTTAAATAATGCTTTTTACACTGATACTTAAATAATGGCAGTGAATTTCTTAAAATTCTTATGATAGGCAAGTGCCCTTGATATCATTTTTGCTTATTATTATTCAAAAATCATAAATTTATTTAAAGATTCAATAAATTATTCAGAATTTATTAAATCAAAGTGAAGGGAAATGAAGAATAATATAAAGATCATTCCTCCAAGTCGCATTTCAAATATTTCTAAGCAAATAAATTCATTCTAAAAATCAGAATCCTAAGTGAAGTTTTCCTCTGCTTAGGAAGCACACCAATTTAAAATCCATGGCAATCTCAAGATTGTGTACATTGATATTGTAAATACAGCTAAATAGAATAGAACTTTAAAATAAATGCTTTCCCTTCTTAAATTTGATTCTCTGTTAGTGGTTAGCACAAATTCAAAAATAACTAAAAACAATACAGCCAGAATAAACTCAAAAAAGTTTAAAAGTATTCTATTTGACTAAGCCAATAAAATTATAATAGAAATAAAAACAATATGGTTAATTTTAATTGCTTATTATATTATGCCTGACATGGTTGAATATACTCGATTTTTCCAAGTTTAATAATTTAGATAGATAGTAAATTTACTCTTTGAGTAAAGCTTTTATAAGATTGATTATGTTAATTGCAAATCTAACTCCATTTTAATAGTTGTAGACAAAATCAATTTAGATAAGTGTTGTAGGAGTAGGAAATACAAATATATAAGCGAAAGCACAAGAGTATTTAAGATAAAGATCCATTCAATACTATTATTAGTAAGGCAATAATGACTTTCTAAAAAAGTAGTCTCGGTTGAGTTATTAGGGATGGAGTTATTGTTAAACTTAGAGCAATCCATAATTGCTCCATTATCAAAACCAAGGTAGGGAATGAAATACGGATAATTTTAGAATACTGTAGCCATTTTAATTACACTGAACACATCTTTATTATAACCCTAAGCCATGACTGGTAACAATTTATCATTATCCTCTATTTCGTAATTTAAAAAGTATATCATTATGTATTATATCCAAATCGCAACTACAGAGAATGTATTTAAAATTTTAATATTTGAAGCTCCAGTTTTTTACAAAAATAAATAGGTAGCTACTCCCAAATATACTAAAGAAAATATATTATTAGCTAAGAGAGTATTGAATAATAAAATTAGTATGAAGACTCTTTGCAATGTCACAAACCCAGCAGTCGTTAGGTTTAATTTAAATATTCTAGATCTGTTATTATAATAGTTAATGTCTTTGGCTGCTATTTAAATTTTCTTCAAGTCATCCTAACTTAATTCTTATGGTTAATCATATTTATCAATAATATTAATAGTTAGGAATGGATATTATTTCTTAAAATCTTCTAATTCGTTTTAATCATCTATTTCTTACTATTCTTATATGAAACTAATAGGACTATCACCTTCAGCCTGATTGTGAATACCTTTCAAAGTATGAATCATTGATCTTGAAATAACTTATTTTGATTCAGATTTTTATTTTTGTTCTTAAAATTAATGTTCAAAAGATTAGATATTTTCCTATTCCTTTTCTAGTTATTCTTTAAGAAACATTGTGCATCCAGCATCAACAACATTTGCAAATACAAGTATTAAATAGAATAATACCTCATCAAAAATAGTGGATGAACCAGTATTGAGAGATCCATAACAACTACTACTGAGATCAAACTATCCACAAAAACATGTTTATGTACCAGAAATTTCTTAAGCAAAAGTACCAAATATAAATAACCCTAATTAAGTATCAAGAATTCCTTTCTATGCATTTTCATCATCAGTTTAAATAACTAAAGATAAATATTACGATAGGTAGGTCAAAAATACACAAAAGCAACTAAAACTAAACGAGATTTTCCAAATTGAAACCTTTTTCTCAATACGAATTCTCATTCTAGTCATTGTGATAAGATTTGTAGCCTAGACTAGATTTATTTCATCCTCATTGTCATTTTGATCTGTGGATTTAGCACTGTAATCAACATATTTTTTTTTCAAACTTACAATTTCTAAACAATTAATATGAATACATACTTTATTTCAGTCTTGCCAGCAAATTTTTTTCTTCTACATTATCGAGTAATGCATTATGAACAGTTACAAAATAACTCAAATACAATACTAAAATAATGAAGGATGCAATTGATTATACAAAAAAGACTACAGAAAATACAACATATAAAGTCAGCAAATCTGTATTAATCTACGCTATGAACATTATAGGTTTTTGAAGGAATTTATATTCATCTAAGATATTGATTTTCATAATCTTTACTAAGTCCTCTAAATCTTTCTATTATTGCTTCTCAATTTTATCAGTAATCGCAACATCACTGCTACCTGACTGCTCTAATAATGAATCTGCTGATAACAGCGGTTTTTCTATTGTGTTTGGAACTTGATTTGTCATAGATGCCAATTTTAACTTATTCTTTTAGGCTTCCTTAAAAAATTGATAGGTGTTCAAAGAAATAGCTCCAAAGAATATCGCAATCATATCAGGCAAGTACTCAATTCTTAGTCTACTCTAATCATATTAGTAGAATCCATATTATTGATATTTTAGTTATAAATTGTTATATAGGTTTTCTAGACTAGATGCGGTAATTTAACTGTAACTAGGCAAACAAATGAATTAAAATATATATCTAATTATAAATGCCATAACAAGTGAATACAAATATAAGTACCAAAATCTGGACATGGAATTGTAGTTTACTTTGTCTCTTATGAATTGAAATGTATAATAGAAGAAGAGTCCACCTATAAATACAAATAATCCCAGATTTACAAAAGAAAACGGTGTAAAAATGATAAAGCAAATGTTGAGTGTGAATGTAATCCAAATAATAGTTTTCATAAATAGCAAATAGAGAGTTTCTATTGTAGTTCTTATTTTTGTTTATTTTTACTTATTACTGATCTTTGCTAGGAATATATCAACTATTTAATTTGAATATTTAAGGTATATCTTGGATCTATATGAATCGTATTGAAGAGCCGCAAAATAAAATAGGACCCAAAATAGAATGTCATAATTTTCTTAATTATTTATTCCAATCAAACTTATAATCCATTGTTTTTCTTCATTAATATTCGTTTATCCCATAAAGAATAAAATGTATACATATCTCAAAGTAGTGATGATACAAATGTAGATTAAAAATACAATCCAATATTTAAATGAGAATGGAACAACATATTCCCTAACTTCATTCTTTTCATTTTTCTACTTGTAAATACAGAGTGTGGAATCGTTAATAATAAAAATCATTAGAAACACTACTAACACACCTTGGATAAGGTTGACATCAAAGAATCCTATCCAGTAAACAATGATTAAAGCAACAACATAGGAGGCCTTTAATAAAATGGCAAAAGTTAAGGTTAACCAGCTTACATCCTAAATTGAATTATACTTTAAATTACTTTCAGCTATTTTTTTTTATCTTAAATTTGCAACTAGGATTTTTTAACTGACATCAATACCGATTTATAATAATCATATTTATGAACTTATCTAAGAAATAAAAATATTGTATAAATAGTAATATTCATAATAAGGAGCTAGAAAACTATTGTAAATAATTACATTAATAACTTATTTGTATTCTTGATCGAGTTAAAAGAAACCAATTTTTTTACATACCGTATCATTAGAATCACATATCTAAAAAGGATTGTTTGATCGATTCATATTAGGTATGCATTAGTAATAGAATACAATAAAGTTGATCAATACTGAAGGAAAGGCCAAAATCAATGAGGTAATTGAATTAATATTATAACGTAGTGTGAAACCTATGATTGTAAAAATGAGAAAATACCTGTGATTATGATCCAAATAACTGACAACAATGACTCATAAGTTTTTTGCATAATAACAATGGTGATCATCAACAATTAGAGTAGTCTAAGAGTGACAATAGGTTGATCAATAAATTTAGTGAATTTATTTCCTAATGAAAATAGTGCTGTGTTTAATTTATATAGAAGTTTATTTTTATCTTCTTCATCACCTTCATCTACATGTGACATTCTAACTGGTTACCCAGGCATCATTTATTTTAATTCATTTTCATCAGCAAGTTATTATTTTAGCTGGATTTCTTGTTCCTCTTCTTCTTTCTATTATCCTTAAAAATTAGGAGCTTCCTTTTCTTCTATTATCGTGGTGTTATATTTTTATTTTTTAAATTGATAAATCTCATAATGGGTAGTACACTCAGATATTGCATCTTTAAATATAATTTTCCTATCTTCATTTGCGAATTGCTCAGTCACAATGCATAAGAATGCAAATAATATCAAGCCTCCAACCATGAATACGTAACTCTATTTCAGAATAATATCTTACATTCCATTAATAATCTGTCCTCATCCAATACATAATATCTAAACCAAAATATTAAGGCCAAAATGAATTCGGACCCACAAATTAGGTGATTATTGGAGTACCAGCAAAATAAACAATTAATAATGTGGTTATTAAAGTAAATTTTAGGATTTTCAAAACCATTTTATCAAATTAGGTTATCGTAGCTTCCTTTTAAAAGAATCTAAAACCAATAATCATTTCCAGAATAAAGTATATATATCCAATGATAGATTAATTACTAATTAGAATTATTGCTAAAAAGAGCCAAATAATTATAAAATAGAATGAAAATATTTATCTATTGATGGGTTCTCCAAATTATTCTAAATATTTCTTTTTCTTGACTCTCCTTAAAGCCATCACAAAACAGCAAAATATAAATATAAGTGAGTTCGGTAAAAATATTTTAACGTAATCTTTAGTGGAGATATCAAATTTTTTATTTTTTAGCATTTCGAAATAGATCTCAATACCTTCGTAATTCTCTTGTGTCATGATATTTGCTGCTTGCTAAGGGTCATTTTTAATTATTCCTATAAAAGTCCCTTTCATTACTAAAGTCAATGCTGAAAATATCAGAAGAAACATCCATATAGCATAGTTTTCGTCTTTAAATATAATCCAATATAAGGGCTTGTACTTGATTTCGGTTTCATCCAATCCAGATATTTCTGTGACATCATCCTCTAAGTTTTGATTATCGCCTGCAATTGTTTTCCTCTGCTTTTACTATTCTCGTATTTTAGGGTAATTCTCTAGAAAATCCATTGGGTCTTTGTAAACCTTCAATATGCAGAGTAAATACCTTTTTATCTGAATCCCTCTTCTCAAACATACCTATTTTGTACAACTTGGTTTCCCAGGTCTGAATAATAAGCATGAATATCAAGAAATAGATTGTTGAGAGGTAACTTTGAATGAGATAGCAATACCCAAGAAAAATAATTAATCCTACTAAATCTAATATCCATAATATCCATCTTTGGGTTGTGTTGGAAAAGAGAGACTTTTTGTCTTCTAATTGTTAAAGCTCTTCATTCTGTTCTCTTTCTTGAATCATTTTAATTTCAGCATCTTTCTACATGTCATCTGATTACCTATCATTTCCTTACATAATATATATTTATAAAAATATTCATATTAATCCATTTGTTGATCCTCATAAATTACACAAAAATCTTTGCAATTTCAAACCAAATGTCAGATCTATAATTTTGAGAAAGCAAATAGAGTTTTACAAATTCGACAAATATGAGGCCATTCTATATTATTTTTAATTGTAATCATAATTTAATTCTCATTATATACAAACATAAAATACTTCCTTTCAAATTAAAACCCTATAAATTGCAAACTTTTGAATTGCAATTCCATCAATATTAAAATAATATTTTAATTTCATTACACTTTCATTAGCGTATTATAAATTGTATCCATCTTGCAAAGAGGACTTTTTGAAATTTCTTAAGTATAGAAAACTCGAGCTTATCTATTTTCGAGTTTAACCTATTTCATATATATTTGATATTAAAATTAAAATTATTCGTTAATGTCTAATTTGGATGCAAATGAGCAATAATCATTAAGAGAACAGATATTCAAAATTAAAGATAAATTGTTATCTTTATCTCAAAACTTAAACAACTACCATGCAGACAACTCGGAATCCAATAGTACAGCACATTTTAAAACTCAGGAAGATGAGCAATCTCCGCAATAGATGCATCATTAAAATGAAGAAAAGTGTATCATAACATGATAATTAGCATTTTCACAATTGAATTTTATTGATAAAACTAAATTAGTACCACAAAACTAATGTCATCAATTCAAAAAACTAAAACCTCTTTTTAAGGTTCCAGATAAGACCTTAGCAATCGACAAGAGTTCATTCAAAAGGTAACTTACAAATATCATAAATTAGAGTTAATTCATCTGGAAGGCCTCCCCAAATCCTAAGATAAAGTTCGAAAAGGGAAGCAAGCATTTCCAATATATCACCATAGTAAATAAACTTTTCTTAACGAATTTCACTATCCCCTACAAAAAGACTCTGATTTATTATTACTTTATATTAGGCAGAATTATTTGGTTATTAATTTCTTATGGTATCTATTTGATTACATTAATTACAAGCATATAAAATGAAATATTGCTCTCTAAATTTGAAAACAAATAGAATAGGCAAAAACAAATAAAAATTTTGATATAGCAATCTCAATTATATGTGATAGGATCAAGCAACTTCAATATCAATGAGTAAAATACTTATGCTTATAGATAATATATCATTTATATATATATATAAATTTGAAATAGTGCAATAAAAGATAGATTAAATATTTTAAATCGATGATTGATTTAATATAAGGGACATTAATATTTAAATAAATTAATGCAACTTAAGTATTCCTGTAATATTATGCCTGCATTAGATGGCATGCAAAAAGTGAGTGGATTAGCATGGTCTTACAACGGCTAAAAACTGGGAGTTTGTACAGCTGATAGAGTAAGAGTTGAAGATAATAAAATAGAAAATATTATTATTTAATGATTAATTGGGTAAAGAGGACAATTTCCCAACGAAGCCATCAGATAAGACTCAATAGAAATCTTATGTGGTGAGAGCAATTGAATTTTCTCCAGATTCAACTAAGATAGCTGTTGCTCAATCTGATAATATAGTGTATGTATATAAGATTGGTGCAAAATTTAAAGAGAAAAAGACAATCTGCAATAAATTCCCAGCTTCTTCCTCAATAACAACATTGATATGGCCAGCATAAAGAGAAAATGACATCATATTTGGATTAGCAGAAGGAAAGGTGAAGATTGGATTTTTGAAAAATAATAAAGTAATCAAGTTCCTAATGTTATTAGTCTCAAATAGCATTCACTACAGAATCCTATGTAGTAAGTATGGCAACCAATAGGGATGGAGATGTGGTTGTATCAGGCCATCTTGATGGATCAGTGTACAGTTACAACTTAGACACTCAATAATCATAAAAGTTAGTAGTACATCATTCAATCCCATATGCATTGGCTTATGGATAACATGTGGCAGCAGCTGGTAATGATCAAAAGGTCTCCTTCTATGATAATTATGGAAATCTAGTTTAAAGATTTGATTACACTTAAGATGAAAGATGCAAGGATTTCTCAGTTGGTGCTTGTAGTCCTAATGGAGATATCATAGTATTGGGTAATTTTAATAGATTCTATCTTTACACATATAATCAAAAGAGATCTCAATGGGAAGAAATAGGAGTAAAGCATATTGAGAATTATTATACAATAACAGCATTGTGTTGGAAGAATGACTCATCAAAATTGATTACTGGATCTCTATGTGGATCAGTAGATGCATGGGATATTTCAATGAAAAAGATTAGATTTAAGGGAAAATATGATTTGAATTATATTGGTCCATCTTAAATTGTCATTTAAGTGTTATCAACTAATTAATAAGCAGTCATTAGATCGTCATAGGCTGAAATATCAAAGATAGACATCAAAAAAGAGAGATTCGTAGTTGCTAAAACACATGAAACTTTGATTGTGGGAGATTTGGCCACAGGAAAGACATCAGAAGTCAGTTGGAGAGGAAGTGGAAATGAAAAGTTTGATTTTACAAATGAAAATATTTGTATGGTATTCAATGCAGGAGAATTGACATTGATTGAATATGGAAGTGATCGTATTTTAGGTACTTGCAGAACTGAACATATGAAGAATTCACTTATCAGTGCTAAAGTTAGTTATACTGGGCAGAATAAGACTAAAGTTATTGCATTTTTATTGGATCTTCAAACATTATAGATATAGGATTTAACTACAAAGAGTATTATAGCTACAATTGCTCATGATACTAAGATTGATTTCTTAGAATTGAATTCTCATGCCAACAGACTAATATTTAGAGATAAGAGAAGATAATTGTATCTATATTCAATAAAAAATGCATTTAAACACACTCTTCTATCATTTTGTAATTATGCTTAATGGGTACCTGAAAGTGAAGTTATTGTAGCTTAAAACAGAAACAATTTGTGTGTTTGGTATTCGATTGAAAATCCTGACAAAGTTACACTTTATACAATTAAAGGCGATGTTGAAGAAATTGAAAGAATTCCTAGTACACCTACTTAAGCTGGTTCTACTTCTGTAATTGTGAGTGAAGGTTAAAATAAAGTTGCTTATAAATTGGATTAAGCCTTAATTGAATTCGGATTTGCAATTGAAGGAAGAGACCTTGAAAAGGCAGCCTCAATCTTAGATAAATTAGAATTGACATCTGATACTGAAGCCAATTGGAAAGTGTTAGCATAATTATCTTTGGAAGAGTAAAATTTATCAGTATCTGAACATTGTTATGCTGCTTTGGGAGATGTTGCCAGAGCATCCTATTTGAGAGGCATCAATAGACTCATTTCAAAATATTATGAAGAGACTGGTAAGAAGGATGGAATATCATATTACAAAGTCTAGTCTAAATTGGCCATATTAGATAAACAATTTAATAAGGCTGAAGAATTGTTACTTAATCATAATGAAGTTAATGAGGCTATGGGAATGTATTAAGATTTACATAAATGGGATGAAGCTATTAAAATTGCTGAAAAGAGAGGTCATGAATAAGTTAAAGTTCTCAAAGAGAATTATTATTAATGGTTAATTGAAACTGGATAAGAATCCAAGGCTGCTGAATTAAAAGAAAATGAAGGCGATTTTATTAATGCTATTAATCTTTATTTGTAAGGTGGATTACCAGCCAAAGCTGCCAATATTGTATTTAATTGCAATATGTCCTTTCCATAAGACTTATTAGAACGAATTGCTTAGTCTTTAGCCTAAAGTGGCATGTACGAGAAAGGTGGTGAATTCTATGAATAGATGGAGGATGATCAATAGGCCTTGAATTGTTACATTAAAGGTAATGTATTCAAAAAGGCAGTTGAATTGGCTAAAAGAAAAGATCCTAAATTGGTCAAATAATTGGAAGAAAGTTGGGCTAATTATTTGGTTGAAAACAAGGAAACAGAAAGTGCCATTAATCATTATGTTGAGGCTGGCAAATTTTAGAAGGCTATTGAGGCTGCAGTCTACAGTAGATCTTGGACTAAAGCCATTTAATTGTTATAGAATTAATCAGCTGAAGTATCAAGACCCTATTACAGACAAGTGGCTAAACATTACGAGGATGTTAGATAATATGATTTTGCTGAAAAATACTATATTAAGGCTAATTCTCCTATTGAGTCCTTTGAGATGTATGTAAAAGCTAGCAAATGGGATAAAGCTCTCTCAATAGCTAGAGAATACTTACCTGAAGAAATCGTGTAGTTATATTTGAACCAAGGTAAAAAGTTTGAATAAGCTGGTAAATATAAAGAGGCTGAAAAATTATACTTAACAGTTTAAGAATATGATACTGCTATCTTAATGTATCAAAACCTCTCCCAGTATGAAAGTGTGATAAGAATTGCCAGCAAATTCACTCCTTAAAAATTAAAAGATATTCATTTAGGAATTGCAAAGAAATTAGAAAGAGAAAACATACTCAAAAGAGCAGAACAACATTACATTGAAGCAGGCTCATGGCATTTAGCTATGTAAATGTACAAAACTCACAATCAATGGGAAGAAGCAATAAGATGTTGTAAAATGTATGGATCTGAGAAAGAGACATGCTAATAAGCTAAATTATGGGCAGAATCTCTAGGTCCAGATGCTGGATTGAAGATGCTTTAAAGATTGAATCTGGTTGATGCTTTGATTGAATATTAATCAGACAGACATGAATTTGAAGAAGCTTTCAAATTGGCTAATTTACATGCTAAACATAAATTATAAGATGTTCATTTCAAATATGCTTGTCATTTGGAAGATGAAAGAAGATACAAAGAAGCTGAAGAAAACTTCATTAAGGCAGGTAAAGCATCAGAAGCCATTAACATGTACGAACATTTGGGAGATTATACCAGTGCATTATAAGTTGCTAGACAATATGAACCACAATCTGTTACATAAATCTTAATTAGTTAAGCCAAGTTCTACATTGAGAAGAAAGATCTTCAGAAAGCAGAACAAGCATTTATTTAGGGTAAAAGACCTGAACTAGCAATTAAAATGTATGTTGATTAAGGTAATTACCCCTTGGCATTGAAAATTGCTAAGAGTCATGCTCCACATATGGTTGCTGAATTAAATAACAAATATGGCAATGTAGCTAATACTTACAACATGACAGGAGAGGACTTATATTAAAGTGCTTAGACTTGGGAAGAACAAAGAGATTACTTAAAGGCTATAGAGATCTATTTAGAAGTTACACCCTAAAACACTTAAAGTGAAGATGTAATGACAAGAGCATGGGAAAGAGCTATTCAAATAGCTGCCAATTATGATAAGGATAAGTATCCAAGAATTGTATAGATAGTTTGCAAGAGATTAATTGAAATCAAGAAATTAGAGACAGCTGCATATCTTTATGAATAAGTTGGATAATATTAAGAAGCAGTTACTACTTATGTTTAAGGTAGAGAATTTGAAAAAGCAAAGTAAGTTGCACAAATGATAAACAATAAAGAATTGAATACTAAATTGATGGATTACATCACCAAAGAATAACGTAAGTATGGAGCATCAACAGGATAAGCTAATGTAATGATTGAAACTGGAGATGTTGCAGCAGCAATGGAAATGTTAGCATAAAAAAATGATTGGGGACAATGCTTACAATTAGCCGATAAACATGGAGTTGAATACTTAAACAAATATCTCATGAGATATGTTAAAATCACTATGTAATAAGGAAGATTCAGTGAAACTATTCAATCTTTGGCTACTTATGGAATGCCTATTATCTAATAAAATTATCCTATCTATGAGAATCTAGCAATAGAAATCTTTGTTGAATGTGATCCTAAAGAATTGAAATTACTTAGATAAGCTTTGTATGGATTTATTTAAGGATTGGAAGCTGCTCATGAAATTAAAAGTGAAACTGGAAAGAAATTTTTAAAGTTTGGCATCGTTGCTCATTTACTCAATCTTAGAAATTAATATGCTTAGGATGGTATTGTCAAATTGCATGCTCAAACTTGTATTTCATTGTTAAGATACTGTGACTTAGTTAGAATTGATTAATTGTATTTGGATGCTGGAAGAGTTGCCAAGAAGATCAATTAGTTAGGATTAGCATTTGTTCTATTGAATAGATATTTGGATATATATGAAGTTATTGAAGATCCTGATAATAATAATGGATTAGGAGATGGAGCTGAATTCTAAAACAGTGATTTACCATCACCTTATGATGTACCTATGCCAGAAAAGAATTTAATATCTGACAAAGAGAAAGAAGAAATTAGGGATTGGTTACTCTAATTATCTGTAAATTAAAATTAAGAACCTGTTTTACCAACTAGATAATGTGATTGTGGATATTAAATATATGATGCTTCATTACGGTAATCATAAATATCTATTATTTTAGATGCTTCAAATGCAAGTAAACATGGGAACCCTGCATTATTACCGGTATGCCTCTTCTCAAGAATTAAATAGTCAACTGTTAATCTTGTGGAAAAGGAGCACTCAAAGATGCATGGAATACATATTTACAAGCATATCCCACCTGTCCATGGTGTAATAAACATGCAAAATGAAATTATAACATAAAGAAAAACCATTAAATCATAATTTTTAATATGTAAAGTCCTCTATCATATCTTCGCTTCTCTATTAACTCATAATCTTAATCAATTATAAGTTTTGAACAAATCATTTTATATGTGTATTTATGGCTTTAATACTGAAAATAACATATTGAATGAATTATGAATAATAAAATTCTTAAAAGAAGATAGAAAAGACTTATAATTATTTAATAATATATTTTTTTTATAAATTATTTGTTATTAAATTTTAATATTAATAATTAATATTAAATTTTCTTGTAAAATATAGGAAAAAAATAGATAAAGTTTTCAGAACATTTTCAAATAATTCATCTAAATTAGAAACTTTCATTACTGTGAACATAGAGAAAAATTGAATATAAACATTAATTATAGATATTTAATTTTGATATTATTTTTGATAATTAATATTAATTATGAATAATTTATTTTCGCCGTTTTAAAATTTTGTTTATTATAATTTATTTGTCATTATAATTGTTAATAATTGTCTATTTATAACACAAAAAGGGAGGGAAAAAAAATTTTATAAGAATTAGCAATTTCTTTGCATCCTAAGCTGTAGGCTAATTGGTTGGAAATTAATTATAATTAAAATACGTAATATATATTTTAATTCAATATTTATATATTTAATATAGCAATTTTCATAAATAGGTTATAACATGATACTTGTTCGAAAACTATTTAGAAGTTTTTTGCTTATATAAGAAGCAATTAATTACATTTTAAAATCTAAACTTTGGAATTGTGGAATAATATATTCGAAATTGATTGTCTTGATTTGTATAATTTAAGACAAAAACAATAATTTGGATTTTCCACTAAGAATCAATATTTGGTTTATCTAAAACTATATAATAAAAAACATGTAAATAAACAATAACATTAATTATACTCTTATCAAATATGAAATTATGGTATAAACACAAATAAATTAAACAAATTTCATTTGCATTATCTAGTATTTTACAAAAATAGTTTGAGAACATTTTGAGCAAAATAATTTTATAATTATTATTTATTATCCTGATGGTTATGGATTATCTTAGGAACTAAAATTTTAAGTTGAAAAGGAGCTATGGTCATTTCTAAGTTAGAAATTTATTTATAATCTAAGAATAAATTATATCAATTAAGACTCCTTTGTTTAACTAACAATCTATATTTAGGTACCATTTCAGATGGGCTTTTTTCTTCATTGATGCAATCTTCGCCTATTTCGTATTAGTCTTAACCAGTGGATATAAATTATTTAAAATAATTAGCTTCATCTTCTAATTCAGAACTATTCTCAGGGAAAAGAGGTGATTATTCGCTTAATGGAGATCCCTTTTAGTCCCACAGTGGAGTGGAACTCTTAATAAAATCATCCTAGTCTAATCTTATTTAGAATATAGGCAATTTTGTTAAGGATAAACTTACTATAGTATCTGTCTTAGGAGTGGCAAACCAATCATGTAGAAGTGCTTACGATGCATTTGGTCTAATATTGAGATTCTCATCTAATAATAACCGGACAAGGTCTTAAGCAGCTGGACTAATAGACTTTTAGTTGAGTTTATTGAAATCTATTTGGCATTAGGCATTTTATTTCAGTAGATTATCTGTGTCGCTATTGCTTTCGAAAGGCATTTCTCCAGTTAATAAAATAAATAGAATAACGCCTACTGAGAACATATCGACTTTGTAATCATAGAATTGGTCACGTAAAACTTCAGGGGCAACATATCCAACTGTGCCACATCTTTAAAATAAATAAACTCCTTATTCATTGTAAATATCTGAAAGACCAAAATCAGCAATAACTAAATCAGTTAGACAGCCCTTTGATCTAAGTATTAAATTCTCTGGTTTGATGTCCCTATGTATTATTTATTTTGAGTGTATATAATTTAATGAAGACAATAAATTGTACATTAAATTCTATACTAGATGTTCTGTATATCCATCCATAGAATTTTCAATTTGTTTGAGTAATTCTCCGCCTTATAAATAATCGACAATCAAATAAACATTATTTTCATCCTCAAATATTTCATGTAATTGTAGCACATTCTTATTGTCGAATTTCCTCATTATGTCTATCTCCTTCAGTATACTATCCTATAAATGTGGACATAATATATATACAATTCCTTTGTCCTTGTTTGTTAATTTTTCTGATTTAAAAATTTTGACAGCAAAAATGGATGAATCTTGAATGCGTTCTATTTTGTATACTTTAGCGTGAGACCCCTTTCCAATCATTTTGAGTACTTGATATTTCTTATAGAAGTTTCTTTAGATGGTGTATTTAGATAAGTAATTTTTCCAAGTGGAGATAACATCTGGATTTCCAAAAATTTATAAACATTCCTGTTTTCCCGATATTTACAATCCTTCTACCTAGATATTTTAGGGCCATAAATACGTTTTTGTGAAGAACAGATTTTAGGCGTAAATTATTGATGTTTATGTAGCAGTTATTTGATATGAAATAGGAGTTAATCATATGATAGCAATTTCTGCTGATTAAGTTGTCCATTTCGTCTCTAATTAAAATGGGAGCATCTTTTGAATTTTATCTTAGTTCTCTATCGATTAGAGGAATTTTAGGTGCTCCTTTTTTCCAAAGAGGTGTATTTCTAGTCGGGTATTTGTCAAAAATAGAATAGTTAATTTGTTTCATTAATTTATATTTTTACTCTCCAAAAATTTTAGTAGGTTATTAATTGTAATAAATGATACTTTACCATTATGAATACGTATTAATGAATGTCACATAATTTGTATTTTATAATAATACTTTCAAAACTTTTCATTGAATATCAAAATATTCTAACTATAATTACCCAAAAACTACAATAAAAGAAACTAAATTAATAGCTAATTTTTATAACATAAAATCATTAAATTATTTAAATTTCATCTCCCGCAGTTCTTAAACAAGCGCATCCATAAAAGTCTTTACCTTCAAAGGATGCCTCTATTTCAAGTTACAAATTTTAAGTGGTATTTTAAAGAATCAATAAGTCTGCCTCTAATTCTACAATTATAGTAATGATGTCGTTCGTATTGATCCTAAAGTCACTCTCCTTTGAATTCTGGTCATCCTTATGATTGTTGTACATAGTTCCATTTGAAGATACTAGGTATGATCCATGTCCTATATCCTAATATTTTTTTTGAGAATGCAAAGTGGATAATTCAGTAATACCAACTGCATACCAAGAACTTTTAACTTGAGAACATCTATTATTATTTTGACTATTCATACTTGAACTTCCATTATTTTCTTTATTCTGTAATGGGATTGTTAAATAAAACAAATCTATCCTTCTTTTTACTTGCTGTTTGTTTAACTAATGCAATTGACTTATCTAAATTTAGAAAGATATCTGGATCTTTAAATCGATTGGAAAACCTAAAATCCTATGTGTCTTTACTTTAAAATTGTATCCTTTTTGCTTAATTCAATTTCAAGTTAATTATGTTTTTGAATTAGATTTTAAATTTCTTAATCATGCTAAGATTTGATGTAAATCAAACAATCTTTAAAATTATGATTTTCAAACTATTCCCTTGTTACTTTTTGATTACAACTAGGACATATTTATGGAAATTTGGGACAGTTCGTTTAATGTAAATAATAAACACTAAGAGTAAACTTCTGAGAGCAACCCACACAGCAAACTTCTCGTTATGGGCATTCATTTTGATGGATTAATAATTGATGCCAAGAATATTCTCCACTACAATATATGCATTTTTCTATGTTCTAATCACAAATCAAAAGATGGCTAGATTGATCTTTTATTTTAATTTAAGTGTGACATTTTGGACATCTCGTTAAAGCCTCTTCACATTTGAGCTCATGCATTTATAATTTAAAGCTGCTAAACTAAATAAGAATTAGAATATGAATTACAAATTAATGACAATGACAGCATTCACATTATCTGTAATTACATTCATAGGTTCTATGATCTTGGATGTCTTTCTTAAATTTTATGACATTGCATTGTAGTTTACCATCCACTAATCCACAAACTTCCTCACTATAATCACATTGCTTAACATGTTTATCATAAGCATCATAATCTACTATTACTTAACACCCTAAATTTATAATTGAGGCTCTACCTTAAAAAAAATGATGACATCTAATTTTTAATTAACTCAATAATTATCTTAGAAGTGGAAATGCTTTTCTTGTCTCGCTTTGATGGTTGCATAAAGGGCATTTCGTGCTCTTTTTCATCATCATTATATACTTACTTATTTCTGTTGGTAGCATTTCTTGCAAAAATGATTCATGCATGAATCACATGATATTGGATCCAAATATACATTTAAACAAACCGGGCATTTAATATCATAGGGATGGACATTCTGATCTAATAAATCTTGTATTTTACATTGCTTAAGACCTACTCTACCTCTATGTGATAATCTTCTATAATATTTTATCCTTCAAATTATTTAGACATGTAAATATATTATAAAAAATAATTATCATAAAATCTTTGATTCCTTGACTGCAATAAGAGTCTTGAAACAATTTTTTGAGCAGCTTGATAGAGTTGATGTTGAGAATAAAAATATGAGCACTTGAAAAGCACAAGAAATAACTTAATCTGAATTTAAACTACTAGAATTTATTTTCATGATAAATTTTTGATTTCATAAAGAAGGTATTATACTGATTTCTACATATTTTTTTTCAGTATTATAATTTTAGTTTAATTATTATTATCTATTCTATCATCTTCAATCCTTTGTTAATCAGATTCATTTAAGTTCATTAAGAAAACCACTCTAAAACTTCAGCAAATATCTTAACATTAGTTTTAAAATTATATAATTCCATTAATTATTAGCAATTGAATTTGGTGTAAATACTTTCATGATTAGGACTATTATTTTGAATACCGTATTATTCATACAAGTACTAAAGAAATTAAATGCATCAAGTATGTTGGATAATCATTTTATCCTTTCAAAAATACATCAACTTTTGTTGAAATTTAATTAAACATAGATATATGACTTGACAAACTGATTTACGAATATAAATGGTTTCAATTATTAAAAATCCCTATTACAGAATTATATCTATTATATCAGAATTAAATTGAAATACAAATTTAGAGATTTTTCAACTTTGAAAGGATGTTTAATATAAAAGGAAATAAAATAATGAAGGATTAATTACAATTATAAGAGATAACGCAAGAAAGCAATAATTCAAATATTATAATGAAAATCTTAATATGGAATAGCTAAAGTACTATTACTACAATCTAAGAATTTAGATATCCCAGAAATTATCCTTTCTCTATCAATAGAATTTATTAGGTGGTATAAAGAAACTTTTATATTAGTGAATGTTTAGTATTGATTTGATAGGAATAAAGATTTTGATTGGTTGATAAAAATTACATAGCATTTTAAAATTAAATTTTCCCGCTTAATTAAAATTTAAATATAAAAATATTGCTACTTTAAAAATACTAATAAATGGATATTTGTGGTTTTAGTTGGAAAATGATGGCAAAATTTTGGTTATTAGTTAATCATAAATTCAACATAGGTCCAGGAAGAGTTTTGTCTTTTGCTTCTTCAACCCTTTTGATTAAAGGCAAAATATCATAATCACCAACAATATTAATTTCGTGATCTGATAATATTTAGACTTTAGTTTTCCCTTCAACAGGTATGATATTAAGCTATTATATATTGCATTAGAGTACTTTTGCGCTTTATGGTAACTTAAAAATCATGATTGGGAATTGATATATTTTAGGCTATTGACCTTGTAAAAAGTCTGATTCATCTTTTTAGAGTGGCCTAATAATGGATATTGCTGTATTATGATACTTATTTTGATCTATTAATGCATTTATTCTTTTTGCCTAATCTGTCAATTTTTAAAATAGTATTTTCTTCCTCTTCAATTCATCGAATTATTGTTACTATTATATATCGATTAATCTACTTTTAAAATTTCATATCTATCTCTAGTATCTCTTACATATTTACTAGTCATATGATTTTATTGAAACATCTATCCTTTGATGATGATCTTTTTTTGCTTTTCCAGTACTCCTAGGGCAACCATTACATTAATGGAATCATAAACTCTACGTTTGAGATTTTTACTATCTGACTAAAAAATATAAAAAAAATAATTATTATATTTACAGATAAACTTGATTTACTTATTTCTGAGGCTAGCTAATCTGCCATCTATTTATAGGTGGTTTCTTTTAGTGATCCAACTAGATTGTGAACCTTGCAACTTAGATATTTGAGGCTGTGATGTTTTTTTCTTTCTATAGAAATAATTATAAAAGTATGGCAAATTATTTACCTTTCTTTTTATTATTACTCTATTATTAGAAATCTTTTTCTTATTAATCTAACTATGGCTATGAATATGAATCCTGTTTAATGTAATCTATCATCAGAAATCCTATTGAAGAAGGTGCATTTTGGTCTTCGAGTCTTAACAAAGTTTTTTTTGAGCCGTCATCTTATACAGATTGACTTTTTTGATCACTTCCGCTTGCGCATTCTGGAATGAGCAATTGTCTAATACATTTTTGTTGAGTCTAGAAAATTCATGAATTAATAACTTGTTCTTGCATCGATGGCGCTCTTATAAACAATATTTTGTTAATAACATTAAATTTATTCAAAACTCATACTAGATATTAACACATAATTTAAAAAATCAAAGGTACTCATATAGCATCGACAGATGATTATTTTTACCGAATATGATATCATAATAAGTGTTTAACATGATTAGAAGATCATTGATGATAATCTTGATTTATCATTTTTTTATTTTTCTATAAAAAATATCATTCCCTATATTTAGGATTAGTACACTGTGTGGTTATTAGTTTTTCTAAAGTGAAACGCAGCCCTTTTCATTTATTTGATAATGAGATTTAAATTTTTGAAAAATTGTATAACAGATAAAAAATTATAAATTTTAGTTTTTTCTAATTAATAAAAGAATAAAAAATTTTATTTTGAGTAACAAAGTTTGATTTCTCTTTAACAAAGTTCATTTTCCCTTGTCAAATAGCATTATATCCCATTTATTTTTTAGATTTCACAAATTCATTCCATCAAAATGAGAATCACTTTAATTGTTCACACATCAAGAATCGGATAACTTATATTAAGTTTCAAACAATTAATGCTATTTATTATTGCAAGCTAAACAAAAATCCCTTACAAAGTTATAAAAATATTTAGTTAGGCCATTCTTCTTCCTAAGATATTTTTTCTCCTCTATATTATAATCTTTAATTCTTATTTAATTAAATAATTAGTTTTAATAAATTGAGTGATGCTTAAATATGTACATTTAGAATCAATAAATTCTGTATCTTTAGTCCCCAAATCCTACTTTTTCTAAATTAACTCATTTAATGATTTGAAGAATCACAAGAACTTTAAATTAATTTAGAACAATTCATAGCTAGATGAAAGTATAAGTTCAATTCTTATCAAATTCAAGTTCTCATAAATCTCGTAACTAATAGTATCATATATTTTAAATAAAATCAAATAATGTCTTGAAATTTATAAATGTATCATTATAACAAAAGAATAAAATTCAAAATCACAAGACTAAATTCTTAATAAAGAAGTTGAATTAAAGATTTTAAGGTTTCTTTTAGTTAATTAATGTTACCAGTTCAATTTCAAAATAATTATCTAATTTTATTGAATTTTTACTTAAAATTAATTCTAGTTTCAAGTTTCGCCCCTTGATGTTCCTTATTAATAAGGAAACCTAATGAACATCAGACCTATTTTTCAATTCAGTATATAAATAGTTTAAAGATCCTGATATATTATTATTAATCATAAATCAAACGCTGAATTAAATAAAAATTAGACAATGTAATTAAATAATAAATTGATGATATTCAATTCAAAATATCTTAAGAACATTTAGTGGTTTGAATGAAGATACAATAGAATTTTTAATTATACTTGACATTTAAGAAGGAATTTATCTAAAAAATATTATTTATTATTTTGGTTAGACAATTAAAGGATCCTTAATTAAGAGCAAAAATAATAGAGAGGTACAAATAACAACACTGAGAAGGGTTATTTCTAGATAGGAATAGCTGTTATAAGTGTATAATATATATTTATGTTGGATTATTTAATTGATTATAAAAAATTCATGTAAATTAGGAATATAATTTAGATTAATATATAATTTCTATCTGCGCATGAAATCGTAATTTGAAGTATACTTAAGATTGAAACCATCCAATAAGTAATTATCGTAATCTAAACAGTCAATCTTAAAATTCAATGCAATATTAATTATATCATAACAAGAGATTATAGGTACTATTACCCAGAAATGTGAAATTGGGAATGATCAATAATAGCAGAGATAATCTAGAGTTCAATTTTACTCATGTATTCGATCAAAAATCTTCTCAAGATTAAGTATTTAGTAAGGTCACCATTCCTGTAATAAATAGGTACGTCACCAATTCGAACTTATATAGTTTCTTGGATGGATATAATGCTACAATCTTTGCTTATGGCTAAACTGGATCTGGTAAAACTTACACTATGAGTGGTGCTGAAACATGGCAATTAAGAGGAGTAATTCCAAGAGCACTTTCCTATATCTTTGATGAAATTGACAAGCGAACCAAGTTCCAATATAAAATATACATTTCCTTTATGGAAATTTATAATGAAAATGCTTATGATTTATTAGAAAAGAGACATCTTGAAATTCCTTTAGAATAATGGAATAAAGTATTAATTTCTATTAGATTTTTAGATAGCACTATTTGAAGATGATTAAAATAATATCCATTTAAAAAACTTATCAATCCATTAGTGTAATAACGAACAAGAAGGAATTGACTTGCTCATGATGGGCAATTTCATTAGATAGGTAAGTTCAACACCAATGAATCAATCAAGTTCCAGATCGCATTGCATATTCACTGCGACTCTTGAAGGTTGTGATACAACAACTGACACTTATTTTGTTAGCAAATTACACTTAGTTGATTTGGCTGGTTCTGAAAGAATCAGTAAATCCCAAGTTGAGGGTAATCTTTTAAACGAAGCCAAATACATTAATCTTTCTTTAACCTATCTAGAACAAGTCATAATAGCTTTAAATGAAAGAATGAAGGGTGCCAATAGATAACATATTCCTTATAGAAATTCATTAATGACTACTCTCCTAAAAGATTCTCTTGGTGGTAATTGTAAAACTGTAATGATTGCAACTATTAGTTCTGAAAATGATAATTTAGAAGAGTCTTTGTCAACTTTAAGATTTAGTTAAAGAGTTGGTTAATTAGAAAATGAGGTACTATCAGCATAATAATACTAAGATAAGAAGGAATGAAAAAGTAGATTTGGAAGCAGTTGTCAAAAGGTTGGAATAAGAAAAGTTGGTTCTTATAAGGGAATTAGAATAATACTAAAGAGGGGGAACAGGAAACTCAAATAATAAGAAACAGCAATTTTAATAATAAATATTACCGTAGTCAAATGGTATGCCCCTAAACAAAAAGTAAATTTAAGAAAAAGTAGAACTCTATTTGAATGAACAAGTAACATAATTGGACGTTTAGAGTTATGAGGACGCACAAATGTGTTTTGAAGCTATGAAAGACTTATACAATACTAGAATGAAAGAATATGTTACTGAACTTACTTTTATCTCTGAAAAATTGTAGAAATATGATGAAATCTTAACTAGAAAGTATTAACTCATTAATTTCCCTTAGGAAAGAATAAAGTTCATTTTTAGAACAAAAAGAAAACAGTTCTCCAGAAAATGAAATTTATAAAAGAAATGAATCTCAGCAGATTAATTCCAAATAGAAACCTAATTAGTGATAGAGTTATATATATCTTTAATCATCACATTAATTAACAATATCCTCCTTCTACTTCAATAAATCGTCAAGAATTTACTAATTTATTATTTAAAATGTCCTTCAAATCAGAACTAATAGTAGGGTTTTTTACCTGTGAATTAAAATGAGGTAATTCAAAGGGCATTTATTCAATATTAATTGGATTCCATTTTTCAGAAAATGGAATAATTACACCTATTCTAATTATATATTTCCAATTAAACTTTGAGATTAATATTAACAATAAATATTAATTAAATTATATCAAATATAAATTATTTCTAAATTACCTACGCACACTTATTTCATTATAGCTATCATAGATAATTTGAAAATTTTGAAATCTGTTAATAATCTTTTAAGAATCTAAATTTAAAGTATTAAATAATAATGAAATAATTTTATAAATTTTACCATCTGCATCTGCTTATAAATAGTTCGTAATAAAACTATATTGGTTTTCAGAGGCAAATGTAACTTAATATGGTCATATATTTTGTACTTTAATATTTATAATCATTCACTTTCTAACTTCATACTCATATTATGATATTTATATATAAATTGTTTGATTTCGCAATTTCAAATCAAAATTAAAATTCTATGCAGCAACAATTGATAAATTCAAAATTTTGGAATATTTAAGGATACATAAGAATTACAACCACAGATATATATTTTAGCTGACTAATATTAGTTTTAGTATTGTTGTTTATAAAATGACTAATACTTCTTCAAATAGAACTTTGAAAATTTTTAATTAAAGATATTTCATCGACTTTAGAAAGCTATGATGTGAACTATTCTTTCCACAGTAATAATGTTTCTCATTTTGTAAATAACACTGGGCTTCTTATTCAGTATTGTATGGCTATCGTGTTTTTCTCAATTTACAATTCTATAAACAATTCCTAGCACTCGCATAAATGTCTACTCTCCTTAAATAGGTAAGTAAAATCTAAATTTAGAAAAAATTAACAGGACAACTGAAGAAAAGTATACTATACAATTGGCAATACTAATATTCCAAAAATATATTGTTGATTATGTTTAAAGATTTCTATAATATAAAAGATTGTATAGATTCAAAGCTTATAACTCGCTTAGTTATTGGACTTTTTCAAAATTAAGGTTTCTAATTTGGAAGGAGATCAGAGTATTGCTTAGTTCTGCTCTATTAATCAGGGGTTTGTGAATGAGTTTTGACTCTTCTTTGAATTATTGGATTTTTATGAACATCATAAATTTTTTCCTCCTTTATTTAATCTTGCTAAACTCTTTCATAAATTTCATATTAAAAGGAAGCCCTTTTCTACTTATACTTTCCTTAAGTGCATCCCATTTTTATTTTTTTATTGTTTATAAAATTAATATCGTAATGATAAATTGATGAAAATTTCAGTTTATTCAGTTTTTGATGATTCTAACAATATAATTATAACAAAAGATTTATGACAATTAACTTGATAATTTTATCTATTTATTACCAAATTTAAAATATCAATATATGAAACGATTTATTTTTTGATTAAATTTAAAGACAACCACTTTCATTGTTATAATATTGTTAATTTTCATAATTTAACTAAATATTAAATATTTTTATAAACAGAAAATAATATTCATAGATGAATTTGAAATGTCCTTAAATTTCTCTTTTTGATTCAATTATTCAGTGTTATTTTCAGTTCTATTGAGAATTTAGCTAATAGAAAAGCATTTTAGAAAGAATTAATTTGAAATAAAACTTACTCAACATATTGTTTATGAATAAATTGTGAAGTACGCTTTTATCTAAATATAATTTAATTTCATCAAATAGAAATTTTGAAAGTTATAAATCAAGATGACATGTGCAAGGATAGTTTGAAATCTATTTTAAGGTATAAAATGAATTATCAATCTTTGTAACAACAGATGATTATAAATAATATTAACTTTGAAACCAAATAAACTTCTTTATTAATATATTATTTCAAATTATTATATATCCTGATTTTTTCAGTTATATAAAACAGTTCAAAATTTTTTCAAGAGAAGCCAATTCACATTTTTATATGAAAGAATAAATCTCTATATTAAATTGTAGTTAAGTATATCACATATCGTAAGTACAATGTAACATTCCAAACTATGATATAAAGCCAAATTTCTCTATGATAATTTTTGGTTAGCTGATTCAACTCACATCATTAGAACTCTTATTCTCTTTATAGTCATGACAAGATCTAGGGGATTGAAACTAAAAAAAAAGTATTTCTATATAACATATATTCAACACAAGATAAGATCATAAATATTCACAATTTTTAGAAGTTTAGTTGTTTCTTTCTAAATAGGAGTAGGTTTGTTTGGTCAAAGAGACTTCCTTTTTTTATGATAGTCTCCTTTAAAATATGGGATTCTTTGTAATTTAAAATACTTTGTTTCTCTCTTAGATTTTTGTTTCGTCTGTTATGTTTTTGTTAAGCATATTCACGAAATGGTCTATATCCTTTAATTATTTCTTATTTTTAGTAGTGCAGCAACCCATGTTAAAAAAATTATGGTATTTTAAATCTGATTGAATAAATTTATGATTCAGTTTATTCGCATAATAGTCTCCTTAATTTAAAAAAATCTCCATAGATATATGATAAAATAAACTGGTGTTTAGAATATAGGAAGATGGAAAAATAAAATTGTAGATTATGATAATAGCCAATATTAATTTAATATCAAGTTTAATTCAATAATTATAGATCTATAGCTTTTCTACTCTTATTATATTTTCCCATGTAATTCATTAGAGTGAATTCGAAATAAGGGCCTCCATTTTTTGTAAATTTAACATATTGTGGATTATTCCTAATCTTTAGAATTATGAATACTAATGAACAATTTTGTAGAGCTTCATTTTTTCGATAGTAATTCCAGCGGCTTAAAGATCGTCATAATGAACGAATACATCTGTTCCATCTTCATCAAGAACTAAAAATCCATATTTCTTGGCATCATCATAGAATTTCATTCTTCCTTTCTATCTGGTAATTAATTACATTAGGATTACCTTTAAAGAGTATCGTCTAAAACGTAGGGTAACTTCGAAGGCGTTTCTATTTTTGGTGTTCCAATGTTTAATTTTAAACTCACCCCAGGAGGATTTTATTTCAATAACTAATAATCGTCGCTGTATTCTTGATCCGATATGGTTAAAGGTTTTTGAATATTAACAGGGTGTTCGAATTATAATTCCTCTTCAATTTTTTGTTCATCTCTTTTTAAGGAGGAAGATCTCTCAATTTTTCTGGCAATAAATTTAATCATGTTTATAAATATAAACAATTCTTTAAGAAATACTACTAATTCTGAAATTATAATTCTTCAATATTTAATATATAACTATTAAAAATTCTAAGAGAAAATACATGTTATGAATATCCATAAGAAGTGATTGATTTTTGCTAATTTATTGATTGTATACTTAATTAGTAATTATCTAAGTTGAGAAATTGGAATTAATCAGTATCCAATTAATTTAATATAGCAAAAATGCTCATGAAAAGAAAACATTAATAATTATATTGATTAATTATAAAAATTAACATGAGTTCATTTTAATGTCTACTTAATGATTGGCAACCTTGACAAAATAACTTAAAATATACCAAAAACATGGTCATGATACATCAAATTAAACTAATGTTTGAAATGAATGTAATAGCTTTATTAAACAAATGAAAAAGCGGAATTTATAATGTAGATTAATAAAAAGAAGATGAAGAATTGCATCAAAATAGTAGATATATATCGCCATAATTTCGGAAACTCAACAACAATTACTGGAAGTAAGTATCTTAGAAAATAACAAATTACGAAATTTAGAAATATGTAAAATATTTTCAAAGTTTGAGATGATGTTAAAAAATAAAGGGGATATTGATAATGATAGAGGTAAGACTTTTATATTAAAAAATAATTGAAGATTAATTAATTTATAATCAAAATTACAAGTATGAATAAAAAAAAATAATCATGAAAAATTTAAAAAGCCTTAAAATATCAGAAATTGCAATTAAAATTTGGTTTTATGGAGAGGCAAAGGATTTAATAAAAGAATATTGAGAAAATTTTATAATTAAATGTCTGCCCGAATGAGATGCTTATGAAAAGTTTATATATTGTAAATAATAACAACCAAATAATGATTAGGTTTAAGAAACTCAAAAAGAAAGTTATTAAAAGAAATTACCATAACTAATTGGCAACGTCCATGTTCATAACAATTTCATTAATAATAACAGCAATTTATACATAAGACTGAAGAGTTTCCCAGTTATTTCAATTGAATAAGATCTAAAATGACATTAGGTAAATACAGATTAATACAAATAACCAATTAGATGAGCCTAAGTTATCAAATATTAAATAATGATACTTAAGAATAAAAGAATTACCAGATTTCTAAGAAAAGAAGAAGGAATCATTTGGAGATGATGAGATAAATAATCATTTACTATTTATTCCATTCGAAAAGGAAGGATTGTCTTTTTATAATTATTTAGTTTACCTATAAATAGATATTAGATATTCTTCAAATAATTAACAATTAATTTTAATAAATTCAAAAAATTAGTATGAGGCGATTAAAATATGTCATAGAATTAGATTTCTCTATTCATAATTAATAATTTAATAATACACGAGTTTAATTGTTAAAGCTATTTATACTAAACCATCATTGCAACAGCTATGAAATAAAGTTTTTTTCATAAATTTACAATAAAATTTATTTAAATTTAAAGCCTCAAAATGACTGAAAAAACCAATAATGATTTAAGGATATTTAAAACTATATTATATTGTCAGTCGATCCCAATGTAATAATTTACTTATATTTATTTAGTTTCATGTAAGCATGAAAATTGAGTTCTCAAATTTGTTTTAATACATTTAAGCAGATTTGATTAATTGTAAATAATTAGTTTATAAATAAATAATATTATATAATGATTGATGACTCTAGAATGTATGGACACCTTATTTTTGCTGTTATGATATCGATAAATTTGGATCAGCAAAATAAGGAAAGAAAATGAAGAATTTTGTTTGTTTTTTATTATGAATGTCAAATTTTATGAATTATTTGTTTATTGAAAAGAATACAAATGACTAAAGTGAGAAATGTGTTTAGGTTCATTAATAATGATTTTGCTTAAAACCATTTTTTCTGATTCCCCACTAATCTAACTATTATATTTCAATGCTATTTAAGTGAGTATGTTTCAAGCGTAACTCTGATTTATTTAAAAGAATAGTAAGTCATAAAAAAATTGTGAGAAAAAATGTTGGGCTATATTTTGATTTTTAAATTCCTTAAATATAAACTGTTTGCCCTAATGGGAAGAAAATCGCTATTATAAGAATTTAATCTTGTTTTCCTAATACATTTTGAAAAAAGATACATTTAATTTTTGGGTACGTGATAAATTAAAACTGAGATTAATCAAGATGTGAAGGGGTATAAAAGGGATCCAGAATTGGCAGAAGATCATTAATATTTATAAAACATTTTCATGTTAATCATAACTTTGACAAGCATGTTACTTGCGCTATTAAGCAATAATGTTGAAGGTAATAAGATCAAATAGTATTGTAGCCATGATGATGGACTCTTCAACAGATTCATCTTCAGATGCAGTTGTAATTTTAGCTGCTTCAACTGTTTTAGGATAAGAAAATTCTGGTCTTTCGGGTTCTGTGATGGGAGGAACAACAATTTATATGAAAGTAAGAGAATAAATATTCTTAAAGGTTCAAGGATTAGACTAGACTGCTAGCAATAATGCAGTGTACATTGGTAAATACCCATGTATTATCTCCGACAAGGGAGTTAATGGATTGTTCATGAACTGCAAAACTACAAAACCAAATTCAGATGACAATAACTTATCTGGCTTATAAGTTGTTGTCAAGGTATCAGGTAAACCAGACTCAGTGTGTGCTTCAATTTCCTCAAAATGCCTTTACAGTTACTCTCAATATTATACACCAAAATTATTTTATGTTAGTCCAAGATCAAATTATCCAAGAACCCTAAGCTATTGGAGGGCTAAGTGGGCTGTGTCAAGCACACTTGTATAATATCTAGAAGGATAATTCATGGGAGCCAACAGATGCGACAGATTCACAGTTTAAGATTAGTATCCAGATGAGATTAATTTCTGGGATGATTAAGTTGTATGTTAGGTTTCAGCTGAAATCAAAGCAGGATATTATGATTATACTATTAAATCATAGAGTGGATATCAAACCAATGATGTTGGGATAAAATAAAAAAAAATTTATTCTGATAGGACATATAATTCAAAGTATTGAATATTCTTAAATTTTAGAGTTCTTCCAGTTATAACAGGAATAAATACGAATTCAGCATCCCCAGAGGGTTAAATTTTGTAAATTTCAGGATTTGGATTTAGCCCAATAGCCAGTGAAAATGCAGTCAAGATTTCAGGTTAATCAGAAATTATTTAAGTTTTATCATCAACTCCTACCACTATTAATGCAAGAATACCAAAATTGAGCAATCTACCAACTGTTGCTGATGCTACTGAAAGCTCAGTTTTTATTTAAGGAAGTGGATTACATTATACAAGATGGGATGTTTCAGGATTGAATCTTAATTGTGCTTCCTTCAGAAATTAGATAATTACTAACTAAGCTCAATTAGACAGTAGAATTTAATTTAATGGAATTTATCCAGAACCTGATGTGTAAAGTTAATTTGGAGAATATTATGGATAATATTTCAGAGGATTCCTAAAAGCACCCTTCACTGGAAATTACAAGTTTTATATTGCTTCGGATGATTGCTCATAATTCTTCATTCAAACAACTTAAACCAAATAGGCAATCAGACCTGATACAGCAACTGCTGCTAGTGGATGGAATCCATACAGAAACTATTGGTATGAATATTTGAGTTACTCTAACTCAATTAAAACAATATCCAACTCTGTTTCTTTGTAAGAAGGAGAATTCTATTACATTGAAGCATATCATCTTAATGGTGCAGCAGGTGGATATCTTACTCTATCTATGGAAATCGAGAGTGCAACTAGAAAATCTAATTCATTAAATAGTGTCTATGAAATTTCAACATCCTACACACCAGTCAAAGAAGTGATTGAATTAACCTTATATAATTCAGCTGGAAACACTTTATTAGCAGGTAAGTATTAACTTTAATTCACTTTTGGTACTAAAACCACACCATAGACAACTGTGTATTATTCTTACACCACTGGAGATATAGCTCCTAATGCAAATGCAAATGCCATTAAAAATGCAATTTAAAACTGTGGTGGCAATTACTAAGTCACTGTGACAGCCACAAAATTAGATAACACTGGAGCTGCTTTAGACGATGCAGTCACAACATTCGCTGGATATAAATATACTATTACATTTGATTCTCACAGAGGTACTGTTTAATATAGAGCACTTCCAAAAATCGTCTCACCTAGTCTTAATGGAGGAACACCCGTATCAAATATTGTAAGAACTCAGGAACCTGCTGATCCAATTAGTGGAACCTTTTAATTAACAATTACAATAAACGGAATTGACACTTTATTCTAAGTAGCAGAAAGCAATTATGATTTGCCTTTTGATGCTTCGTCATCATTGATTGCTGATAACATTGAAAGAATCACTGGTTAAAGACCTTTTGTCTGGAGTTTCGGAAGAGCACAAGATGGATGGAAATGGTACATCATTCTAAGATCACATGTGGAAGGACTTTCTAGCTTATCAATTTCAAGCAACGTTTTAGCTTCAGGAAATGGAGATGTAACTATTGCTGTTTCTTAACCAATCGCAGATAGTACTAATTTATTATTTGAACCAATTCCAAATGAACTACTATTTACCTATAGTCAACATCCCTAAGTTTAAGTTGAAGTGCAATACTAGTTAAAAGAAAATGATGTTGTTGTTGAAACAGAATAAATTTTAGCTGGTTGTGAGTAGGCCAACGCCTGTGATTTCACTTTAAGTGATGAAAAGACCCCAACTTTAACAGCTTATACAGTCTCAGGATCCCAATTATCAGTAACTTTAACATAAGGAGTTGGTTTAGCAGTTACTCGACCTGACTTAGAAATATCATTTGCTGGAGCTGATTGTACAAATATTCAGCCACATGCTACATTACCCAACACTTTTACTTGTACATTAGAATAATTGAATGGATAGAACATCAAGGAGGCTGGAGATAATTTAGTGCCTGCTGTACATCATAAAGCCATCGGATTTTCTAAAATTGATGCTGGAGTAACTGGAGAAACTGTCAATTTGGTTATATCATCTGTGTTGCCAGCAACAGGATCCCCAGATGGTGGCACTACTATTACTATCACAGGTACTGGATTCCCTAAGAATTTAAATAGAGAATTCGCATTCAAAATTGATGGCTAGGATGTTCATCCCTTATCAATCACAAATACTTAAATCGTATTCATTAGTCCTAAGAAAGTTAGTGGAGGCACTGGAGCTATTTCTTTGTCCTTCAACGAAAAAACACTCACTAGTAGTTCATTTTCATATGATGATGCTTTGAGAATGTAAATTTCATCCTTAGAATTCAATTCATAATCACCAATATTCAAGGGAGAGATGACAATCACAGGAACCAATTTCGGAACTGTTGTCGATGAAATCAAAGTCACTTTAGTAGGAACCAAATCTTATAATGCTAAGGTCATTTCAGTTACAAATACTTCCATCAAAGTTTATTTAAGAGGAGGAATGCCTGGCGAATATTTAGTCACTGTTACAAGGAAAGATTATGGTAATTCATATGCAAATACTGGTGATAACTTGTTTAAGTACATCATCCCAATTACCAGTGTCACTTTAGAAGATGGCACTAGTTAAGCAAAAGGATCTGAAGCTGGAGGAACAGTTATTAAAATTACAGGATCTAATTTCGTTAAGGGAGAAACTCTAGTTTTTGTGGGTATTGCTGTAAATTGGCTTTGTGAAATTGATGAAAGTAGATTTACAAGTGAGGTGATTTATTGCACAGTCCCAGCAAAAAATGAATATTACAGTGTTGCAGATTAATTAGTTGTCGTAGCTTTATAAGTAACACTTGAATCAACATGTCTTGATTCTACTAACAATTGTAAATTTACTTATGATAATACATTGACTCCAGTTATTAATGATTACCCAGCATCTTCAACTTAGTTTACTGGATCAAGAATTTTGACAGAGAGCGATCATTAAAAACCTGATTATTAAAAATTGGTCTAGAGAAAGAGATTTTTATGGACAGAAGAAACAAAAAAACAAGGAAATGATCATATTTTAAATCTTGGTAAATCACCCAGAAGAGATATGCTTTCATCTGCTGATATAGTTTTAAGTCAATAAAAGACATATGCTCCATAAGACACAGAAACATTGACAGGAACAGGATTAACCAGTGAAGTATCAGTAGTATTCAAGGGTCCAATCACATCGAAAGTTGCAGCTACTATTTCTGGATCTTCCTTCACTTATACAATTCCAAATTTACCTCAAGGATAGTACTCAACTTATATTTTAACTTAAAATGGCTATGCAGATAAGATCTGGGTTACAGTAATTGGATTAAGTATTACATCGATTGATGCTGCATCCATCGGTGGGTAACTTCTGACTATTAATGGATATGGATTTAATGCAGACAAATCTCCAAGTGTTAAAATTGGAACAACATTGTGTACTGAATTATAAGTAGTTTCCAGCATTTAAATCAAATGCAGAATGGCCAGATAATCAGGGTCATCAGCAGCAGTTACACTATCCCAATTACCTTCTGAAAATAATTCAGCAGTTCCTATCACAGCCTCATTTACTTTATCAATTAATCAGTCATCAAATTCTCCCACCTTCACAGCCATCAGTGGTGCTACTTATGATTCTACACAAAAGGCCTACTTGGCTACAACTGGAAATGTTGCTCTTGTATTCACAGGTGTTAGACTTACTGGTACTACAATAGTTGTTACATTGGAACATATGGGTCACAAGATAGCTGCAACAGTCTCAGCTTAATCTGATACTTCCGTCACAGCTACATTCTCAAGTTTACCAGCAGGAGTCTATTCAATCAACCTCTTGGTGGATGCTAAATATGCTTATATAAGTGATGTGACCAAATAGAAATTAATTGTCAGTGCATCTCAACCAACCTCAAATAATCCAACAGTCTCATATGCAGGAGGTGCATCAGTAACATTTACTGGAGCTGGTTTTGACTCTGTTAAGGATTAAAATTCAGTAAAACTTTGTGGATTTGATTGCCCTATCACAAGTGCAACCTACTCAACATTGTCATGTGAAACTCCAAAATTATTGACAGCTTCAGTTTTGAATCAATATCCTGCTTTGTAAGAACCTGCTAGGTATATTAAACCATCTGAAGTTACCTTGTTGGCTGATACAGCAACATCAGCTAGTAAATTCTTTGATTTGCTTCAATCAAGTTATTATGTATCTAGTGCCACTTCAAATTGTTACATTCAAGTCGACTTTGGAGCAAATAGAGTTTTGAAATTGCATTAATTGAGATACATTCCAAGAATCGATAAACCAGCAATTCAATTGAAAGATGCAGTGTTCCAATACACAACAGATGGTACTAATTGGTAGACTTTACTAACAGTTGATTAGACTGTGCATACCGGTTGGAATATTTATGTTCCAACAACCGATGTTTCAGGCATTAAAGCAATCAGATTGTTTGATTCAAGAGGATCGACTGGATCATCATGTTAATTAGCAGAAATAGAATTGAAAGGTTGGGTTTTATCAAATAGCAATAATGCATACTCTGTTCCAACTTCATGTGGTGCAGAAATCTCAGTCAATGGATAAGCTCTTACTGCAGTATCAAATGCTGTTAGTTACTCTTCAAGTAGTGTTCCTATTGTCAATGCTGTCAGTCCAGCTTCAGGCAGATTTACTGAAGAAGCAGTTATTACAATTACTGGTACTGGATTTGTTAATGGATAAACTACAGTAACCATAGATGGAATCACATGTGCCATTTAGAATGTTACACCAACCTAAATTGTCTGTAAAACTGGAGTCAAAGATTTAGAAGAAACTTAATTAAATGGAGTATTCTAAGTAAGAGTTAATGGAAACTTGGCAGTGAACAATCAAAAGTTCATTTATGCTACAAAATGGTCAGACATTAATACTTGGGGTGGATATGAATATCCAGGAGACGGAGATTCCGTTATTGTTAATGCTGGATAAACTTTGATTGTTGATGTTAAGACACCTAAATTGATGTAAGTCTTGGTTGAAGGAGCTCTCACATTCTCTGATGAAGTAGATACATCTTTGGATGCTCATTATATTGTGATTAGAGAGGGTAAATTCAATATTGGTACAGAATTGGTGGCTCACTAACATAAAGTTTAGATTACTCTATATGGTGTTGAGGAAGATACTTAAATGCCTGCTATGGGTAATAAGGTTTTAGGATGTCATCAATGCCAATTAACTATTCATGGAAAGGAAAGAACTCCCACTTGGACACTATTATCAAGCACAGCCATAGCCGGAGCAACTCAAATCACAGTCGATGATGCCGTAGACTGGTAGGTAGGAGAATAAATTGTCATTACCTCCAGTGAAGTTGAACATATGCAAAGTGAAAAAAGATACATTACAGCTGTCAGCGCTGACAAGAAAACTTTGACACTTGATTAACCACTTACACATCAACATTACTCAGCTGTTGAAACCTATGGATCAGAATAATTCCCAATGAAAGTTGAAGTTGGTTTATTAACAAGAAATATAGTTATTCAAGGTGAAGAGTCTGATTTGAAATATGGATATCATTTAATGATTCATGGAAGAGCCGAGAAAGGAGCAATTGGTAAAATATCATATGCAGAATTCAGATACGGAGGTTAACCAAGAATTATCGGTAGATATCCTGTTCATTTCCACTTGAATGGAGAAGTTGATGAGTCATATGTTGTTGGTAATGCCATTCACGATTGTTATGCTCGTTGTTTGACTATTCATGGTGTTCATTATTTGAAGGTCTAGAAGAATGTTTGCTATAATACCTTTGGACATGCCATATTCTTTGAAGATGGTATTGAAACAAACAATGTGGTTGAGGATAACCTTGTTGCTAGTACTAAATAAAGTTGGATCATGTTGTAAACAGATATTACTGTGGCCACATTTTGGGTTACAAATCCTTAGAACATCGTAAGAAGAAACAGATCAGGTGGTTCAGAGTGGTATGGTTTCTGGTATGAAATCAAAACAAATCCAGATGGCCCATCAGCCACATCAGATATTTGTCCTCCAGGCCTAAATATACTTGAATTTAAGGACAATTGGGCTCATTCAAATGGCAGATTCGGGCTTCGTATTTTCTAATTGGCTCCAAGAAAGTTCCCATGTTAAGGGCCAGAAAATTGGTCAAATGATTAACCCTACCTTGACAATCCAAGTCTTTAAGCAGTTTTTGAAACATTCCGTACATGGAAAAATAATGAATGTGGTGTCTTGGGAGAAGAATTGGGTAACATATATTTCAAAGACATTATGATTGCTGATTCCAAGTTTGCTGGTTTCTAAGCTCATAAAGGTAACTTCTCAGCTGAGGGAGCAGTGTTGGATAATGCCTTGATTATTGGTAAATCAAACAGCAATGCAAATCCCGATATCACTTACTATGATGGATCAAGAGCAATGGTTGTGCCAAGAACAAATGGATTTTTAGCTAAGAACATTAGAATTTATAATTACGGAAGCAATTCAGCATTAATAGAATCATGTTCCGTATGTTGGAATGTGAAGTTGTGGGTACAAGGAGGTAAAAACACATAATTTATAAATGTCAATGCATATAATTCTGATTCTGCTAATCGTATTTTCTGGTAGAAGCATAGAAGAGAAATATTCTGGGATTAGGATGGTTCAATTTCAAAAGTAGCAGGAGGAGCCTATATTATCCCATACAAGAAACACATAGATGGCATTCCAGGATGTGTTAATCATCCAGAAGATTTTTGGGATAATTCAATCATTTGTGCAATGAATTAAGTTACGATAAGAGATGTTTTGATTAATAATCCTACTCCAGAACAAGATTTCACAGGAGTTGATATGAAACTATATAGATTGGGCACTAGTGAACTTGCAGTTAAAATGGATGCTAATATAGACGAGAGTAAACATATTGAAGGTGAAACTATGAAGATTATAAAGAAGAGTCACGATGTTAAATTATCATTTGCAAGTGTATTTGCTACAGGTTTCACTTATAATGTTCATTTCAAATTTGGAGCAAGTGATCCATTAAGCATGGGTATCTTTGCATCCCCATACTTCAGTTAAACTGATGATGCTGTAATTCTTAGATTCAATTACTCTGCCAATAGAGAAACATTTGATATCATGAGAAACATTGGAGGATAATTCCCAGTAAATTACACAAAATTGGAGTAAATTCCAGATACTAAAACTTGTAATTAAGGTGATTGGTACAATGATAGAACAAATAAACTATTCTTCATTTGCTTGTCTGGTAAGAATAAGAAGAAGTATGAATATGTTGAGGTCAGAGGAGTTATTTGTCGAGATGAATGTGATAGCTTAGGAGATGTACCATAGGAAGACGGCTATAGATATTGGAGTGATCCAACCACTTGGATAGATAACAAAGTTCCTGTTGAAGGAGACAGTCCTATCGTACAAGCAGCATATCAAGTCATCTTGGATGTCGATCCTCCTAAACTTGCTAATCTAACGATTTTGGGATCATTAATTTTTGATGAGAGAAGAGCATCAACTAAGTTGGAAGCAGAGAGAATTTGGGTTAGAACAGGAAAATTATTAGCTGGTAATTCCACTAATCCATTCCCTGGAAAGATTTTAATTTAATTGAATGGAGAATTCGGAGATAGCCCATTAGTAATTGATGCTAATCTGGATGTTGGTAATAAAGTACTCGCAGTCACAAGAGCTATGGAATTGTACTCAACTCCACCAGGAACAGTATGGACTAGATTGGCAGCATATGCTGATGCAGGTGCAACAACTGTGACAGTGGCAGAGTGTGCTGGTTGGGCTGTAGGAGATGAGATTGTATTCGGTCCTTCAGGTAGCGATCCAGAATAAAGAGAGAAGAGATCTATTACAGCTATTACTGGATGTGTTTTGACTTTGAATTAGGCCCTAGAATTTGACCATTACGGAGCTCCTTCAGTAACTATTGATAAACCTGGAATTGGTAAATTAGATATGAGAGCTGTTGTTGGACATCTAACCAGAAAGATTAAGATTCAAGGAGGAGACAGTGTTCATGGTTTGGGATGCAGAGTCTTGATTTATTAATTTGAAGAACCAGGAGCGAATTTAGGATTCCCAAGAAGAGGATACACAGTTTTACAAGGTGTTGAATTCAACAATTGTGGTCAATTTGATACTCAAAGAAGTGGATTAGATTTTAGAAATCTTAATAGCGATATCATTAAGACTCAAAGTGAAGTAGTTGGGTGTTCATTCCATGATACTACAGGCATGTTGATGACAATCTAGAATTCATAATACATTACGATCAAGAATAACATATTCTTCAATGGTATCAAAGCTTTGGTGTAGATTAATAACAGTCAATATGTGAAATTCTAGGATAATGCATTGATTTATGTGAAGAAGAGATTATTAACAGATGGAGGAATTGCCAATTGGGCTGTATTTGGTAACTTTGTCTACATGGATGAATTGGTACCAACCTAAATGACCAGAGATATTTTTGATGTATCTGGAAATGTTGGACAAGGATCTCAAGACACAGGATTCTTTGTTATGGCAAGTAAATGTTCAGATGCATATTAATCATCATTCTATAACAATCATTGTTCAGGTACTGTTTTGGCTTGCTTCGGTGTAAGACAAGACCCAGAAGGCTAATGTTCATACATTCAAGGGTTATCTGCTCATCACAGTGAAGTTGGTATAATGTATGCAGTTTACAGTGAGTAGATCTAACTTGAAAAGTCAATTGTAGTTGAGAATGATAGAGGAATAGCTTTGAAACCTGCTCCAAATAGCATATAAGAGAATAAAATGAAGCTCACTAATATCTTCATCTCAGCCCTAGCCAGACCAGAGTGTGTGAAATGCTACTCTGCTTCACTTAATCCTAATTGTCAAGGCCAAATGGGTATTTAAATGGGTACTTTGACTTCATCAGCATTCCCTCCTATTTCATCAAAACCATCTTCTGCATTTGACACAATTTGCACAGTCTAAAGAGTCGATCTCAAGGTCTACTTAACAAATGTGGAATTCCATAACTATAGATTAACCTATGATAACCTACCTAGATGTAAGAATAATGCTGCATTCAGATAACACCATGGAGCACATGATATGACAGGACAACATTACCTAGTAAACTCTCCATGCACTAATTGTGAATTCAATGCGTTGTTGTACAAGTCTAGGAATCCAGATTCAAGTAAACTAGGATGGTTTGGAGGATGTGGATCATTTTTATGCACAGGATAAATCAACTTTTTGATTGAAGATTAAACTGGTCACTTCTTTGGATAAATCGGACAAGGTATTGGTAACAACACATACTTTGGACCAAATGTCACTTATTGTTCAAGACAAGAAGCTTGGAATGGATATTGGTGTCCAGGCAGATAAGCCACTGTTTTGATGTTTATGAGTACTGCTGCAGACTACAACAAGAGATTGTATTCGCCAATCAAGTTGACCGATGGATTATTCTTTAATGAAATTAACAGTTATGCTGAGTGGAATTGGGACGGTCCTGAACCATTAAATTTGAGAGAATCCAAATTCGTAGGTTTAATCACAGTCAATACAGTGATCAATATGACAAATGCTGGTATGAATCCAACTTCATCTGAATATTGGCTATCAAAGAGATCAGAGGCAGGTAGTCCAGAAGATTGGGTTATTTTGAAATGGCAATTCTCTGTTCCGTAAATCATTCAAGTCATGGTCAATAATAAAGTTGTCTAGCCTGGACTTACTACTAACAATAAGCATCATGATCTAACGACAATGACTAATCAATGTGGTGCCAATAATTACTTCTTTGAAAATAGAACTATTCATTTTGTTTTGACTGGTAAATTGGATTGCAAGATCAAAATCGCTTTGAAGAATACCCTCCAAGTTTCAACAAGACTTGAAATAACCACTACAGAATTCTTTGGCGATAAATTCCTATAATATGCAAGAGCACAAATTGGAGGAGATCCTTACAACTATTTCATCATTGGAACCAAGAAATACAGAAGAAGATTTTTAGAGGAATCCACAACTACATCTGTTGTTGTTGATTGGGGTATTGCAGACTCTGCTGAAATTGGATCTAATGAAGGCAAATAATCCTAATCAAGACTTGCTGAAATGGCTACTAAACTAGAATCCTTGGGAGTTTCAGAAGACTTGAAATAACTAGGAGTTGTTGGTCTCAAACATGAATCCACTACCATTTCATCAATTTCGGATCTTAATTTCAAGAGCACAGAACAAACATCAGGTAAATATTATAATTTATATTTTAGAAATTATTCTAGTTCCAGGAGGAAACACAAACAATAACAATGGATAAGGCAGCAATAATGGCAATAATAATAACAATAATAATAACAACGGCAATAATAACAACAATAATGGAAATGATAATCCCTCCAATAATAACGATGATTTGGTTCTAGTAACTGATGAAGGAGTTAATCAATAAGATGGCAATAATAATTAAAATAACAACTCTACAAATCCAGGAACCATCTAAAAGTCTATTAAAAAATCAGATAACAGTTCTGCAACTGTGACCATTGTTGTGGCTGTTATTTGCTCTGTGGTTGGCGTTTCATTAATAATTGCTGGTCTACTCTATTATAAGAAACTTAAATTGGCTAAATTAATGGCTATCAGAAATCAAAAAGTAGACAACGAATTCTTCAAAGCAAGTATAACCGATTAATAACCCATCGAGGCTCCATAAGAATGATTAAATTTAGACAATATTAAAAATAATAATTTTACAATCTTATTTAAAGTAAAGAAGTGAAAGCCTAACTTCATTACTTAATAATTTCAGTATGACCACTAATCACAATAAGTTGTCATGCTCACAGTTAGTTGTCTTTTCTAAATTGCATTATTAACAATAAATTATTAACCCTTATTCCATAAATTTTAATTAATTAAGAAAATAGAGCTTCTAATATTGCTAAAAACACCAAAAAAAATGCTTAATTGTGGAACAAATACAATATATGTGTTTTTTTTGGTTCAAATTAAAAAATTCTTCTAGAAAGTTTTTCTTCTTAAAAAATCACTCAATCTAAAATAGTATATTCAACAATTCCGAATCCAATTAAGTCAAATAAGAAGAAGGCAAAGGTTGATAAGCTAAAAAGTTATAACGTCATTATTTTAAGCTGATTTACATCTGTGTATGATGGATTTATAATAAATTTAATTTTTATATGAAAGGAATTTAGTTATAGAACCAACTTAAAAATGAGAAGAAGATGAACATCAAAAGTTTCTACATAGTCGGTTTGATTGGTGAAGGTATAATTATGAATAAAATCGAAGGTGCCTACTCTGAAGTTTACGAAGCTATTTACTTAAAAAATAATAAAAAGGTAGCCATCAAAAAGGTTTACAAAGAATCAATCACTCTATCGAACAAACAATCGGAAATTTATATTGAAAGACATATGATGAAGCAGTATTCACAAAAGTATCCAAGTAACATTGAATCTAATGATTTAGGCATGGTTGAATTTATTGGAAGCTTTTAAGACAAACAATACCTTTATTTCGTAAGTGAGCATTGTCCTTTCGGAGATTTAGGCAATATCATATATGACATCTATTAATTTTACAGAAATACTAAATCTGAAGAACTCGAGTATTTCATTAAAGTTTACATCTATCAAATAGCTTAAGCAATTATCTATTTACACAATGAGGGCATAGCTCATTTGGATATAAAACCTAAAAATATTTTAATAGATAAAAATTACAACCTTAAATTGACAGATTTCGCAACTTGCTTTTTTTTTGAAGAGCATAAATAGCCCCCTGATTTAATTGATTAGATAAGGAAGTTTTAGCAGAGTCACGTGAGGTCCATCAAGAAAATCGAGAGCGAATCAACTTAATACAGATCAAATTTTGTTGGAACTCCAGAATACATATCCCCTGAAATGCTCAATAATAGCAGAGCATCTAAGGAGGCTGATTTATGGGCTCTTGGTTGTATAGTGTACGAGGTAATGATTTCATATTTTTTAGTTTTATCATGGGAAATAACCTTTCACTGATATTAGTGAGAATGCCATTTTCAATAATATCTTAACTCTCAAATATCAATTAGACAATTCAATTCCATAACCTGCCTAAGATCTCATCAAATCTTTATTGGTGTTAAACCCATCCGAAAGACTAGGACAAGAAGATACAAAATTGATTATCTAACATTAATATTTTTAGGGTATTAAACAGGACTATATTCCTTGGCAAACCGAAATTGAAATTCCATTTGAATATAAAGGATTATTTTAAGAGATTATCCCTAGTTAAAGTAAATCAAGTATTTTATGGGAGTTTACACCTGCAAATATTTAGATGAAATAAGACCTAGTCAAGAAAAAATAAGATAGATTAAAAACCATAATGGAGGAACTTGATGAAGCCGTAACACCAATCCCAAACGTATTAATAAGACCATAAAAAATTCATTGCTCTCCCAATCAACAAATTTTTAAGCCTGACCGAACGATAAATCAATCTCCAAGCAATTAGGATACAGAGTCTCATTGTAATTCAGTATTTAAGCATTTCGACAAATGCGTTGGTTTTATTTATTTGAACACAAATAGATGGTTCTGCATACCTTAAATCGCAATACTGTTTGGATACTTGAAGCCTCCCTGCTTACTGATAGATTTTATAAAAGGAGAAAAAAAATATTTACCTATTGATGATACAATAAAGATATCAAATGATGGTGTTCATTATGTACCTAGTTTAGAAATTATAAGATTTTAGAATCTTCCTCGTTCTTCTATAAATTTAAAGATGCTGAAGCTCGGCCTATAAATTGGATCCAGGTAGTTCAATCAATAAAAAATGAATATCTTAATCAATGATTTTAATATTTTATTTACACTGCACTTCCATATTTCTTTGTCAATAATTCTACATAGAGGGAGCCTTAATGAGAATAATAAAAGAGGATAAGAGCAGTCTTTGGTTAATTTTTATAGTTTGAAAAATCAATTTATAATTAAAAGTATTTGAATGAATTCATTGAATACAATTAACAATTGTTTAAAAACATATTTTCCAAAGAGAATTAAAACTTATTATGTAATTATCATTTGTTTTTAGATATTTATATTGTTACAAGATTGAGCCTCAATTATATAAAAGAAACAATAAAGTTTTATTCAATAATCAAGAATTATGATTATGTAAACTAACCAAAATAAAACAAATTCAAACTTTATAAAAAGAATTAATTTATTTTTGTATTGTTAAAATTATTTCATTATTGAAGCCAAGGGTGCAAGAACATACTTTATGAGGAAGGCCTATCAAGAGGATCCCATTTTAGTGCAAAGAGAATGAAATCCTATAATTTTTTTGCTTCATGCTCTTCAAAATCATAATCTTTTGTTAAAGTATCACTTAGTTTGAATTTTTGTAAATCCTTATTAATATAAATTCAAAATACTTTAATTGTTTTTAAATCTCCATTTTTTTCAAAATATTAGGAGCTTCTTTTGCCCTTGTTTAAAAAACTTTCTGTTGGAGGTCCAATCAATTCTATCATCATTGCTAATAGATCCTCCATCTCTTCTTCTTCATTATCTCCTTCAGGATTGAATAAATAATCGTTAGTCAAGATTTCGAAAATTACACATGCCAGTGACCAAACATCTGTATTGGTTGAATATTGAGCTTAAATAATAGATTCAGGAGATTTGTATTCCTTAGTTTGAATTTCCTCAAATTGTTAATTAGTTTGACAAGCATTGCCAAAATCAACTAATTTAAATTTAAGGTCAGTGTTTACATTAATTATTACATTCTCATTCCAGATAAAAGTGTCGCCACTATTTGTCTCATTTAATTTAACTCTCTAAATATTTTCTCTTATTACTTTTTTTTCTTATCATCAGCCTCTTCTTCGTTAATTAACTACTTTAATTATTGTTCATTCAACTCAATCATAATGTTTTCTGGCTTTATGTCAGTGTGAATAATTTGGCATACTTCATGAGAATAAATCAATCCGATCAGCACTTATTTAGTGACCTCCTTCCCTAACTAGATGCTCATACAGGAATGCTAATCATCAGAATATCTTATACTTTCTTTTCATAGAATCTAATTAAATCCAACAAAGTAGGTCCCAAAATTTCCATTACTACACAATGATGCAACGTTTCATCGACAATATGAACGAAAGAATCTACCATTTTTACACAATGTGTTTCTTGTTAATTGCCAATACAATTTTTCTGAATGTCAAGCCATTATTGTGAATTTTCATTTTCATTCAAAATTCTACTTTAGAATGGATAATACTTTAAAATATCTATTTCCTCAACTGCTGCATCTGAATACTATGAACTTTAAATTTTGAGAGCATAATGAGTCGAACTAATTAAATCTTTCACTAACCAGACCTTAGAGAATGTCCCATCTCCTAACCATTTTATAATTTGATATTGATTATTTTTCAGTTTCTCTCCTATTTTAGCTTCATATTAGCCTTCGTTCATGCTATCATATTCTGAGGATGAATCAGTCATAAAAATCAAATTATGAATAATAATAATAATGATGTTAAAGTTATAAATATTTGATTGATTTTTTATCTATTAGGAAAATTTCAGAGCATTTATAGAGATTTGATATTAAAAATAAGAGAAAATTAAATTCACAAAAGATTTCAAAAATAAATTCGATTTAGTAATTTAATAATCACTTTTAAAATTAGCATAAAGTACTTTAGGCCAGTGATGAATTGGCATCATCTGATTGTTCTTATATTTCTATTTGAAAATTAAGTGGAATACTTTACCACTCATGTTTAAATTCTGATGTTATTCAGCTTATTGAAAAGCTTCCTTAAACTGCAATTGCATGGATGTAAAGAGCTATTGAAGATCATTTCTTCCGGAAGTCATTGTAAAATCACTAAAGCATTTAGGTTGGCTGCCCTAAAACTATGATAGAGATTATATATTAATATTCGACTATTTTGGATTAAATGTTTATTTCTTTTTTATCTATTGTGTTTACATTATTTGTTTTGGTTTAGAAATTACAATGTGAGATTGCATTTATTAGGATATAGGCTAGGTCAGTCTCTTTTAATCAATAGGTTATTGTTAAAACTACTTTTTTGGTAACTATTTTAATTTCTCATTAGATATTTGCCTTCTTTTCTTGCTATATTGAAATATTTACATTTTCGATATCTGATTAGGTCACTATAAGTTCTATCTAATTATTCCATGTAAATTATTTATTATTTTAACCAGGACTTGTTAAAATGCCTGGTTTTTCTATTGAATTTTAAATTAATCTTTTCTCTCCTGTTGAGATTTGATTCAGCACTTAGGAACTTTTTATTTAAATCTGAGGCGAAGCATTCTATTTAGGCAAAAGAAGTTTTTTATCAAATTATAATGGAGGCTTATTTGCTTTAAGTGGACTTACCTATGAAAGCTGATTATAAATATTGTTACGATTCCTAATAATTGGGATTGAGTAACTGAGGGAGTTAGTTATTATTAACTGTATTAACTATTGCCTGATTTAATAATACGATGATGTTAATTAATATTTTCTGAGGGTAGTATAATATTTTTTAACTTCCCAGAATAAACTGGTTTTCTAGGAGGTTATGGGGAAGTTACTGTCAAAAGAGGTTATCCAGACCCAGGTCTTTTCCTTTCTAGTTGCTGTAGTATATTTTTATAATAATCAGCATCAAATTTTAGTTTTGAACCTGACAATTATCTTATTCCTAATGACATTATTTATTTTTAATTATCAAAATAAATGCAGAATAAGTAAGTGAAACTCCAAGACTTTGAGATACTCTAAACTCTAGGTACTGGTTCGTTTGGCAGAGTGAGATTGGCAAAATAGAAATCAAATTCAAAGCATGTAGCTTTAAAGATGTTAAAGAAATGTGAAATTCTTCGATTAAAATAAGTTGATCATATTAGTTCTGAGTTCAAAATACTTCAATAGATTTAACATCCTTTCATTGTATATCTATAATAAATTATTTAGATTGAATTGTTAGGCTACACTTAAGATGAAAGATATTTATATTTTGTTCTAGAGTATATTCAAGGTGGAGAGTTGTTCACTTATTTAAGGAATGCAGGCACTATAGAAAATGACGAAGCATAGTAAAATATGTAATAATATCTAGATTTTACTCTGCTTAAATAGTGCTAATGTTTGAGTATTTACATTCAAAGACTATTGTATACAGAGATCTAAAACCAGAAAATCTACTTATTCAATAAAATGGATATTTGAAATTGACTGACTTTGGATTTGCTAAGGTTGTCGAAGATCATACATATACTCTATGTGGAACACCAGAGTATCTTGCACCTGAAATTCTTCTCAATAAAGGACATGGCAGACCTGTTGATTGGTGGTGTTTGGGTATCATACTTTATGAGATGTTGGCTGGTAATTACATTCCCTTATAGAGTAGGAATTGATCCATTCAATGATGAAGATCCTATGGCAATTTATTAAAAAATATTAAAAGGAAAAGTTAAGTTTCCTAAAAATTTTGATAATGATGCTAAAGAGCTAATCAAAAGTCTCTTAGTTTCAGATGTTTCGAAAAGATTAGGAAATCTAAAAAATGGAGCCAATGATATTAAATAACATAAATGGTATCAAACATTGAATTGGGATAGTTTGATCAAGAAATAAATGAGACCCAAATACATTCCATCAGTTAGGTAAATGTTACATTTATTACTAGATCTGAGAATGATACTTCTAATTTTGCTGATTATCCAGACAGCACCGAATTGCCAGATTCAATCAAACAAGCTGATGATCCATTTAGAGATTGGTGATTTTATTAGTGAAAATCACTTTGATTGTTTATGCTCTGCAAAACAGCAATAATTAATTATATATTCTCCTTTATCATTTGCGAATCTCTAACTTTGAAAATAGATACCTGAGATGATATCCGATCCTTAATGTTGCAATCCATTATCTCATAGATTCAAAATATTATATTATTTGTTAAATAAAAAAATGTAAATTCTAAAATAATCTTCCATCTTGAAAAGGAGAAATTTCATCCAAAATTCATATACAATATTAGAATTTTTGTTTAATCTAATATCGAACATCTTGAATAAATATTAGATGATTATTAAACACAATTTTAAAGCTATTAATAATGATATTTATAACTCTTCTTAAGGAATTTGTTATACACATGTGTATTAATACATTAAAAACGAAGAGTTGAGTATGTTTTTGTATATTTAAATTACTGGATTTATTCGATAATTTAAAAATAGCTAAGTTTACTAAAATTTAAAAGAATTGTAATAAAATTAATATCTCGATGACTTATAAAATATCTAAATTTTTCTAATGATACATTTTACATGAAATTCTTGATCCTTTTAATTAAATCTCATTTTTATATATTTGATATTTATAATACAATAATATTATAAGATCGAACTTAAAAAAGTATATAAACAATTGTTAAGATAATTACAAAAGTCTATACCTTAAATTAATAAATTAAGTTATTTTCACTTAGCAATATTATTCAATCTCCTGAAATCAAAAGGGCAATATAACTATGACCTATATTGATAAATTTAGGTTTATATTCTGAAATTAACATCAGTAATCAAACCATATAATATATTAATTTTAGCTTAAGACTTTATTTAAATAACAAATGAATATTTTATGAAGAGTTTCGGTTGAATGTCACCTGAATTAGTTTGTTTTTTCTAATTAATTATTAATTTATCTTATGATATCTTAAAGTCAATGTGATCTCAATCAGTATAGCCAAGCAATTGATATGTCGTTAAACAGTCTTGATTAAAATTCGAGTTTATACCAACGATTGTAAGGAGTGAATACTGAAAACAATTTTGATGATTAAAATGAAATAGTTTCTACATAATCCATTCGAATTCCATTCAATAAGGTTGAATTTATCTAATAGCCAATATAAACTAAGAAGTTTAGTATATATTTAACTAGGTAGAATGATGTCTGCACAGATTAAAAAGATTAGTAATTCTTATTAATTCTACATTTTTGACTTCTTTTTGATGGAGGCAACGAAGAATGGACTATTAAACTAGAAATACATTATTTAATCAGAGAGTAAGACTTTGGTGGGGAAAATAAAAATATTTGAGAATGGAAAACTTTTTGTTTTCTAAGATGGTGGAATGAGTCCAAAAAAGTGTACAAATCAATAATTTTACAGAAAATATATGGGAAGTATTTGCAAACAAAATGAATTAAGAGTAATATCACATTAATAGTATAGTGTCACATACCAAAGATAAATTAATAAAATAATTAAATTTATACTTATTCACCTGTTTATTTTAAGAAAAACAAAGAGATTATTTAGTAAAATAATTAGTTCTTTGAGTTTTACAACATCTTTAAATTTTAAAAACAAAATTTGTGGTCTATATTTTACAAAAAGGAGTTAACATCAGATTAATTCTTGATTAAAATACAAAAAACAGATGAAACCTCATTTGAAGTACTATATACAGCGCCACTAAACCATTTATAAGCCTTTTAGATTAGTGTTGCTATAATATAAATTATTTCTTGATTGTTAATATACATATAGAAATATCAAAATATCAAAATTTACAAATGAAATTTCATCATTTTCTGTTTAAATGAAATAATGATTATTAAATAATATAGTAATAAAATATTGAAATTAGTTCAAGAATTAAAATTTGTTTATTCTCAAAATATCCTGGTAAAATTAATGCAAGGTCCATGTTCATAACTTTATTTATCTATTGGAACAGATAAGGAAAGAAATAAAATCAGATATGAAAATTTCTATATCTCTTATTTCTAGTATTTAGTAAGCTATTCATTATAAATTAAAGGATTTCATTATTTTAAAATTGCACAAAGATTGTTTTCCGTTATATGATTAAAGTAAAGAATACGTAAAGATTGCGTATGAGATTAATTGAATATAACGTCGGTTTTTTCATTAATTTTTGCACTATTATTTAATTATATTATAATAGGAAAGATGAATAATAAAATTAAAATAAAATTGCTCAGTTACTAAAAAAATGTAAAACAAACCTTGTGATTGGATATGTGCTGAATGCAGGAACCTAAATTATTCATTTCGAAAATTTTGTAACAGATGTCAATAATCCACAAGAGATGCTCCTGGAACAAGATTTATTCCAAATAAAATGGATTAAGGGCTATAAATATTCGAAACTATAAAGCTTTAAGAATAAGACTTAGCTGGAAGCAGCCACAGCTCAGTGGAAAGCAATGATGATGAAGATGTTGTTTTTTCATAAGCATTATTTCTTGAAGATTTATCCAAAAAAACAGAAAATTTGAATAAATCCTTCTCATTCTTAAAGAAATGCTCAGTTTGTTAGTGCTAGAATTACTTTTACTAACAAAGATGTGGACAATGTGGATTCTCTTAATTTGTATGATTCAAGGATTTCAAAATTGATTTTGAGTCTATTTATTTATCGAAATCTTTATCTCAAATTCTTATATTATACATCCATCATACTACACATTTACCTGCTTCAAAACTATATTTGAAAATATATATAAAATTATATATATATATAAAAATGTCAATAAACTGAAATTGTTTTTATTTGAAAAATAAATCATCAAAAAAGACTAAGAAATATGGATTATCTAGATTATTCTCGAATAAAAGTGAGCTCGGATCAGTCTTATTTTATTGGAAGAAACAAAATGATTGTATTTATGATGATATTTAAATGTCAAATTTTAACAAGATGAACGGCATTTTCTGGTATGTAGGTTTGGGTTCCCCTTGATGGCCATTGAACTTTTGGAACTTATGGATTTCTAACGATATCGTAATTCCTAACAATATAAGCTAAAATAATTCTAGCTTCAATCATGGCCATATGCTAGCCGATGCAATTTCTTCCTCCAGCAGCAAAAGGAATATTAATGAAGCCATTATCTTATTTGATTGGTTGTTGTTGTACCCATCTTCTTGGATTGAATTCAAGTGGGTTATCATAATTCTGGGAATTGATGTTGGCCAAGAAATTACCCAAAAGTAGAATAGTTCCTTCTTTAATATGAAGATCCTTGATTTAAAGATCTTATTTGGCCTTTCTGGCAATTGGATACACTACTGATGGCTTAAGTCTCATAACTTCTTTTAAGAAGCTTTCTACCAAAACTAATTGATTGATATTATCAGGAGTGATTTCTCCATTTCCAATTACATTGTTGACTTCATTTCTCAGTTCCTATAGATATTGTTTATTTTCTGATATGAATAATAATGAATTGGCAACTAAGGCTCCAGTGGTGTCAGTACCAGCTAAAAAGAGAGTGATAAATTAGGAAACAATCTCATCAGTTTCAATTCTATCAGAACTATATACATTTTATTCCATGAATATTTTTAGGTACACATCCAAAAAGTCACCATCTACTTAATAATTGCCTTGTTATCTGATCTTGTCTCTCCTTTTGAAAATAACTTCTCTGATGTCTTGTTTTAATTTGGTGACTCTGTCCAAGAGTTCTTTTTCTTTTTTAGTGCAGTATTACCAAGATTTAACTCCCAAAATCTTTTACTTAAAGTAGACAAAGAAATTATTCACTCTTAGTCTGATAAAAGCAGCTAGGATTGATCCCAATTCAATTTAAGCCTCTTTTCCATTAATTTTCCATCCTTCTGCTTCTATGCCAAAGAAACTTCTAATTACAACCTCTCCTGTTATTTAACAAATAAACTCAAAGACTTTTTCAGCAACAGGCATGCCCTTAATTTTCTCTTTGACCACCTGGTTTATCATGGGAATCCTTGCTTTAAGTTTTTAAAAAAGGAAATGATCACCGACTAAGGTTCTTTGTTATTTCCATTTAGGTCCTTCCGTAAACAATAATCCTCCAGAAAGTAGAAAGCTATTCCTAGTGATTGAAATTATACTCTTTGATTCCACTTTGATCATGCTTGGTCACGAGATGATGGTCGACATATATCTGTTTGTAATACTCGGGATCTATTATAAATATCACAGGTTTATTAATTGAATTAGCAACAACAAACTTGACTTCTGGATGCTTAGTGACAATGTCCACAATCCATTAATGCACATTACCTGTAAGTTTAAATGATTTTCGATAAACCTATATTATTCCAAAAATTGGAAAATATTTGCAATAAACAGCATTCCCGAACTACAATTTAAGTTTCATCATGGTGACCAAAGGATTCACTAACAGATATACTACTACCACTGAGATTAATAAAAGAATCCAATTTAACATTAATTAATAGTGATGTATCATATATTCATTTCACTTCAAATTAAATTGATTGTTATAGGTTTTATATTTAATTATGATCCAATGGCGGTCTCATCAAAGGAGGAGCAAAAAGATATTCAAATTGTTGTCCTCTATTTACTTTCCCAACAGCCTAAACTAATCTCTTTCCAAACCATGCGATCACAACTTCCTTCTCATCCAGAATGGAAAGAAATAGATAGGTTTCCATTTATAGTGTAGGAATATCCACTGAAAATGTAAAACGAGCATTGTTAAAGAATGCCACCTTCTTTACATTGTCGACCATTTCACTCTTAAAGGAACAAGACGTGTTATATTTATCCAATAATGTCTTGCCATCCATCAAGAAAATTCCTTTCACTTACAATTTTTATTGGTTTACAAATCCATTGACATTTATCAACATTACCTATAATTTATCTAAATTATCATTTGAATTCATGGTTCTTCTAGAGGGTATTTTAGCAGTCTATTCACTTGGAATTGACTATAAATTCTTTTGAGTTTCACTTTTCATAAGTCCTGATCTACTCTCTTCTATTTGACTGTTTCTAAACTCTTCTGTTTGTTTCAGGTCGTATTTGACAAAGTAGGACACCTTCGTGTTAATTTTCTTCATATTAGTGTAATCAACAGGTGGGGCTGGTACATCGCCTCTAAATAATTTTCCAACAAAATCAGAACTGTTTAATTCTCCATTTAAGAATAACTAAAAACTAATCCATCCTAAATCTGAAAAGGATATAAAAACTTAATAATTTTCCAGACCCTGTTTTCTTTCAATGATTGCATTTATTGGCATCTTGAAATAAACTGCCTCGTTAATTGGTACTGAATAATTTGGCTTAGGTTAAAAAGGAGTAACACTTGTATACGCACATATCACTCCATCTGAATCCATGGCTGGTTCCTCTCCATTGTACACCTAGATAGTAAAGTCAATCGGTTCTTAACTTAAGTAATCTGTTAATTGATCGATTTCAATTATTAAGTATTTACTCTAATCTTACTTATTAACAATTTTCTATTCTTTGGTTTATTGGGCATATTTTGGAGTTTCCTCTATATCCTTCAAATTCAATTATTCCTCCTAAATGAAAATATACATCTCTTTAGTTGTTTTCTTACCAATCTTTCCACTATCATCTAGATCATGAACCATCAATCTCTATGATCCAACATTTAATGCTCCTCCTGCTGAAAAGAGAGGGAATTTACACACTCCTACAATTTGTTATTTGATGAAGAAACTAAATAGATAATTCAACTTTTTAAAAGTAGTCGTGAATGTATCCACTAAATATCTAGTACCAATCCTCAATATGATTAAATGATTAGCAATAAATTCCCCTTTGCCTGTACCCTCAAATAATTAGACATGATCGAATTTTATGCATTATCTGTCTATGGCATCGATAATGATATTTTCTTCCTCGATAACTATGGTTTTCATTATAAATTCATCTTTCGATTAGAAATTTCTAAAAGAGGAGACGTCTAAACGTATTTGAGTGTTCCATTTAGGATTGGCAACTGAATATATTTTCTTCCTTTTTTCCTTGTCTTCTTCTGTCAATACTAAAATTGTATATTAAATTAGTCTTACATTTTTGATCAAGCTTATAATTATCTATGGTTGGCAATTGTAATACACGATCATCGTCTTGCATCATAATAAAATTGATTTGAGTATTCAATCGTTTGGCCTTGTTGAAATTAAAAGGTGGAGCTTATCCTGGTGGCCCATACAAATTTTCATAATAGATACCACTCTTTACTTTGAAATGTTCATCGGAAGTGTCAAAAGCTTGAATTGCATGCCATCCAAATAAATTAGTTACTTCCTTAAAAATAGCTATGAATAAAAAAGTATTCAGAATCTCAGCTTCTTCATAATCTTCAAAATACTGAGTTAGGTTCAATTCAAAAGTAAATAATTCATTAAAGTTAATGTAATTGTCTCCCTTTTCATCAGGTTCTAATTCTTTACTAAACACGCACATATTTTTATCATCATCATCCAATAATTGAATACCTTAGAAGAGTGCTAATTTCATTGTCAATGTTGTGATACCCCCAACGTAAATTTGGGACAATGATCGTAATTTGAACATCAACTTTCTTGGTTTACTTGGAATCAAAGCACTCTTTTATTTCTCTTACACTCTAGTAGTAGTGGATTCCTCCATCTTCTTCCTGGAAGTATCTGCTTTGCTTTATGGTCTTGATGACTATTCTTTTTCTGTAGATTTAGCCTTTGTGCTAGCTGGTGTAACTGCCCCTTTTTTCAAGGCTAACCTTTACTTGAATGTAAGCATAGTCTTTTTTTTCTCTGAAGAACCTCTTGCTATTGTACCTTGTTTTCCCATGAATCTTCTTTTGGGACGATTTAGTCTATTCATTCTCCTTTCTTCGTACTCCTGTTCCTATTACTTTAAGGCTACTTCTTCCTCGTTCATAAAATTATAATCGATCAATTTATAAACATTAGGAGGAAGTTCAGATTGCCATAATTTTGTTTCATTTGTTCTAACCTGAATGTATTCTTCAGGAAGTGGAATAATTTTATATTCTTTAAATATGTTTTATCTTTCCTATTCTATTAACTCTGGCTTTTTCAAATGAATTGGTTGTACTCTATAATCCATCAGACTCATTATTTTATTATCCAAATCCAAATTCTCATCACCTGGTAAACATATCCTCAAACCTATCTTAATTTCTTAAACCTCAGGCAATCTCTAAAGTTCAAATGCAAAACTGGAATTGTAAATGGGCAATAAGTACCCTCCTGACATTAGTTTCTCCTCGTCAAATAGTTTATGGATTGACCAACCAACCTAAATCGGAACCATACCACTACCAAAATCTTGACTGAAACACCATAACACTATATAGAGATATGTATCTCTGAAGATTTCATGATTCCTCTCTACAAATTTCTCTTAGATCACACACTTCTTAGAGTATATGTTCTCATTTACACACTCATGTTAATTTGTGTTCATTATTACCTTTGGCTCATCCACACTATCAAATATTTGAAATAATCAATACTTCTTTATAAATATGCCATAACCTACTTTGACAAAATCATAACAAATAGGCAACTTATTAACAAAGTCAATTCTTACTACAAATCCAGTGTCTTGATCATAAAACAAAGGCCTAGTACCAATGCCTTACTATAACTACTATAAATAGGTTAGCTTTGCTTATCCTTTGTCTTTTAAATTCAACATGTCATCTTCAATCTACCTTAAAGCCAATTACTCTTGCACTTTCTTCTCCAAATAATTGTGTTCATGAATCTACTTCAATTTCTGTATTTCATTGTATTTCAATTTGTAATATTCATTATTCTTAGATTTCAATAGTAATTCACTTTCTTGAAATCTTAGATTTTCCAATATGATTTCATCAACCTTGCTTGAATCACTCACATTTAATTGGGATCTTAACAATTATTTGTTCATCTACGGATTCTTCAGATCTGGCTCTTTCTATTCCTTGAGTTTGAACTCCAAATCTAAAATATCCTTCTGATACTGTTGAGGCAAATACGAGAATATGGGATTCTAAGACACCTAATCTGTATTTTTAGGGTGAGTCATTTAATTATTGGCATCAAAAATTCCAAGAGGGTGATTCTCCTTATATTGTCTCTCCAATTCATTGATTTCCTATAGAAATTTAGGATCATTCCCTCCCTTAGCAATGTAGTCATTTCTAAATTCATCCAATTCTTGCAGAGTGGAATCGTAGGGTATTGCTTTAGTGTTTTCTTTCTCATATTTTTCATCTAATTTGAATGGTAAATCCAAGATGACTTCTTGAAATCCCTTTTTTTGTACATGTTATTCAATCTTCTTTCTCAATGTGCTAAATGCTGCTATTTTTTGCAATTCATTTCCTTAGAACTTAGTTCCTTAATATACATATTTTTGCTGTTTTTCATATGTGTCTTGAGCCACTGAATAAAATTTATTTGAAATGCATACTTTATTGGAGTTTTGAGTCAAATGGTATGAGTTAATTAATAGCTAAATTAGTTTGATCATTCTTTAAATATTTAACCTTCTGTTCTTATTTGTGAATGAAATCTACCAATTTGTCATATTGTTAATTGCTTTCAATAACAAATTGCCCATTGCTAGACAATTTAGATTTGCTATTCACTAAAGATTGTTAAATTAGATTGAAGTTTTTTATGACTTGCTTCTTTTCCTCTTGGATGAAATTAAGTTTTGAATTCACTTACTCGAACTTACTCTGTATTTCTGCTTCCAAATTGTTATTTCGAATTCCATAACGATTCACGCTCTCTTGATATCTTCTATGACTATCTCTGAGTTGATCAATTTCATTATAGACTTGTTCTTCCTGTTTCCAAAGGTACTTCCGCTAAGTCAATACGATGTCGTATTGATCTTTCCTGTCCTTCAATAGATTACTCATGTGCACACTTGAAGTCTACACTTAAATAAGAGGGGATCAATACTATGGCATCTTTGGCTTACTGGATCATTGCCACATCCTCGTTGTAACTTCGAAGCTGATGCTTTTGATTCAGCTAAAGGACATCTCGCATTTACTGGTCGGAGTTGTTCCTAAATGAAGGGGCTGAATTCATTATTATTGCAAGAACCAAAATTTTATTATTAAAATATGATTTTGCCTGTCAAATATGATGAGTATAGGGAATTTGATGTGAATCGTTAATTGCATGATCAAGCAAGGGATTTCAGAATGGTGTAATAGGAGCTTCTTAAGTAGTAACTCTAGGACCAATAGGTGGAAATGGAAAGGAGAAAGAGATCTCTAACAACACAAAAACAAAGAGAGGAACTATTATACTTGGAAAATTTGAGGAAAGAAAAAGAAATGCATCATCTCATGGAAGGACAAAACAAATAGTTTATCAGGAAGGATTTATCAAAATGGTATGAAAATTCACTTACTAATTAAAGAATCAACCAAGAATAACTAGTAATGTTATCTATATTGATAGAGATAAGAAAGATAATATATTGAATAACAGATTGTTGACACTGCGAAGCAAGGATAAACAATGGCTGAGTTCTTTGAAAAATAAAAGAAAGATTATTATCGGAAAGTGCAGGATCAACAATACGGTCAGGCGCAGATTAAAAAGCTTAATGAAATGAATTATAAAAAGTTTGATTAGGCGGTTTACTAGGAATAAGTTCATCAAGAGAATACAAAAATATAAAGGAAGTTAGACAATTACAAATAAGTACATAATTTTTTATATCTGTTTAAAGTACTATCAAAATGTCTAAAACAGACAACAATAATTGTAGGCAATGTATTTGGAAAACTACAGAGATCCAAAACAAGGGTTAGATGACATCATCTCTAAAAATGTTATGGAAAAATAATAACAAGACGAGAAGCTATACAGATATTAGAAGGAATTAGAAGACGTATCTAAGGAGAAGTACAGTTCGATACTTTCAATTCAGTTGCAGGAGCAATAACAGAAGAAAAGACAGAACAGAAATGAGGTGAAATTGAATGGCTATCAACAAGCTAATTCCGTCTACTGGTAGAACACTGAGAGATAAACGAATGTATGAGTATTTGATAAGCTAGATCTCAACACCTGTTCGGAGTGCAGTTTCAGAGTAAAACCAATTATATAATCCACTTACTAATCCGAATCCGAATCAAACCCAGAATCCTTATATACTGAAATAATTGGGAATGAATCTGAACGATTTGCCTACTCCAGCCTATACTAAATCGAAGTTAGCTTCAATGGGAAAGTTTTGCATCAATTGATATAAATTAAATGCGTTATTATATTTTATTAAATGAATTAAGGCTGCTAATATAAATATTGTATCAATACCACCAGTAGCAATCCAATATACTCGTGTTCTTATTGTTAGAATATCAAGTATTGTTCCCAGAAATGCAGAGACACCGATTGGTATATTGAGTTTCCATTATTGAATAGGGCTTTATCACATAAGAATAATTGCCATCCTGTCAAAGGAAAGAGTATAACTGAACTGAATGACTCTGCATCCACCTTGAAATCCATTCGCAGATCGCCAGAAGACTTCGAAATAATAATCAAGGATAATAAAATGGAATTGGGAAAAGGTAGTTATGGTTGTGTCAAATTGGTCAAGGACAAACAGAATGGGCAAATGTATGCAATGAAAGTGGTAATGTTTATCATTGAACATAGATGAACAAAAAACAAATATTCGAGTATTGTTCTGTTGAAAATCTCAAGAGAGAAATTAAAATTTAAAGAAGATTGTAGCATCCACATATAACCAAGCTATTTCACTATTTTGAAGACAAAGAAAATGTATTTCTTATATTAGAATTAGCAGGTATATTAAAAATCCTATATTTTTAAGAGAATGGAAGTCTGTTTAGTTATATAAGGAAAAGAAGAAGACTCCCAGAAAACGAAGCCTTCGTCTACTTCTTCCAAACCTGTTTGGGAATAGATTACTTGCACAAGAAAAATATCATACATAGAGATCTCAAACCAGAAAATCTATTGCTAGACAAACAAGGAAATATTAAAGTTTGTGATTTTGGTTGGTCAGCCGAGACCACATAAAATGGAGTCAGAAGAACCTTTTGTGGCACTCTGGATTACATGGCCCCTGAAATGCTCACCAATCAACCATATAGTTTCACACTAGATATTTGGTGTTTGGGCATCTTGTTGTTTGAGTTAATCCATGGTTTTGCTCCATTCAAAGGGAGAACTGAAAATGAAAAGTGCAATAATATCATCAAGATGACTCCAATAGAATACGACCCAACATTATCATTTGAGGCTAAATAATTAATATAAGGAATACTCAAGCAAAACCCAATTGAGAGACTGTCAATGAATTAGATCTTTGAACATCCATGGATGAAGAAATTCTACAAAAGCTATGGAATTGATCTCAAGTCCTATATGTGTAAGGAAGATAAACACAATGATTCAAACCGATCGATCTCTCCTTAAAATGATGATATCATAACAAGATCATTTGTTAAAGGTCCCAACCAGAATAGTAACTCTGAATTAAAACCTCTATCTAAATCCTCTAATTATGTTTCTCAATATAACAGCAATAATAATGGCAATAATGGTAAATCGACTGCCTCCTCTAATTACAATTAGGAGGAAGATTTTAAGGCCAGAGTCAGCAGACTTTCCTAAAGATAATAAATGGCTCAGGGATTAAGAGAAATCTAAGGGTAATAGCCAAGATAAGAGGAGCTGGGATTCATGGATAAGGTATTTTCAGCATTTGGATGTTTGAGCAGGGATAAACAATAAGCACAGTCTCATAATTATTGAATTTATGTAAAGTTATTTAATTATTAATATTGTTGTATATATGTTCAATTGAAAATTGATATGTGAAACTGAAAAATGTGTAATTATAATAATTAATTTATGGATTCATAATATAAATAATTTAACAGATTTGTTGATGAAATTGGCTGATCGTAAAAAATAATCTGTTCATTTGGATATGTCCGCTCTCAAGTAATATGTATCAAGTGCTTATCCTCTTTCGACAAAACGCAAAATTGAAACAAGTCCTATTAGTCCCAATACTTCGCGATTGTTTTCTGAAAAGAAATAAAAGGTTGTTTAGCCTCTTCATTCGAGTAAGAGTAGAAATATCAATACAATATAAAATATCATTTCCAATTTCAAAAGTAAAGTAACTCGAGAAAAAGAGAATAAGTCTACTTCAATTATGTCTTAATTCCCTCTTTCAGTAGATTAATTTATTAAGTTGTATAATGTTACCCAGAGTGAAATCCAAGAATTGTCTGAATTAAAAGAAGTATTTTATTACAAGGAGACTAAAATTTAAGATGATGGATCAAATGGACAATATTTATGTAATGCATAAGATCACATCAGATATCAATATGAAATAACCAGTCTTATTGGATAAGGTAGTTTTGGTTAAGTGTTTTAAGTTATCGATCATAAGAGTAAGAGAACTCTTGCACTTAAGATGGTTAGAAACTAAGAAAAACTAAAAAGGTAGGCTCAAATTGAAGCAAATCTTTTACAACTAATAAGAGAAAAAGATTCATTCAATTAATCTAACATAGTGAGAATAGAAGATTAATTTGTATTTCGTGGACATCAATGTATAGTTTTAGAGAAGATGGAGAAGAACTTCTTTGAACTCTTGAAATAACAGAAATTTAGAGGATTCGACTATGAATCTCTTAGATAGTTTGCATCCTAAATCTTAGTTGCTTTAAATTATCTATAAAAATTAAATATCATCCATTGTGATTTGAAACCTGAAAATGTGATGATCCAAGACATGAAATAAAAAATAATCAAATTAGTTGATTTTGGTTCTGGTTGTATAAATGGAAATCAAGTTTATACTTACATACAAAGCAGGTAATCAATTCCTACTATCATAGATATTATAGAGCACCGGAAGTTCTATTTGGATTAAAATATGGAATGGAAATTGATATGTGGAGCTTCGGTTGCTTAATTGCTGAAATACATTCAGGACATCCAATATTTCCTGGAGAAAACGAAGTTGAATAGTTTCATCTAATTATAGAACTAATAGGAGAGCCTACTATTGAATTTGCATTAAAATGTCCAAGAAAAAAACATTTTTTTGATGAGAATGGACATCCTAAGAAAACTATTAAACATTATAGAAATCCAAGATCTGTCAAACTAAATGAATTATTAAAAACTACAGATGATGACTTTGTGGATTTTTTATCTAAATGCTTTACTTGGGATGCTTCATCTAGAATGAAACCTTAATAAGCATTAAATCATCCCTGGTTATAAGGAGTAGTGCTGAACAAAAGTTCTAATTTACCTGAGTATACTTTCATTAAGAACTCAAAGAGTCAATCTAATTTGATTTTAAGGGAGTTTGAAAAGAAAACATCCAAAGAGAACATCTTCCTAAAGCTGGAATAGACAAGAACACTTATAGCAAATAACTTTATGGAATATAAGCCTAGTATGATTTAAGAAATTTATAGTAGATCGGAATTAAAAATATAGCAATGAGAAACCCATATTAACAGATAGATTAAGATCAAATATTCCTCATTCAATTCATTAGATTTTATCCTGTAGATCGAAAGATTCAAATAACTTTTAGTTTATTAGAAAACCCTCTTTTGGGTGAATAAAAATACTTAAATGAAATGCTCTCAATAAATATATTAATTGCTTTCAGACATAATTTTAGTGTTTTTTATCGAATGTTTATTATTTGTTCTATTTTATGGTTTCATTTCAAATGTCTACTAAATTTATTTTAACAAAAGTGTATTGTGTTTTGCATAAGGTCTGACAACTTATTTTTTTGTAGTGAGCTTGAAATCTTGGATTATTGCCAATGTGTTTGATTTGATGGTTGTCAAAACTTTAGGAGATGATGCAAAAGAACTAAGTTGTCCATTAGGTAAAGAGGCACAGGATTGAGTTTGACAATGGTATCGAATCTTATGATTGAGTTCTGGCTGTGATTTTTTATTCTGTTACAATCTACCTGTTAGAAAGTGCCCAATTTTGAAATCTTGGTCTTTTAAATATATTTCCTTTTTCAACTAATTTTTTGATTTTAACTGAGGTTTAGGTGTTTGAACTACTTTAGGAGGAGTGATACAGGATGGAGGTCTCTCCATATTGTCAAATTCTAAATTATTAGCTAGAGTTAATACCAATAATTGATTCTTGTTTGGACAGTTTTTTGGATAATTTTCTGGTTGTTTTTTTTCGTTGTTTCCTTTCTAACATCAATGCGAAACTGGTTAAGGCTAGTTCCTTTTTGTTACATTATTTATGCTATTCAACGAATGTGGGAAGATTGCCCATTTCTTTTTTGGTCAACTCTCCAAATAGTTATCCATAAGTTGATTTACGTCTGTATTATTGTTCTTATCTCTATTCTGTGATTTTAGCAACTGCATTCCTCAATGGCTAGAGGTAACTTTTGATATTTTTATCACTCTATTCCCAAGAATAGGGATTATCTTGTTCGAGAGTTGGAATTCTTATTTAATGTGGTAGAGACTAATTCAATTATCTACGTCTACGCTGTTTGATTCTTGAAAAAAGATTATTGGAATTCTCACAGTGTTTGGGATATATCCTCCTAATTATAGGTGAGAAGATCGAGAGATCTCTTATAAACGAATAATTTACATAATTAAGGGAATTTTTCCATGTAAATTGTTTTAATTAATATGGTATTATGTAAAAGGAAATTGAAGCGATAATTAACACTAATTATTATAAACATAATCAATAGACTAAAGTATCTCTACTTATATATTTTAATGTAAAAACTATTAGTGTTGCCGATATTGATCCAAATCCAAAAGGAACTAAATAATATCCCAAGGTTACAATCAAGGACAGAATAGTAATACAACCAGAGAGAGCTAAAATCTAGATTGTTGGCAACTATTAAACTTCCAGTTCATTAATGGATATATACACAAACATTTAGAGAATGCACATAAATCAGGATTTCGCTAGATAGATTAATAAGATTACATAAAATAATTCATATCGAAAACATTCTATAAGCTTCCACTGAAGAGAATTAATAGAATTTAGACTTATAAGATTAATATATAAGAATGATGAAAATTATTTCAATTTCATGGATGCCAAACCTTTACAGTCTTGTTTATAGCTAAACTAAATGGTTATAAAAGACAGACCAGTATATGTTAAAGGTTCGGTAAAAATCAGATGGTAGAAATAGTTTGAAGGATGTTATTGACCCACTCAAAAATGTATTTCAGATTCATAAATTATTTAATTTATAATTAAATCACACATTTGCTACTAAATATGAAAAATCCTTTGCCATTCTAATTAAGCATTTGATCATTTTTTAATCCATTTCCATCTATTACAATTATTACCAATGCTATTTGGGAACATTCAACAAATGAAGTAGATAATAGCTTATTAAACAAAACAATGAGTTTTAATCCTAAGATCAATAACCAAATTTATTACTCTGGGGGTATACAGTATGTACTCCTATTTGAATGTCTTAATCTCTTTATCCTTAGTCAACGCCTTGACTATGCAATCACTGTAATAATGAAATTGAGGTTCAGAAACATATTATTCTATTTTTTGATTGATAATTAGATTTCTAATTTAAATGTATATTTATTTACTTAATCTATTCAGTTTATTTTTACGTTTGACTTGAAGATTCATTCTAATTTGAGGTTAGATTATGAGGCGCAGATTCAGTGTTTCCTAGACTCTCAAGTCCAATTAAACTGACTTCAATGGATTTCCATGCATTTAGATTTACTTCATTATTTTCCTTATTATATTTTTGTTTTTCATATCTAACACATTTTAAGAGAACATTAATAAAGACAGTAAAGAGTAACTACATACAGACACAAGCTTACTTCATAATCGCTAACTATTTTCTCATTCAAACCATCGGAGAGATATTTTGGTTTACAATTGTTTTCTGAAAAGTCTATTAATTTGGTCAAGAATAGTTTCTTATCATAGCTTATTTTTCTGTTGATGAGAGACACATCTAAAATATTGCAAAACAATTCCAAGAGATCACATTCCTTAATGAATTCTTCTTTCTCTTTTGCAAATTTCTCAAAATTAGTTGGTGCTTTTACTGGTTCTCTTGATCTGCTTTTAATTTTATTCTTGAGAAAGAACACATCCTCCATTGTGACACTTTTGAGTCCAATAGATTTCTCATGTTTATTGGAATTGATATCAAAGGGTTTATTGGCATAGAAGATATCAATTTCAATTATTTTCTATTGGAAATGTTCTTTCATCATTCTATTCACATTTACTAGATGATCCTAAAATTCTCTAACAAATGTGGGAATGAATGAATTCATAAATAGCTCTTCTGCTTTTTAATGAGCATCACTCATTTTTTTTATTAGTTTAGATAAGATCACTTCTGAATTCTTACTCTTCTATTGGATCTCATAATCTGGAGTGCCACGTTATTGTTTACTATTATAGGTGCTCATACCCATGGTTTGAATTTATTAATAAGACTAAGTTTGAGCCAAACTATATTATGATCGAGTATCATCCTGATAATAATGTCTATAAGAGCCATTTTTAAATTGCATAGGCCATTCCTCATTGTCTCTGTCTTACATAAAATCTGCAATAATAACGATCAAATATGTTACGCATTTTCATATTATTTTTTCTTTGCTCCTTACTCAAGATTCTTTCTCTCTCTTTAGAGACTTGTCTTTCAACAGACTCTGTTTGAGTGTTAAGCATTTCTGATTATTGCACTTAATGATTACAATAATCAAATACCACGATATTCTGGCTATTGGATGAACTCTTGATTCCTATCGAATGCACTAAAATTAATTTGTTTGGATGGTGACTTAATCATAACTGGTTTCTCATTGTTGCTTCTGAAGAAAAATTCATAGATCATCACGACTGACACAATAGTCAGAAGTAGCTTCAAAGTAATTTGATAGATTTAACTTCAATAGTTTTAATTCTTACTTGTTGGAGGTTGCAATTCCAGCTATAGAGAAAAGAATGAAACCTCCGAAAGTTAAAATTGTAAATGTGGATGGAGCGGTCATTTTTTATATTTAATTAATTAGACCTCTAAATAACTTAGTTCAAATCTAATACATATATATATTATTTAATTTGAATACATTATCATTTATTATATATACATTCTCTTCCAAGTAGAAACCAAATTATTCCTTTATTACAATCAATATTGAATTTCAATTATTATATATATATAAACCATTTCAAATTATGCAAGACAATCGTGAATCCTATGATTCTATCGATTTTTGTTCATGTAAACTCTATTTCTTATTCCTCAAAAGTTTCTCCAAAACCAAGTGATTCTTTTAGACCTTAACAAATTAAACCAGATTTTTCTAATGCTCCAATTAAAAGTAATACTGGGTCAATTGGATCACTCTAATTCCCATCCGCTGAAATTCAGCAACTGCATCGTCCACCTTTCAATCCTCGTGGAAGTATCCACGTTAAGAAAGTATATATTTTCGATATCACCAGATCAATAAAAATAATGAATGGGCTTTGATTAACATCAAAAAAGAAGCTATTGAACCTCAAAAACTCAAAAAAAGTACCGTGTTATCAAAAATGTTCTACAAAGAAGCTTTAATTCGGAGATTTGTTGATAAATTAAGAAAGCAAGCTTACATATTACCCAAAATAGTGCCAAATAAAATGAAAAACTTTCTTAAAGAAAATTATATCGAAAATAAAAGAATTTCCAATTAACAAAAAATCATACTATCCAAATCTCAGCAATAGTAGACCTTGTCCACTCTTAATCCAACTGGACAACTAATGCTCTATTGGAATTTATTTAGAGCCTTGCAACTCATGTTCCTTATGTGGTGGCTCCCTTTTAAAGTAGCATTCAAACCGAATTACAGTTTTGAAACTATCGAAACTATTTTAATTTACATTTTTGTTTTTGATGTCTTGCTGAAATTGAACCAAGGATACATCAAAGAAGGAGAATTTATTATGGATAGAACCCAGATTCTCAAACATTACATTTTAAATGAACTCATCGAAGACACATTATACATCACAACCTAACTGTTTATCATCTACGAAATCATGCTAAACATTTCAATCTTATATGAAATCTTTGTATTCCTCCAATTCATAATGAACTTCATTAAACTAAAAAGAAAAATACACAAATTCGAGGAAACATTTGCCACCAAAACCAGTTACACTCAATTTGCAGACTTAGTCTAACTCATAATTACGTTATTCTATTTCGCCCATTTTATGGCTTGCATTTGGTACTATATTGGTGTGGAAAGTTTGAAGAGTTTCGATTCATCTTGGACTACTCATACCTAATTTAAATTGTCAGACTCTGGATCTTTCTATTTGTATTCAATCTATTGGGCTACAGCAACTATGGTTACTGTGGGTTATGGTGACGTTTCTGCTTAAAATAATCATGAGATCTTGTGCGCAACTATCCTTATGATTTTTTCAACAGGCATGTTTGCATTTGCTATCAATCAAATTGGCGAAATCTTCAATAACATTGATGCTGAAAAATAGAATTACAAGCGAGCAATCTTATTGATAAATGATTATATGCAAAAGAATTCAGTTGATCAATAAGTGCAAAGTAGAATCAGAAATTATTTACAATATTAAGAATAAATTAAATTAGAAACATCTAAAGAACAATTAGATTTAATTTTGCAGAAACTTCCACCTAACATTTTTGCTGACTTAAAAACAAATATTCAATCAAAAATCATGTAGGAAATCTCCTTTTATAAATCTAATTTCTCTAAGAATGTTATTCCCATAATATCCTAATCTTTGCAACTTTAATCTCTAACTCCTAAAGAAATCATTTATCAATAAGGCCAATTAGATGATTGCAGTCTCTTCACAGTTTGGAAAGGGGAAGTATTAATAGTTGAGACTCAATCAGGCAAAATTTTGGCGACTCTAACAAAAGGGTAAAGTTTTGGCGAAGTTGAATTTTTAACTTAGTAAAATAGGTAATTTACAGCAATAAGCAAAGATTTGAGCCAGGTATTGAAGATATCACGAGAAGTGTTTCTTAAGATAATAAAGTACTCTGATTATGATTTTGAGTAATTTCATAAATTGAAAGATCAATATATGTTTGAAAAAATAGATTAAATTTCGGCTTGTTATTGTTGTTCAGAGACTCATTTCATATTGGATTGTTCCATTTGTTAGTACAAACCAAATTTGGAGATCTTAATAAGAAAATAGAAAGCTCAAGAGGAGGTATCAAAAAGACAAAAGTTTAGGAGATCGAAAGATAAGAGGGCATTTTGTTAATTTCAAACTATGAAATCTAATTCAGAACTAAAAGAAGATGAGCCTTCAGGATAAAATGGTTCGTCTTCATTTAAAGATCTTGTGTAACCTGAGAGAAGTCCTTCAAGAAAAAATAAAACTAGAATAATTAATCTGAAAAATTTTGGGCAATTATTGCATTTTGATGACGATAGAGCATTTGATGGTCCAACGTATCCTTGGAGCAATCTTGATATTCTGAATGAATAATAACCATAATAATAATAACAATAATAATAATAACAATAATAATAATAACAATAGCAATAATAACAATAAAGTCAAAATAAATCCAGCAATCCTCAACTTTTAGAATTACCATCCTTAAAATATAAAAATTAACTGTCGAATCATCAAATTCAGATTCCGTCACTAAATTAAATTGAATAATTGGCATAAGAATTTATAAAAATAACAATTTAAAATTTTGAGAAAATTCAAAATTATTAGATTTATTTTCCCTAAAATAATTTGGAGGTTGTTTTGTTGGGTTCAAAAAAATTAAATAAAACAAAGAAAGTTTTAGTAACAGAAACCTTAGCTGATTTTACAAGGAAAAGAGTATTGAGTGAAAATTTTATGAATCCGTGATCATTAGTAATTTCTTTCTCTTTTATTAAATGTGTACAAATTTATAAAAATATATATATTCAATATAAATTTGTATTCCTATTTTAAAATGACTGATGATATGGAGTAGACACTGTATAATGAATTTAAAATTCCAGGTTTTATTTGTCTTTCAAATTAGGCTCATCTAGAATGTCAGATACTTTCAGACCACAATTAATTTAGATGGATATGTAGGACATTCCATTTAAAGAAAATTCTGATTATGACTCAATCCCATAAATGGATTCTCTGCAAAACATTCGATTTAGAAATGTCAGCAACTCAAACAATTAAGGAAAAGATGTGATTACTTCAAAAACATTTCATCATCAGAATGATAAAATCAAAATACACAAAAGTACGGGGATGCTAAAGATGCTTCTCGTTAATAATCATGTCAACTCCTTTATAGAGAAACTTAAAAAAAGAGCATACATATATCCTAAGCACAAGAGCAAATAAATAACAGAGCATTTGCCAGAATTTTTTGCTAAAATAAAAAAAAATTGGAGAAAGTCAAAATAATTACAACAACAAGACGACAATCCTAAAAATACAATCTCAAAAAAATTGCCAGTCTTTAATCCAGCAAGTAAATTCATGATATTTTGGGAATTTTGCAGAGCCGTCTAATTGACCATATTGTTGTGGTGGCTTCCTTATAAAATAGCATTTAACCCATCCTCTAATGCAAGTATTGAGGCCTTTGAAAGTTCTTTAACATACCTGTTCGGAGCTGATTTAGCTATTAAATTTAATAGAGGAATATTTGATTAAGGTAAATTAATCAAAAAAAGAGTTCACATTATTAAATCTTATATAAAAAATGAATTATATGAAGATGTCATTTACTTCATAACTTTAATATTTGTCATTAGTGATATTGGAATTAAGACTTACTCATTTTAGGAAGTAATCGTTTTAGTGTAATTTGGATTGAATTTTATAAAACTCAAGAAATATCTCAATAAATATGAAGAGACCTTTGTGGAATCCTCTTAATTAACTGAAGTTTTAAATCTAATTCAACTAATCATCATTACATTCTACTTTGCTCATTTTATGGCTTGTATTTGGCATTATGTTGGTGTCAAGAGTGCTCAATCTAACTAGATATCTTGGACCTAAGATCCTTAATTCGACAATTCCAACACCTTGCAAATGTATGTTTACTCATTCTATTGGGCTACCACTACTATGGTGACAGTTGGATATGGAGACATTTCTGGTAAAAATATATACGAGGTGTTGTGTGCCATCATCCTTATGATATTTTCAAGTGGTATTTTCGCATTCTCAATGAACCAAATAGGGTCTATTTTTACTAATATGGATGTTCAAAAGCAATAGTATAAAAGGACTCTTTTGTTGATCAATTAGTACATGAATAACAATTAAGTGGAAGAATAATTATAAGGAAGAATACGCAACTATTTAAAATACCATTTCCACAAGTAAGAAAAACTATACAAAAATGAAATCAGTGGCATCATTGATAAACTGCCTTCCAATTTAAAGCAAGAACTCATATAGGATGTTTAGTTTAGAGTTATGTAATGCATTCCCTTTTTCAATAAAAATTTCTCAGAAGAAATCTTGCCTTAAATAGCATGTGAATTGAATCTTTAATCCTACACTCCCAGAGAAATAATTTATTAATAGAATCAATTGGATGAGTGCTGCATCTATATAGTTTGGAAGGGGGAGGTAAATCTGATTGATGACAATTCTGGCAAGATATTAAGACGATTTACAACTGGGCAATGTTTTGGGGAACTAGAGTTCCTAACAAACAAGAGGAGACAAGGAACTGCCATCAGTTGTGATTTCAGTCAAATATACTATTTATCTAGAGTGCAATTTCTCAAGATTCTCAATTCCTATAACAATGACTTTTAACAATTCCATCAATTGAAGGATTCCATTCTCTTTCAATATTAAACTTCTCCTTTAGAGTGCTATTGCTGTTAGGAAGCTCACTGCATTTGGAAATGTCCTTATATTCATTATAGGCCAGACTTAGAGAGAGTGATAAAACAAGAGTTTGTGAAGGAAACCTATTAGGACAGGTCTTATTTTAAAAGGAAAGGAGATCGTTTAAAGGTGTTTAGATAGGATAGCATCTATTAAAGTACAAGACATATTCGAACTTCGAATGAGATTGAGATAAGCTAGCCAGTTGCAAGTGGTATATAATAGGTGGGTTCAATTTCTGAATCTATTGAATCAGGGGAGGAGAGCATTAAATATGAAAAGAAAAGCGATCAAGTGCTTACTTTGTCATATCGCTACCCTAATGATCACAAGAGAACAACGGTTAAGTTGCGGCCATTGGTTTTATCGCCAGTGCAACCAGCAGAGTCTCCGAAGGCGCGTCCAGCAGAAATTCTTAGATATGGATAGAAATAAAAAAAGAGTTACTTCTTTCCAGATAGTTCAATGATTAACAACAATGCTGTAAGTAAAAGGAGGGAATCCATAAAAAGAAATTCATCAATTGCTTATACCTAGAACTTTAATAAACAGTCTTCAGGTTATGAGGTTGATGTGAATTAAGAGCCGTTTCAAATTATGGATGGCTTGGATAAGTTGATATTGTATGGGAACTATTTTCCAGATGGCAATCATAATAAGGTGATAGAAGGTCTACTTAGATGCTAAAAGAAGTGTAGATTATTGAGAAAACATATGGTTCCAAGTAAATACGCATTTGTTAGACTCCAAAAGTTTGAAAGATCGAAAACACACGGAAAAAAGATTAATTTATGAACACAGTTATAAAATTACATTCTTTATTTCAATGAATGACATTATTTTCTTGGTTCTTAATATTTGATAAATAAATTAAAGATTTTTAAAATTATTATAAATAATGACTAAAAAGACCAAGAAGGTGGGAATCACAGGAAAGTATGGTACTAGGTATGGTGCATCATTGAGAAAGATCATCAAGAAATTTGAAATCTCATAACATCAAAGATATTTCAACACCTTCACTGGAGCTGTATTAATGTGTCACAATATTATTTAGCATTCTTTAAAAAGACAGGCCATTGGCATATGGAGATGCACTCAAACTGGATTATAGATTGCAGGAGGAGCTTGGGAAGTGAAGTATAAGAAATAATTATCATTAGTACTCCAGCTGGATTATCTGCTAAGTAAGGAATGCTTAGAATCAAGAAATTAAAGGAAGATGCAGAAGTTGATATCAAAGAGGAGAAGAAGGACTAAAAGAAGTAGTAACCCAAAGAACAAAAGGAATAAGCATAACCTTAATAAAAAGGAAAACCATAATAGGGTGGAGATAAAAAGAAGGCCCAAGGCAAAAAGCAATAATGATATCGTATACATAAATTATATAGTACATAAACGCCCAATAACAAATTTTCATTAGTATTATTAGAAATTATCTATAACAATTAATTATTATTCACTATTATTATTACATTAATTATGCAACAATATAAAAAGACGCAATATAAATTGATTTTGGTATTGGTTGGATTGCCAGCTAGAGGGAAAACACATATATCTTACAAATTAAATAGATATTTGAATTGGATTGGATATAAAAGCGAAATCTTTTCAATAAAAGGAGCATAATAAAATAATGATGAATTTGATCAAAATATAGATTATGAGTTAGAAATAGATCCAGCTAATCAGTAAGTAAGAGCGGTCTTAAACTTAGTTTGTAGATGTCAGATAACAACTGTCCTAAACAGCTGTCCAACAACTAGTGCAATTCTTATAAAATGATGGAGACATAGCATTATATAATGGTTTAACAAGTACTAAGGCTGACAGACAAAAATTGAAATCTTTTTTTAAAGAGACACTCAAATTGGAATATCAAACATTCTGGATAGAATCAATTTGTGATGATCTTCAAGTAATTCTTAATAATATAAATGAATCAAAATTAAGTAGATTTAAAGATAAAACTATTGAATCATTTATAAATCATATCAATGTGTTAGCTAAAGATTATCAAAGTCTCGAAAACATTGAAAACCTATCATACATCAAATTAATAAATATTGGGAAACTGGTGAAAGTACATATGTTGGAGGGTTATTTGTGTTCTAAAATAGTCTCCTTTCTTTTGAATTTGCATGCAAACAATAGATAAATATATTTGGTAAGATCATGCTAGACAGAATACCATTTGCTTGATAAGATAGGGGGAGATCCAGAGTTATCTGCAACTGGAAAATAACATAGTCAACAATTAGGTGATTATTTTATTGAAGAACTCAAAGGAAATAAAAATGTAAGTAGATCTTAAAACATCTTTAGATAACATTTTTTTCATCTCAAATGAAAAGAGGGATCTAAACAGCTGAGATAGTTGGAGAAAAACTAGGAATAAAAGCATTAAAAACAAAAAATTTAGATGAGATTGATTATGGCATATGTGATGGATTGACAGTTAAAGAAATAGCAGCTAAATATCCAAAATAGATCAAAGAAAGGAAAGCTAACCCTCTTGAATTTAAATATCCTCGTGGTGAATCATTTTTAGATGTAATACATAGAGTAGAACCTATAATCTATGAAATTGAAAGATCCAGAGAACCTGTTCTGGTTATAGCACACGTTGCTGTTTTAAAGTATAGAGTTTATTAATTTAATTAGATGTTTATATGCTTATTATCATTGTAATTAGATAAGTGAAATACCCAATATCGACATTCCAATCAATTGCGTTATTAAATTAGTACCTATACCATACCATTGCCTTGAAAGTAGAGTAATTATAAAGTGATAAATCATGATTTAATATGTATTATATAAGCATTCAGTATATATGATAATAATGATGTATTTTGTAAAATTAACATAGTTAAAATTCAAGCATTTTGAAGGACATTATAAATCCATACTTCCCATTCATTTTCTGGAATTTATTATCTTTAACTTTGATTAAACATTTCAGATATTAGTACATTTTAAGCAGGATGATTAACAGGAAATTTATCTTTACATTTGCATGCTTAGAGGAAGAACTTCTTCTTAATTTATTCAGTTTCATTTGAGAATTTGCCTTTCACATTTGAAATGTATGATTAGATTTTAGAGATAACAGTAGGCTCAGACTCTCTAATGTTCTCTTAATGATTTTATATGGTTTGAACTTAAGATAAATTCTTTGAATTAGATAACTAGATGTAAGATCTCTTTTTGGAAGAGTCATAGTTATTCCCAAACTCAATACCAGTTTTTTAATTCATTTATTCTTATTTTACTGGTGATTTGTTTTAAACCTAAAATTGTGAGATAGGTTTTGCATTAATACTGGACATTTTGACTAATTATTTAGGCATATTTTAAAATGATGGTGATTCAAACAATCTTTTCCTAGCAGTGGTGTTGGTAGCATAACTAATAACTGTCTGTCGACTATAAAATAATGATTATTATCATACTCAACTAGTTATTCTTATTTCTATATGTTGATCTTATTCTAATACGATATTGTTGATGGCTCTCTGATTTCAGAATGTTTCTCTTACTCTGAAATCAGAACTTGCATCTTCCTATTAGCAATTTCTTAAATTTTTTAGGCCACTGTCAAAACGTGATAAGCTTTGGCTAGACTTAGTATATGATTCATAATTACTATTTTAGTTTAATTGAGTCTTCAAGATGCAGAGATCTTCAATAGTTTGAGAAAGCTAATATTGATCTGATACATCAAGGATCTATTAAGTACAGTTATACAATAGTTCAATCAATTGTTTAACATTTTCATCAATGGCTGCCTCGAATCTTAAACTTAAAAGCTTTTTATAATTTTCCAACTTTAGTTTCAACATTTGATCTTCATTACCACCATTAGTAATTTGCTAACAATCTGCCATATGAATATTAACTATATCAATGGGAATAAATTCTTCGCAAATTAAGCAAAATACATCTTTGACTGGCTGCACAAGTAATTAATTTTGTTAAGTTTTTACTTGTGACAATTAAGATTGAGTTTCGCATTTAAGATTTGATTTAGCTTTGGATCTGTAAGAGCATTATGATCCAGCTTATTTTGCCTTACACGGACTATATTTAGACCGTTGCTGCTTTTATTTATCTTTTTTAAATTTCTTCTTATTAAATTGATACTCTTCATCAGAGGAAGAAGAAGAGGACGATGACGATTTCTTCTCTGCAACAATGGTAACTCTCTTTTATTAGGAAGTATTTTATTTTTTAGGGATCGAAGTGCTGAATTTCTTAGGAACATCACATGGCTATTCATTCTCTAAAACAAATCGACCTGTCTATCTTAATTAATCCTTAAAAGAATTATCACTTTTGTGACTCTCATTCTAATCACCCATCCTATTAATTAGATCGTCTATCTCTTTTAAAAGGTTGTTAACACTTCCATCATCAAAATTATGTGACATTAACGGTGTTAAAAATAATTATTAATGTTATATAGACATTAAAAATCAATAATGTTGTTTGATGAACTACAAAGACTTTGATAATTTAAATGCAAATAACTAGCATATGTATATTATCAACTATCTGTTATCAATTTTCTAATTGCACATGAAATTTATTAATTTATATTTATACAAGTGTGATGAAGTTATTAGTTCTTATTCTCATTGCTGGTTTATTCATTGCTTAAGCTTAAGAAGACCTCAAATAAAAGGAGAGCACCTAATAGGAATCTGAAAATCTTAAGGATGAAATGAATGCCAACAATGCAGCTGAAGGCAAATCAAAATCAAGAACCAAGGAAGAAATCATCAAAGAAAGAGATACTCTATAAACTTTATTAAAGACATTGAATTATTCTTGCATAGTTCTGGCTAGAATGCAACTATCAAGATACAAGTCTGAGTTAATGAAAGTTATTGAGAGGTATTTCACATCTATCAATATAGTCATTAAACTAAACAAGAGTAAAGCATCGTGTGGAAGAAAATTTATACTTCATATGTCAATTAATGTCAAAAGAGTATTACATATGATGATAGTGTCAAGGTAAAACAATTCTAATATCTAAGATCTTTTCTTAAATTTAGTCTAAAGAATTCAAGTTTGATGATTACAGATTCATCTATGAAAACATGTCATTAGAAGATTATAGCAGTGATAAGGTGGATATGCATATTACATAAGCAGAAGAAAAAATATGGCAATATATACAAGATTTCGAGAAGGCCATGGATTCCAAAGATGATGAGGATGATGATTCAACTCTCAAAAGAAATTTTGATTTAGAACCTAAAGTATTTGGATTTTCCCTAAAATCGGTAAAATCATTACAATACATTATGTTCTTTTTGTTTGTTTCTTTTATTTTATTTTTGGGATATATAGCATTCAAAAAATTACCCAAGCAGTATGAGGATCAAAAAAAGAAAAGAAGAAACTGATATCTATTATTTTTTTAATTTATTTAATTATTCAATATTCTTAATAGAAATAAGTATTTAGTTTTCACTCTCTAGCTCTTCCATTCCTTTAAAATTAATCTTTCGCCCTTTTAAATTCTCTTTAAGATCCCACTGTATTTGATGCCATATATTTAAATACACCCCACATGCCATGATAACACCCATGAATAATTCCTCTTACTAAACTGTCTTATTTATAATTATGCTGCCAACCGAAAAAGTCATCGATTTTATCGCTTATTGATCTCATGGTTCTGTTATTATTCAATTCTTTATCCTACAATTATTATTTAGCTTATTTTATACTCTCCATAATAAATTATTGAACAGCAATTTGAATAAATAATTATTCAATGGTACACGTCATTTTTAGATTCGTAAATTCTTAAATTGAACCTAATAAATTTGTTTGATAATAATCCAATAAATTATGATGATAATTATGGAATATTCAATAAAAATAAATGCTTTATGAACCAAGAAATAAAACTAAAAAGATTCATTAAATATGTTTTAGTTTACAATCTTGGAAATAATATTGTATTTAGTTCTCATCTTGGTATTGCTGATTTTGAAACCATTATTCCAAATGTTGATAATGAAAATTAAGTATGGAAAGAAAATGCATTTGATGTATTTTCCTTTGTTGGGGAGAATAATTGAATTTAGCAGAGGTATCAAGAAACACAATGATTTACTACATTTTGAAAAGATGATTCCGTAATAGCATCCTGAGATTGAGATTGTAGTGAGCAATACATTTTTGGGTTTGACGCATGTATTTTTTAAAACAGAGCATATAAAATTCATTCTCCAGAATTAAGATCTTTACAAAAAGACATCAAAGGTATTGTTTGGTGAAAAAATGTTATACAAAGGTATGATTTTTGAGATGATCTAGGTTTGGCATTCCAAGATGGTGAAGATTGGAGATTAGCTAGAAATGTGCTTTCAAAATCTTTCGAATTTGAATAGTTAAGAGCAAGAATACCATTAATAAAACGATTATGTGAAGAGAAGTTCTCAAAAGTTCCAGAGGGTGAACCTATTGATATAATAAACATATCAGGCAATATAGTTGGAGAAGTGATTACTCAGTCCTTTTTTAGTCAGAGTTTCAAGGATCTTAATGGGAAGACATTCTTATCTGAATTGGTTGATGTGATGGTAGGCATCATCTCTCAGTACAGAGAAGCTCCGATTAGAAGCATGTCAAGGACTTTCATTTTTGGGACAAAGGATTATCCCAATTGGACCATTTCAAAGGTTGAGTAGAAACTTTTAGCAAGGCTTCAAAAGATCAAGGACATCTTGAGTGATTCAATAAAGGAAAGATAATCAATGGAAAATAAGCCAGCAGACTTTTTAACAGCCTATATTAATACCATATGTATAAATTGATTTTATAATTTAGAACAAAATCCGAAATTAACTGAAGAACATGCAATTCAACAATACATAATGTTAATCTTTGCAGGTATAGATACTACTAGTAATCTATTTGGAGCATGCTGTTATGCTTTGTCTATCCATCCTGAATGGCAAAGAAAGTTGAGAGAGGAAATTCAAAAGCAGTATGGTGCCTATGAACGGTTAAACAGCGATAACATAAATGTATCCAATTAAATCACCAATTTCATCAATGAGTGCATGAGAATGTATACTCCTGTTCCATATTTTATCGAGAGGGAAGTGAAATAGGATCATAAGGTTGGGGATTACTTTTTGAAGAAGAACTCAGAAGTATCATTATGTTTGTTCCCAAATAATTATGATCCTAAGAATTTCACAGATCCTTTCACTTTCAATCCTGATAGATGGAATCAATAAGGTATTGATCCATTTGTTTTCTTGCCATTTTCAATAGGGAAAAGAAATTGCATAGGTTAACACATGGCTTTGATGGAAATAAAGTGTTTATTGGTTTATTTGTTAATGAATTTTGAGGTGAATTTAGTAGGTGAAAAACAAGTTTGGACTTTTAAGTTTGTGTATACAATTCAAAATGAGAAATTCATCTAATTGAAAAGAATTGGAAAATGAGTTAAGATCAATATGATATGTTAAAATTAAGATCATAATTATTCTAGATTGTTTTTTTTAGATTATTCGAGTTTCTCTCTTACTTTAGGGAATCTTCTCAATTATTATTCATAAGTGTCCTAGACATATTTGTCGAGTGGGACTTCTCTTCCATGATGCAATTTGTGCATTCTCAAGATTTGTTGGCTTGTTTTCTTGATGGTTTCATCATCATCTTCTTTTGTGAATAGATATTTGATGCCCTTCTTGGAGACTTTTATTTATTGTTCCTCAATGGGTTGAGGAGGTTCGAAATTATAAGTCTTTTTTAAATACTCATAGAATTATTTTTCATCTTTCTACTTATATAAACAGTATTTACATGTCCCACTTTTTAGACTAAGAGGAAATGAAGGAAGTTTCTTTTACTCATTTCACTAAGTTATCTTTTTATTTTAGGATCAACCCTAATTAAATTGGGTTGAAATATGGTGGTGGTTTGATTAGCTTAGGTTTTGGGTGAATTGATTTTGGGGATGCCATTGATGGCTCCGAAGAAATGTTTCTCTTGTCTTGCTGATTATTGAGCATTCTGCTTCCTCACTTACCTCGCAATCTCTCTAGATTGGATTTGTCTCTCCAAAGTTTGACTCCAAGAATGCATGTTGCCACGAGTGTTGTGGATAATGTTATGCTCTGAACCTTATTGAGAGAATTAACTAAGACTATTTCCGAAAGGAGATTGTAAATCATTCGAGGGCTGAGGAGTGAACCATCCCATTTATGTGCGATTGTTGGTGTGGTTCATGAGAGTGAAGGTAGCTCTCTGTTGTTGATTCTTCTTATGAATATCCTACAGACTTTTCATTATATTTATTAATAATGAGTGAAACCAAATCGAAGGACAGCTATCAGAAGTAGAATCTAATCGTCATTGGACAACACTATGTATTAAAAACCTGCATTTACAGAGGCAAAAAACATAACTGGTATTTGGGTAACCCATTTATATTTATTTCATTATATTCACAGCCATCAACCAAGCATAGCCAGGTAATTACTTCATCGTCAGATTGGTAATGTAATCAATATTCTAAATTTTATTGTTAGTTCATTTACCTGATAGGCAAACACAAACATCGACAGTTTACAAGAGGAAGAAAAACTTCTGAAAAAGCTGGCTAATGGTGAGTTTTTTTAACTTATTGATTTTCAGTTCCTTATATGCCGACCCTCCAAACCTCTGGAGATGTTCGTCTTCAGAACATCAATTACTACTACTAAGTATTCGACAGATATGGACCAAGTCTTAAACTTTGCTTCTAATTTGTCAATTATGAATTCACCTTACCAACCATTTGTATGATTGCTATACAAACTGTAAATTGCAAATCCCATATCTAGTTAACCATTCTCGAAAAACTCCATAGTCAATCTATTGTTCATTGCAATCTCAGGCCAAAAAAAATATTAACATAACTTGGCAAACATGATTTGGTACTGATTGATTTCTAACATTCATCCAAATACAAACACAAAAATGGTAAATTCATCGGCTATCCTTCCAAATTTTCTAATCTCAACAAATTAACCAAATACTCCAGTCTAAATCAGCATTTAGGTTTAAGTATATCCATCCATCTACATTTATAGCTGCATCACCAAAAGATGATCTAGAGTCCCTAGGATTCATATTAATGTATTTCCTCAAAAAGGGAGACTTGTTTAAAGTCAAAGAACATGGATCCAAAATCAAAAAAATGGAAGAGCAAAAATTGAGAATGATTCCAGAAAAATACTGTAAAGATATGCCTATAGAAATACTGCAGTATTTTTAATTTATCAGAATGACCACTGTCTAATAATACCCTCTTGGTGATTACGAATTCCTAAAGAAACTCTTCAGAAATTTACTTCAGTAACTCAATGTTAACGAAAAAGATTTTTAATACGATTGGGTATTTAATCTCCATTGATATCGTTCTAGATTAAAAAAATGAACCTTTAGCAACAAACTCAACAACAATTTTAGTAACCTCAAAAAGAGTCATCCTGTCAAAATCAAACTTAAACCAAAATAGTAATTCATCAACCTCAAAATTTGGAAGGCATCCAAGAAGTACAAACTGAATAGGAGAGATCCTCTATTAAACGAGAATTCTATAGATAAATCTCATCATTATGTATTTCTGATGAAGAAGACAAACAATTTGAAAGTGTGAGCACTAAAATGCTTCATCTGCCAAATATGTTTGATTTAATCAAACTAAAAAGTTGACCATTATAATTTTGTATTTATCTATCTATTTTATAAAAAATCAAATCTAGTCATTGACAATCATCGACTCTTTATATAAGCCTTATGAATTCTCTAAATTTCTTAATTCACCATTCAGCACTACCATGATATCTTGGAAACGGTATAACATCTCTTATGTTCTCAACGCCTGTAATCATCATCACCAGTCTTTCAAATCCTAGGCCAAACCCACTATGAGGCACTGTACCAAATCTAAAATACTATTTGTCATTATAAACCTTCTTAAATCCAAATACGGCCTATAATCCTCTAATTTCAAACCACATTCTATTATTCTTTAAGCCAAAACATCATATCGTTCTTCTCTTTAAGATCCTCCAATTAACTCTCCTACTTGTGGTACGAGCATATCCATGGCTCTTACGCATTTCCCATCATCTGCTACTTTCATATAGAAGGCTTTAATTTCCTTAGGGTAATCATAAATGAACACAGGCCTTTGAAATACTTTCTCAGCTAGGAATCTCTCATGCTCACTGTTTAAATCCATACCCCATTAAATTTTATCGTTTTCAAATTTAGCTCCTGCTTATTAAGCTCGCAATAGAATTTCAATTCCTTAAGTGTAGGAACATTTAATAAACTCTTTGCTAACAATATCTTTTAAATAATCAATTAGACCTTGTTTAACTCTCTTATCTAGGAATTCCAAATCATCATAGTTATTTAAGAGTATGTAATTTATACAAAACTTCACATATCCTTCTGCTGCCTCCATATTATCAAATAAATCAGCAAAAGCAAACTCAGGTTCAATCATCCAAAATTCAGCCAGATGTCTATGAGTATGAGCTTTTTCAGCTCTGAAGGTAGGCCCAAAAGTATAAACATTTGACATACTAACACAAAAATTCTAGAGAGTATAATAAAAATACCTCCACTTATAATTAACCAGACACAGTAAGTTTGGTTTCTTTTTTAAAGAAATCTTGTGTGACATCCACTTTGCCATTGATTTATGGAACCTTCTTCAAATCGTTGTCAAATATTGTAGTAACTTTGAACATTTCTCCAGCCCCTTCACAATCGCTACCAGTTATAATTGGCGTATGTATATATAGGCATCCATTATTTTAAAAAAAGATGTGTGTTGCATAAGCCAAGTTATTTCTTATACGTGTAACAGAACCAAAGAAGTTGCTTCTCGGTCTAAGATGAGCCTTCTATCTTAAAGTCTCAGGTTTTTAAGCTCCTTTAGCCATTGGATATTCTTGGGGGTCAGCATATCCAACTATTATAACTTCATGTTTTAAATTATCATCAACTAGCATTTCAATCAATTATCCCTTGGCAGGACTTTAAACTATATTTCCTGTCATCTTTAAGGAGAACCCCACATTAGTCTTAATGATATCTTCAAAGTTCTTTATTTTATCAGAAATTACAATTTGTAACCCTGCAAAACTAGTTCCATCATTTAACTCCACAAAACATAAATTCTTTTAGGCTCTTACAGTTCTAGCCCAACCAGCTATAGTTACTGTTTAGCCGATGTAACTAATCATTTATAAAGAATTGATACCTATCTCCAGCATTTAGTAATTCTTAAATTCTAACAATTGTACCAATATTATATTTTGGTAAATGCTTTTTATATAATTCTTATGGTAAATCCCATTATTTTGGTAGTTTATTCAAACGTTTACTTGTATCAAATTGTGGTGGTTCTACCTTAGAATATAATTACAGTAATGTTTACTTTGAACCCTTCAGGTAGGGGAGGAATATTGATTGGTTTCTCAATTTCCGCAATTAATTTTTCAGTTTTTTTAGGTTGTAAATTAGACAATGCCATCACTTTTGTATGTAGTTCATCTGATTAATGAAATTATTGTTTCATTTTTGTAGATTTCTATGTTAATCAATTTTGTAAAATGAGATTTAGTTTTATAAGAATTACATTATTTTTATGTAAGAATTTTAAGAGTTATAACAGGATTAATCCGAAGATTAAGAAGTAATCAGTTTCTCTTTTCTTGAAATAAAATTACCAAATTCCATATTAAGTCAAAGTTAAGGCATAATCATTGCTTAATATGGTCCAGCATCTATATTCATTGATTAGCATCTTTAAAAATCTTAGGAGGTTGGATAGGTTATTTAAACAACATCCAATCCACTTAAATTGGCTACCATTAAATAGATTGATTAATTATTGGTCATATCGTTTCAAAAGGACATTCGCTATTATTATTACTAAGAATACAATTTGCTTAAAGAATTAGAAAAAAATGGATTTAAACAATAACCCTTATATATACTAATGAATGTTCCGTCCTCTACATTAGAGAGATATTCAGATGAAAATTCTTAATTGCGTCAATTGAATCACAACATTGAGAGCAGTGTCAAATAATTAGAAGATCCAGAAGAATTGGAGGGATATTTTGGAGATTTATTCTACTCTCTGAAAAATCTAAAATCGATTGCATACATTTTAGTATAAGCTAATTATGATACATCACTTGAATTAATTTAGAAATATGATGAAATCAGGAAACATTTACCACAAATTCCAAATAGTGTGAACAAAGAATTCATTAAGGAATCATTGAAAAAGTATGCAAAGAGTTTAAATAGAGATAATGTGCACATTTGAATTGAGTTTTAAGTATTACAACATATACATGTTTTCTGTTTTAAGTTTATTTTGGCTTTTGAGGGATGTTTATATAAAATAAAATATAATCATGCATTTTAAGAGAGAGTTGTTTACATATTTGGGCTTTACTGTTTATTCTACTGGAGTTGATTTGATCTTTATTCCAAAATATAAGGATCTGGCATCACTCTTGGTTTTCGTATTCTATCGCTTTAAAAAATATGTTGAAAAGGGCGAATGGGAGCAGTTTGTATTACATTTTGCTTTAAAAATTGCTTATATTTTGGATTCAAGTAGGGCAATTTATTCTAATCTTAAACTAATGGAATAAAGTACTTAAATACGAGACTGCATTATAAAGTGTGAATGAAGAAATTACGTTGTGATAGTCCTGATCTTTTTCAGGTTTCTTATTTTTATCTACTTTTGGCATGCTAATCTTGGGCGAATGATCTGGCTTGAAATATACAAATAAATCACAAAACTGCTCATATTCTATATCTTTTTGCTTCATTTAGTAATATAAATATGTCAATAGGGTTTCTAACTTGATATGCAAAGGCAACAGCTATCTCTATAATAGAGTGTAGTTATCAGCTACATCAGTGATAGGAGCAGCACTGATCCTCTCGGCTATGCGTCCCAATGCTTCAACGAACTCAATAAAAGTCATTCTTATATTTCTATCTAATGTCAATTCATCCACTTGAGTCATCATTGAGAAATTGTAGATGATGACCTATTGTTTCTCTGATAAATATTCATTAAGATTGAATTATCTGCAGAACTCTTTGAATTCTCTGATTGAAATCCATTTTAATTTGAAATACCACTTTCTATTAGCAATATCAGTGACATAATCATAAAGCTTCTTTACAAATGGCATTTTAATTTACAATAGATGATCACATTCCCGTGTCCACAATCTTTGAGTTCTCCATTCTTAAATAGTGTCAAAGTATTCATACTACTCCTTAAATTCCTTCAGTAGCCTAAAGAGAGCATCGGCATAACTCTTATAAATTTCATTTCTTATATATTTGTCATTGGCAATTCTAAAGAACATTTCCAAAAACTGGTATCTAACTAAAGCTTTTTCAGGATTATAAATAAACTTAGGATCAGTGTTATTCTTTAATGAAACAATATCGATTTCAACATCCTACTATTTTAACAAATCCCCATCAATAATGGCTAATTTATTAACTAGTTTCATGTATTAAGGGATCTATATACAAAACACATCAAAGTTGGGTGGCTGATAACCTAAACTAGAATAAAATTTGTAGACATCCTTCAAAAGCTGATAATTAGATCTGAAATATTCCCTCAATTTTAATTTTTCGTAATCACTTTTAACAAATCTACTAATTTTACTACTATTCCAATCATATTCAAAACACTCATTTAATAATTCCTCAGTATCTCCGATATACGGTCTGAAAATGGAATCTTCCTTATTCCATTTAATGAGATGAGCTTATTTTCTGACTAAAAAGTTGGCAAATCTTCTCAAAACATATTTCTTCTATGATGACCTTGGGAATACCTTAATCAAAGGTTTATAGTTATCTTTGTCATCAATTATGTATTCCTGTCTTGAATATATGTAATTAACAAATTGTATTTTCTTAAAAGCCAATTTAGTTCCATCTTAGAATATGTGAATAGAATGCTTAGGATCTTTGCCTTGGAGTATTAAATTGTCCAAAGGAGCTGGCATAGTCATGACTCTGGGATCAATGAAATATTCTTCCCGAATAGGATTGGAAAAGAAATACAATATTTTCTTCTTTGGAGGACACATTTAATAAGTAGTATAGTAAAACCTACTTAATTCTTAGATCATTTGTTTAGTAATTTCTTCGCTCTTTTTACTAGTTTCCTCAGTGTAGGCTTCTGTTATTGCTGCTAAGGTGATCCTTTTTTCATTGTTGACCAATTATTTCAGTTGGTGTATAATTTCACCAGTCGTCAGATCTTGGTAACTACTTTTTCTTTTAGATGCTTCAATCAATTATTGTCTCAATTCATAACTACTGGTCATTGGGATTGGCTAATAACTAATAGTTAAATATAATAATACTCTAGGAAATCAAGATGGATAAAGATTGGATCCTGATTGCTATCATTTTCTGGATTGTATTGGAATCGATACTCCATCCACCCTTAGCAAATCCAACAACAATCATTCCCAAATACACTATCCCCCTACATTGGAATGTAGTTTACTCCATCTATAACATTTTTTTTTTATTATACTACTTTAAATTCTTCTTTATCATTAGTAAATTGGATGAAGCCATAAGGATCCACCTTTGCAGAACATTTATTGCCTTCAATATGCAATCCATACAACCCGTTATTTTTTAACAAAGCTTGGCTGAATTACCTTAACTGTTTCTCACTCAATTGGTTATATGAAATATCCAAATGGACTAAAGAGAATTGTGAGTTGTTTATTGCTTCACACCAACATTGGATGCAATTACTTCTTTCATTTTATCCTAAATGATTGTAACTAAGATCTAAAACCTTTACTGACCTATTTTATTGTAGGCCTTTTGCTATCATGGTTCCCGTAATGGGACCCAGTTGATTCCAATTCAACACCAAATTTTCAATAAAGCTATTCTACAATAAAAATTAATAAAACACAGTCGAACAAGAGTCAGTAATTTAATTTTCAGATAAATTTAGCCTTTTAATAGTCATGTTTTTTTGTATGTTACTAAGCAATAGAGAACTTCCTTTATCACCTAATAGATTATTTTGTAGATTGAGAGTTTTCAAATTTGAGAATTTCGATATTTGATTAGCAATGATACTTGCTCCTCTTTTGCCCAAAACATTGTTTCCCAAGTTGATCTCTTTTAGTGCTATGGGAAATCCCTCAATCAAATACAATAATGATTTGTCGTCTAATTGATTATTACATAAGAATAGTTATTTGACTGCCCTGCTCTTCACTGACTGCAATAAATTTTTGATCAAAGGAAAATATTTCTCAGTCAATCCAAGATCAGAAAAATGCATTTCTTTGTTATTTACAAGACAATTCGAAAGATCTATTCTTTTTGGGAAAATGTTATCATTGAGACAATAGAAATTTATGGGATCCACATTTTTTTTATTGAAATTTATCGCCAAATCTTTTAACCTATCTTGTCGTTTAATGAAGTAAAAGTATGATTAATCAATTTCCTAATCTATTTATCAAACATAAAATTTACGTAATTTATGCTGAATTTTCTTGATTTCCTATTGTAACTCAATCCCATCAAACCTCGTCGGTTCATCACAGCTGCTTTCCTCGCTTAACATGTCGTAATCTAAATCCTCGTTTTGGCTTTATTCCTTCTAAAATGACTATTAATCCATTTCATTCATATCCTTTGGTTCTTCGTCCCTAATTTACTCGACTTCAGAATCAGTTTTCATCTATTTAAAAGGAGAAAAACTGTGCTTTAACAACCCCAAAGGATAATTCTTCCTTTTAGTTTCCTCTTGATCTGATATTACTGAAGTGCTGTTAATCATCTGTCTCATTTCAATTAGTTTTTCACTGCTCTTCATATAATATGCCATCACATTATTATCGTCAGAAAATTCATTATTATACAGCAATTTAGATGTTTTTAGTTTGCTTTGAATAATTTTATTTTCCGAGATACTTCTATTGGATCGAAAAAAGGATTTAAGTTTCTCTGCTTTCTCCTTTGAATAATCTTTCAATCTAGGAAGCGAGCATTTGGATCTCTCAACGCTATTTTTCATTTGTTTATAAATAATTAATTAACATATGAAAAATGATAATCACAGTAATTATAATGTAGCCTTCAACTTTAAGAGCTTCTATTTTTGAGTCATCTATCTTTCAACCATACTTCTCTTAGACTTGAGAAGTTAAACCATTTGGAAAGGTATTTCCAAAAATTATTTATAATTTGGATGCAAATAAGGGGTTTTAAACATTTCTAATTAATTATAATTTAAGCCTTACTCAAATAAGATAGAGCATTATAAATTCTCAATTCATGGGTTGTACATTCATAATAATCTAACTGGAGCTCAGTGGGTTTAGGTAAAATCTCATTAGAATTATAGCTAAAGTAAATACTAAAACTCTCGAAGTTATTCACTCTTTATATATAATTATAAATACTTAAGAATCCTTAAAGTAACATAGATATGAGTTAGAAGGTTCTCCAATTTAATATGCAATGGGAGGATCAATCTATTGATGGCTGCATTATCAATCTCATTTCCGCTGGGACTAATGAACTCAGCTATCCTTGCCAAGGCTTCTGTAAATTCTACGGTGGACATCCTTAAATGTCTATCTTAAGTCAATTCATCTTGGTGAGTTTGCATTGAGAAATTGTAGATGATTTTTAGTTGATTTTCACTCAAAAATTACTGAAATCCCATTTAGTTGCAAAAGTCTAGAAATTCCGTCAATGCTATCCACTTCAACTTGAATGACCATTTCTTGTTTTTAATTGATGCTGCATAATCATGCAATCTCTAAATGAACCCTTATTTTATGTAAATTAAATTGCCACACTCCTTTGTCCATAAGCGTTCTTCTCTCCACTTTTATTAATTATCAAAGGCTGCAAATCTTTCTGTTAAAACTTAAAATGTTCTGTAAACTTCGTCTACAATCAGTTTAGGCTTCTGTTTCAATCTCGTCACCAACAAAGCTATTCTAAAAATGAATTCTATAAATTGATATCGAACAAATCCTTTCTCTGGATTATATATGAACTTCGAATCACAATTATACTTGATTTACTTCACTTGAGATTACAAATCCTCAAAAGATATGCCCTGTGGTAGTAATTCTTGAGTTAGCTCGTATATTAAATCAATAGGAATATAGAAGGTTTCAACCTGATAGCCATTGTGTTATTTGTTAGCATTATATCCAAAACTTGAATAATACTTATAAATATCCTTTAGTTTTGGATAGTGAAATCTCATAATCTAAAGAACTTTTTCAATTTCCTATTCTGATTTTAAAAAGTGTTAAATGCCCATACAATTCCAATCAAATTGAAAACACTCATCCAAGACATCTTCGGTGTCTCCTTAATAGGATTTAAAGGCTGATTACTCCTTTTACCAATAAATCAAATTAGATTTTTGTTTGGATGCATCAACAGCAAATCTCTTTAAAAAATATTTATTTTCTAAACATCGAGGAATGACTTTTACTAAAGGCTTGTATTAATTCTTTTAATCAATAACAAGCATTTATTTAGTTTGAAAATAATTCACTTGATCCACTTAAGATAATGAGATCTGAGACCCATCAGGATAAAAAAATACTTTCTCTTTGTCCATAATCAATTCAATATTTTCAGCAGTTTACAATTATATTGTTGGAAATCTGGGATTTATAAATATTCCTTTTCCAGTGGGATTGGAAAAAAAGTAAAGTATTTTTTAATTTGGAGGACACATCTAATAAGAAGTGAAAAAGAACTTTGAATTCAATTCAGATAATATTGATTTCATGTCATCCTTCATCTTCTTATCCTCAGTGTAAGCATCATTTATGGCAGTCATAGTAATTATCTTACCAGCACTAAATGCATGCTTTAATTAATGAATTATTTCTCCTGTTGTTATGTCTTCCAAAACAGCATTATTATTGAACTTATTACTTATCTATTTCCATAACTCTTTACTTGTTGTCATAGATATTGGCTTGAAACTAAAATAAATTCCGATATTCTTACTCTAAAAAATCAAGGTGCAAATATATGGAATCAGTTTTAGATTCTTCAGGTTCAGGTTCATAAATAAAATGATACTCCATCCAGCCTTAACAAATCCAACAACAATCAGATCCATTCTCATTTTCGTTTAACATTGGGATGAAGTTAACACCATCGATATTTTAATGCTTTGGTTGCATACTTTACTTTCCTTTGATTTATTAGGGGAATTATATAAACCCTAATGGGTCTACATGAGCCAAACATTTATTTCCTTCAACGTGTAACCCATATAAACGAGAATTCTTCAGAATTGAATAGTTGATTAATTAGAGTTATTTCTCATTAAATTAATTGTAAGAGAGATCTAGGTGAATCAATTCTGTGTAAGTATTGCTCAACAATGAACACCATTCCTTAATACATTCATAGTTATTGTCACCCTATCCAATTTTGTTATAGCTTAAGTCTACTACCCTAATAGATTTGTTGTAATTTAAGCCTTTGGCTATTGATAATCCAACAACGGGGCCCAATTAATTCCAATTCAGACTCAGCACTTAAATGGATTAGTTTTTCATGATGAACTCTTTTAAATCGTTGCAAATTACATCAGAGATTGCATTATCTGATAAATTCAATTTTTTGATTTTCAAACTTGATCTCAATGTCTCTAATACAGTTGCAGTTCCTGTATCCCCTATTTGATTTCCTTTTAAATTCAAGAACCTCAGACTGAGTAATAATTGTATTATACTTTTCAAAGCTTTTCAAATGTTCAGACAGTAGCACTGCACCTCTACGGTTTAATTAATTAAGCGATAAGTTAATGGTTTTGACTTTTAAAGGGAAAACATCAATTAATAACTTTAATGACCATTCATTAATTTTATTTTGACTGATATCAATTGATTTAATATTTTTATCTCGTTTCGAGTTTAATAAATTCCGAATCAATGGAATATATTTTGGAGTCAACCCCAAATCTGATAAATTAATTTCTTTTACATCTTGCTTACTCAGTTCGATTCTTTTAGGAAATAGACTATCATTCAAGCAATAATAATGAATTAAACTCAGATTATCCTTTTGTTAAAAATTTAGAATCAAATCTTTCATTTTTTCTGATTTTTTTATAAAATGATAAAATGAATTATTTAATTCTTGATCTAAGTTTAATGAAAAAATGTTTACTTATTTTATGACTTATCTACTTAAGAGCTTTGCCAGTCTCACCCTCGAGTTTTAAATCAATTTTATTTTCATTTTTCTCCTCATTCTCGTTGTCAGACTTACTAATAGATGAGTCCTTATCCTTGAAATAAGGAGTTTCAGTTTCATTTTATGTATCTGTTTACAAAGGCTAGTTGTTTATAATTGGATGATTAAAGATTTTATTTCTTTAATGCAGTCTTGATTTTCTTTAAAAGCGAGCAGATCTGCTAACTTCATCTTCAAATGAATAAACTTCAGAATTCCTTTCAGATTCTATTTTCTTCGAGAGATCCCTTTATGTTTTAATTATCTATTTGTTTGGACTAATGGAAATACATTTCTCCTATCGAAAGTAAGTTTTTAATTTTTATTTTTTCCTTGCACTATAATCATAGTATAGACTTGGAAGCTGACCTTATTGTTTAGGAGATATCAATTGGCGTTCTAATTTAGAATTAGTCTAATTCATCAGGGAATTGATACTTTTAGAGAATTTTATTTTAATTGTAATAAATTCTTTTAAGCATCTCTAATTATTGAATAATTTGGATAATTATTTAAGAAAACAGTCTAGAACTGACATACTGTACAGATGAAAATACAGATGCAAAATATTATATTTATTTTACAACCACAAAAAAGATGATAAGCATTAATAGAGTATAAGAATATTGACTTACAAATAATGAAAGTTAAAACAATTAAAAATTCGATATTTATAAGATCTATATAAAAATTCAACAATTCTTATGAATTAGAAATAACAGTTACTAGTAACTAATATTCAGAACAATTAGATTGTTGATTCATGTTCTACCATTATTGATACTTTAAAGTAGATTATAAATTATGATTCAAAACTGAATAATAATTATTCCTTAATTTTATTACCTATTCCTCCTTAATAATGTTTTATTTCAAGTTTAAATTCTCGTCATATATATTAAATATAATATGCAAGATATGTTCAAAGTAGATAAAACCATTCTATTTACATGCTTTTTTTATTTGTTTTTATGATTTCTTAAGTAGATAAAATATTTAAATAAGGCTCTATACATTTAGTTTTAAATTATTAGTCTGTATATGTGGAATAAGAGATAGGTTTTGTAGTAGATGTTGAATTAACATTAAAATATTGAATAGTCCTTTTGAAAATATCAATAATCTGAAGTTATCCTTTTATTCTCTATATTAGTATCAGTCAATTAAGTTTTTTTACCAAATCTAACTCATCGATTACTTCGTTCATATTCTCATATTTTGATCAGACTTATACTATCTATAAAGCAATCCCACCTAAGGTTTTGATAAATCTAAAAAATATGGATTGCCATTAATTAATTTTAAATAATTAACCCTCAGGTAGTAACATAGAGATGATTAATTAGAATGTATATATATATAATTTAGAAACATAGTGTAATTTTAAATGTCAAGGAAAATAAGAAAAAGTAACCAACACTAGTAAAAACCTCTCTCAGTATTCTTGTACTCTTTTTTGATACTTTTCAAAATTTTCTTCTGTAACATATAAATTGTAATCCAATATTTCTAAGAAATATTTTTCTATTTCTATAAGTTATTATTTTTTGAGTCCACTAGCCAGCTAATATTTATCAATATTTCTGGGATAGTCATTAAGAATCTTATCAGCGATTATAATAGCCCCAATTAATATTCCAGTACTATTTTCTAAGTTAAGAAAAATTCTTAATTTCTTAGTGATCTGATCAACAAAATAAAAGGCGAGGATAATTGTTTCATCCTCTAGGTTCATCAGATAAATGTTCTTTAATGTTTTACTAATTTTCTAAAATTAATTTGAGATTCTTACTTAATTTGACTTAGGGAATTCGACAGTGTTTTCTATTTTTAGTTTTTCTTATAACTAAAATATTCTGGCCATGATTTTAGATATTTTATTTAGGGCTGAATGAGCCGCAAAGTTTGGAGGAGTGAACATTAAATTTTCTAATAATAATTAATTCTTTCACTTTTTGTTTGTTTTGACTTTAAATAGTGAAAATAATTATACATAATTTAAACGACTATTATTTTCTAAAATTATATGCATATAATAAATTATAAAATTTAAAGAAATATTCCTAAAATTTGATACATATTGGCCAATGACAGTGATAATAGATTAGAGAAATTTAAGTGCAATAAGAATATATAAGTTAAAGAGTGGAATATTTTAAATGAATGGTTTTGTAATTATTTAATAGAATATTTAGATTCATAATTTGATCAGAAGCGTATTCAAGAATCTTGTAAATGCTTTTTCATTTGATGACCTTTGAGTAGTCTCCTTGTTATTGGAGCAGCTATCATTCTCATTTAAGATGCCAATTTAGCAATTTTAAAATAAAATGTGTATTTCAACGATTTATTTATGCTTTTTTAATAAATTGGTATAAATTTAGCTTTTTGTTTATTGTAATTTAGGATGACATTCTAAAGATTATTTTATGGCAAATAGTTTTAAAATTCATAGCCTTTATCAATATCAATAGTTGCAAATTTTATCTATTTGATATGTTCTTCATATTCTAATATAGCTGGATTTGAAAGATTTTTGATAGACCTTAGTTGAATGATTTAGGAACTTGGGTGTTCTGGATTTAAGGTTTGTTCTTTCAATATTGCTATTGATATCTTCCTTTACGCATCTTTATTCTCTATGCTTTGAAGGTTTTATATATTAAATTTTCCGGTAAAATTCGAAGAGGGTTTTCGATAAGCCATTTTCTCAATCTATATATCCGGAGATTGTTCACTAACAGAAGATGATTCTGGCTATTCTATTTTATTATCGCTTTATCTGTGAGTAGAATACTACTTTATTCTCTTGGTTCCACTCATTATTGTTAAAGAGTCATTTTGATTAGATATGATTTCACTTTATTAAAACTATAAGATAGTACTTTAAATACCCTATTTAATTTAAAATAATAGTACTTAGATTTAATTTACTACTTTAAGCTTCTAACGGGCATTTCTATTCAGCTAACTTCTTGGTTAGATTAAGAATTCCTGCATCTTAATTATTTTTTCCAGATTGGGTTTGTATGAGATTATGAAGCAATCACTATTTTAATGATCAAATTTATGGCAGAAATTACACTTCTTGTTTATTAAACTATAATCAGAGAGATATAGTAATTAATCTTATAAAGAGTAGAATATTTCTTTATCTTTCTAATTATTTTAAAGCACCTTCAAAAGATCCTACCTAGAAATTCTATATAATTAACAGAAACTCGTGCTAATTAGTTTAAATTTTTGTGGCAACCCACTTATAAATGAATGCTCTCCCAAAGTATCACCCTCTTTATATTCTTAAACAATTTTCTAGGTTCTTACTTCTACAAGACTGGCAGAGCCTTAATCTATATAATAGCTATATTTTTAGAGATAAAGTCTTACAGATACTAATCTAAATTTAATCCTTCAGAATCATAAATAACATCATTAGGTATAAAACTAACCTATTCAAGCTTATGAATTATTTGAGATTGAGTCTGCTTCGAGAAGTTGCTTACTAACAATTTCATATTTGATAATATTCTAGTCTTAATGTTGATGTTCACATCATCTTTCAATCCATGAGGTAGGTTGTCAATGATTTGTTAAGCCTATTATTACTACTTTGATTGATACTTCAATCTAATTGTTCTTAGATTCATGATCAACTTAATTCTTTAGATAATTTCTAACTCTATTGGATATAGAGTCCTCAACCAAATTGTTCTTCATGTAGGCATTAATTAAGATCAATTACCTTCTTTATAATTAATGACATACTTTACTTGTATAAATTTCTTACATCATAGAGATTCTTTATTATAATTCCAATAGAATTCATTGAATAAGCAAACACAAAGCTACTAATAAACATCGTAAAATTTGAAAACACAATTTCAATAGGATTTGATGCTGTAATGTCACCATATCCAACTGTCACCATAGTCATTGTTGCCCAGTATACAGCATAGTCATATTTTACAAGAGATGATTGATTTTCAAGGGAATACTTCTGGATCCATGAAACTTGGTTTAGTTACTCTCCTAAGACTGCCAAATAATGCCAAAGACAGCCTATGATGTGAACAAAATAATATAATGAGATTATTAAAAATGCTAGATCCAAGACTTCACTTAAGTTACCATTCAAGTATAAATAATCGACAAAATTATTGATTTTTTTATACACAGTGTTTATTATGATGATGATCTAAAATATTGATAAAATTTAAATTATCTGGAAGGATTCTATTCCATTATACATCAAAATCCAAATGAAAAGATTCAAAAAGTCACTTAAGACTTGATTTCTTAAGTAATTATTTATAATCTATCGTCTACTGATAACTAGCTATTTAATAGTAAAATTTGTTACTTCTCCTTGTTGAAGATATGCTTTATTGCAAGTAATTAATCCATCAACCAATAAAAAAATGAATATAAATACTATAGTTTATTAAACACTGGAGCTTTATAATAATTAAAACGAAATAATGAATGGTGAAAACCATAGTATAAAAAAGCTAAATAGAATGCTAAATAAATTCCAATATTTCACAAAATTGTCTTATGGTAAGAAAACTTAGCAGAATAGAAGTTTCTCTATATTATTTATGAGTTTATTTTTTTTTAATTACTTGTCATCTTATGTTACATAATCTAAAAATAAGTAATTTAATAGAGGTTTTTTCTCCTACAACACTTTTTGAGATAAAATATGTGCGTTTTATAATAAATTATCTTTGAATTTCTTTAACATCTACTTATTTAAAACTTGCTTTAATTTACCATCTTGGTTGTTGTCAATCTTAAATAAGCTGTGTTAGATTTATTTTTTACTATTTATTAGAGCAGGTTGCTTAAGTTAAAAAAGTACTGTTACTTGAAATTTGAGAGAAAAAATTTAAGAATTCTTCTAAATGAGCTTAATTTTTTTTTTAGTCTCTTGATTTATGGATCTCATGCTTTCCATATTACTAATTTCACTTTAGAATTGTATATCCGAGTTAGATATAATCTTAGGATCAACATGAGGAGTGGCTCCTTCAATTATAATTTTAGAAGAAAGAATTTCATCATTGTTAGAGTTGTAAAATCTGGACATACTTTAATATAATAATATTTGAAATAATGAAAGCCAAATAATCTAATATTGAGAATTAAAACTATTAATCCATTTATCGAGAAGTAAAACGAAATGTCCAATTCTTAAAATATTAAATTAAGTAAATAAAATCACTATTTTTCTTTTTTTTATATATTCTTCATGACGAATCTTTTTTTTTTTAGATTACTTTGACTTACTAGCTTCTCTAATTTACACAATCGAGCTACTCGATAAAAGAACGTGTATTTATAATTTAAATCCCATTTTTACTATTATTTAATACACCGTTAATTATTTTACGCAATAACGACTGAGATATGATTTTAGGGCAAATAAATTTATGATTTTAAGGCAATATCAATGTCACAAAAGTGAATTTGCAATTGATCTTCAATTAAATCGGAGGTTTAAAATGCATATTTCGTTGTTAATTTCTATGCCTAGGCAACTGGCCCTGAAACGACCACATTTTCTAAATCTAGAATATTTTCAAGATTTTATATTTCTCTAGACTTTTAAAAAACGAACTATTTAGATTGTTGTTTAACAAACTATGATCCTATGGAATTTTATGTGATGAAATTCTCTAATATAATATAATTAAATTAATTTACATTAATCACTTTATTAACGTGCTAATTGTTATAAACTAGATTAATTATTTTTTTTATTTTAGTGGAATTAGCTATCATTTTGATCTTAAGATGTTTTCTCATAATTGTTTTAAGATTACAGATTAAACTCTTGTTTCTGATATTAATTTACTGAAATCAATATGTTCTCATAATCTCCTAAAGAATTGATTTTTTGTCTATCTATTCTAGTGATTTATTTCCTCTCTTATTTCACAAAGTACTCTGACTTAATCAATCTCTCTAAGTCAGGTCTATAGCTAATCTTAGGACAAAACACATTTATGTGAGTAAAGGAAGAACAGATGTTACATTTCTAATTTATAATGCTCATTTCATGACCATGAAGTAACTTATCTTTTATATTATGATAAGTTTCAAAATCGATTGAACTAGTATTCAAAACCTTTAAGAAATCACTTCTAGATATCTTATAGACCTATGTAAAAGACTGACTCACAGCTCTTATTGGTAGAGAACTATTCGTAATAAATTAGTATTAACCAAAACAGTCTCCTGATTTAAATGTTTCCAATTATTTCTTAGTCACACTCTCTTAGATCATCACTTCTCCTTTCTCTATGAAATATCTTTATATTTAATATATAGTCTTACAAAGAATTATCGTTATTGATCTAATTATCAAATAACACATCATTAGGAATACAAGAGCCATATTCCAATTTGTTTGCAGCGGCATATTTAATTTTCTCTGTAAAGATATCAAAAAGTTTAATTTATTTGAGTATCCTCAATCTAATATCTTATTTTAATTCGTCCTAAAGTAAAGGTGGAAACTCATCAATAATATTATGAATCTAACAATAAGATATCTAATGTTACATCTTGTGCATTGGCTTGTTGGTTATTTTCTGCTTAATATTTCAGGAAGTTTCTCACTCTATTTTAAATGGAATCTGAAACAAGATTATTTTTCATATAAGTATTCATTAAGATTAAGTTTTTCCTAAGAATTCTTTTTATACATACTTGTAGAAACTTGAGGACACTTAGATGTTCTTTATGATGATTCCAATCGAATTCATGGAATATGCAAATACTAAGCTACTGATAAACATAGCGAAATTAGAATACAAAATTTCATACTAGTTTCCAGCTGTTACATCACCATATCCAACTGTTACCATTGTCATGGTTGCCCAATACATTGCCGTATTGTACTAAACCCAATGTCCCTTATTTTCAACTGAGTTTTTTATCAGCCAATTGATGCCTTCATTTTCTGTTGCAAATCCTATGTATGTCCAATAACATGCAAATATATGAACACAAAAAAATATGTAATTGATCAAAATGATCAAATCGATCAACTCACTCAAACTGCCACTCATGTATAAACAATCGATATAATTGTTTAAACGATTGTATAATTTAATGATTATAAACACTGTCTAGATCAATGAGAGCAATTGTCTTGCATGCATATCCTCAATATGAGATAGTTAAATTATCCAAATTAAACAATTTATGATATCTCCATAAATATGGCCCTTTATATATTATTGAATTATAATTCTTTTATCTAACATCAGTTCTCCCTATAAAATAATGGCCTTATGACAGATTATAAAAGCATCTATAAAAAAGAATGCGATGAATATGTAAATTACGATTTTGTAGAAGTTATTTTAAAATAAGTCAAATGTAGCTACGAATGATGAAAACCATAATGTTATCGCAATTATTATTATTGCCATCAGATCCCAAATTTTTACAAACAGTTAAGTAGGTAATAAGACTTCAATTTTTAGGCTTAAAATTCCCTAATGAGAATTGATTATTTCTCCATTATTCTACTCCTTTGAGTCATAAGAAAATATATTATTTATAACGTCCTTATTGTAATCGAATATATCTTTTCTCCATATATTTGCTGCCTCTAATAACTTATTCAAAAATTTAGTTTAAACAACCTTTATGGTTTCTTCATTCTGATGGATCACTTTGCGAAAATTGGAAATTTTATTGGCACTTTACTCAATTTTAACAGTTTTCTATGAATTCTAAGTTTACTCAAAATTAACTTTACATTAAATTTCAGTTATCTTCCTGAGGATTCCTTTTTAATTTGTGCTAAAGGCCTTATTAAGCTTGACTATTGCACTGGCCTATTGCTATCTATAACACTTAGTTCGGAATAAAATTAAATTTCGCTATTTGACCCTTATTTAGGATTGATCATATTGGAAGTTTTATCTGGACCTAATTTATCCTTTTCGTAATCATGAGTGTTTTATTTTAATTCAAAATTTAAGAATGACATAATTAAAATAATTAACTAATATTTCATAATTTTATCAAAGATGTTCTCTTATATAAAATTAGACATATGTTGTAATTTAATCAAATTTAGCTGTTGACATTGAGAATAGTTTTTTTTGTCAATGATTAAATTGGTTTTTTTTAAACATATATGAATCGATATTTATTACTTGCTAATGATATTTTTGTGAACTTTGAAAGCTTTTGCTACTTCTGAAACGTACTAATAACATTTTAAACGTTGTTCTAAGGAAAATAAATTTGAAAGCTTTCAATTTTATCCAATTCATAATTGAATGTATGGTATGATTACAAATTCTCCAACTAATTAAAATTCTATTATTTGTTGGTTTTAGTTTGCGAATTATTTGAAGAACTCATTAATTATTGTTATTCATTAATTTAAAGCAATTAATTACTCATATGTCTTTTGGAATATTGATCCTGAGATGAACTGAATAAAGACTTTCTAGTAGGTTTATGAGTAGGCGTTTCGCTATTGTGCCGATTAGTTTTCTATAAAGACTCTAGTTTAACGATTTTTAAATACTTTGTTATTCAATGAAGGGTTGATCTGGATTAGTTATCCATAATGAAATTCGCTTTTTTATTTAATGAGCGACTTCTTCATTATTATATATGTTATTTTAGTGTTCACTGCCTGTTAAATTAGATTCCTGCTTATGTATTGATTCTTAAGAGATAAGAGATAATTCATGTTCTATTTGTTTATTTGATAATTTTTGAGGTTGTTCATGTTCTTCATTTTATTTAAATATTCTCAAATATCTAATTTTCTTTCTTTGAAATTCAGATCTTTCTTATCTAGAATGATACAATTATCGTTTTATTAAGATCTCTTTTTCTGGTTTGTAGGTTAGATAATGGCAATTTGATAACAAATGATCACCATCACAACCAAAACATTTGACTGGTAGATCTTCATATTGAAATATTACCTTATCCTTCATTTCACAATATTTTTCAAAATCTATTGAATTTTCAGAAATAATATCAAGAAACATCTCCCTTGTTATTCTATAAATTGAACTAAATGTAGTACTTATAGCTTTGTATTACCTTTTCTAAGTAGTTAAGAATTCTATTTCACCAAAACATTAGCCTTTAATAAGTTTGGATATAATTTTGCCTGACTTATCATCAATTAACTAGATTTCTCCTTTTTAGATTATGTAAACCGAGTGTTCATCCACAGAGTTTTATTAAAATATGATCTCTCTTGGTGTAAATTGTTAGATGTTCATTCTACAAGCAATTTCTTGAATTGTTGATGATTAGAAGTTCTTTGTGAAGAAGTCAACACATGTGACTGCTCTTATCTATACATCTTCCAATAGTTCTTGCTTTAGATTATATGACAACTTCTCAATGATAGAATTAATCTCAGTGTTATTACCTTTCACTTGTTGTTCATAATAGTATTTCAAATAATTGCGAACTCTGCTCTATAATTACAAGGAAACTTCATTTGAATTCATATACTGATTTATTAAGACTAGATTTCTTTTGTAATATTGTTTTTATAGGTCAATATTTGAGAATATCACTCCAATAGCATTTATTGAGAATGCAAAGACAACACTAGCAAAAAATATCATAATGATTGCACAAATTACTTCATATATGTTTTGAGGAGTGACATCGCCATATCCTACTGTGACCATAGTTGCAGTTGCCCAATAATAAGAGTATCCATATTTATGAAACAAAGGCGAATATTCTAAGTGCTATTATTGGATCCAAGAATTTGAGAATGATTCCTGACTAATGTTTCCTACATAATACCAAATACAGGCCATAAAATGTGCAAAATAGAATATGAGTATTATTAATTATGAGAGACTGACCAATTCTGTAAATGTAGATTAAATTGCAAACATCTCTCCATATCTATTTATGGTCTTTTTCAATTTAATAAAATTAAAAGTGAACTAAATCAAAACTATCACTTCAGGGAAAAATGATATAGCTATGGGATCACCACCAATCACAAGTGTCAAAGTTATTAAATATATTGCATCCTCGTATAATTCATAAATAACATAATGTTTCAATATTCTGAACCTATCATAAACAATTTAACCTTAGTCAATCATGCCTTTATTTAATTTTATAAGCAAATCTGCTGCAAATAGATAGATCAACATATTTTCAATATATGACATCGAAATCATTTTAGGGGGATTGAATGATATTTTAAAGGGAACCCACCACAACAAGAACATTATTTGTATCAATCTCAATAATTGCCAAAAGAGATAAAATTTCCCTGTTGGATTTATGATTGGTATTTTTATACCTTATTAAACATTTTCAACACTTTAATATTGCTCTATTATACCCTGCTCGAATTTTTATTCTTATTAAGTAAATCTAGAATGGTGATGATTTTAATGAATATATTGTTCTTCCAAAAAATGACTCAGCTTTTCATTAGGGTTCCTTGGATGTATGTGTCCCAATTAAAATAATCTCTCTTTAAATTTCAATAATAAATTTTTTTGCTTTATCAGCTACACGAGTTTATTACCTCTGATATTTTACACCTTTTCTAGTGGATTAATTGAGGTTTACTAAAATTAATTTAAATTTCTCTTACATGGTAATTTAGGGATTTTTTAAAATTTCCTCTAGTTTACCTCTATGGCTTCTCTTGAACAATGTCATCGTAAGATTTCTCATAAATAGGACTAAATTCTTAACTTTCTTCCTTATTCTTTTAAATTTGCTTCTAATTCATCTGGATTAATTATGGCTAAAATTTATCAGAATATCTTGATGAACCTAAACTAATAATAATTTCATCATAAACTTATGTTAATTGATCTTGCTGATTCTTGTTAGTCCATCAATTATTATATTTATTTATTACTCTTAAAATTAAAATCATAAATACAATTTTTATTTGATTGACTTATCAATTATTACATAACAATAATCTGATATAATTTAATATAAGTTTTCAATCTTTGTAATGCACATCACACTCAACAAAAAATTTAGTTCATATTAAAATTAAGATCAGACATTCAGATTCGCTTTTAATCGTTAACACAATAGTTTTGTAATTAGATATTAATTTGCATAAATATTCATAAATAATTCATTATGTTATTTGCTATTTCAAAATATGATTCATTCTCGTCATTTACAGGCTCATTTTCTGAATCCTTTAAAAACATAACCACACTTTCCTTCTGTTCTTAGGGTTCTGCACAACTTTTGGTCGATTTGGATTTATCCTAATCAGAAATATCTTATAATTCAATATCATTAGATTTATTTATGTAGATGAGTTGAAGATTACCTTTTATTGCTTCTAAAATTGTCTCTCCCTTAAGTTCACAAATATTATCTAAATAAATTAATTTGAAAGTTGAAGTTTTAAGCTTTTCAGCAATATTATCTTTTTGTTCTTCTTGATTAAGTATAGCTATCTATTTAGTATTCTTGGCTTAAGCAGCGAAGTCAGTAATACTTTCTAGTTTTATTTTCAATTTCAATTTATTAATAGTCTTCTTATCTTATTTCTTGCTTTTCCACTTTTTTGAAATTAATGAAGTTAATTCATTATGATTTGCTTATGGATTCTTCTTTTTCTAATAAATCAATTCCTATTTGTAGAATTCTTTCCAAAGCTATTACCCTTACTTAAGTTTCTTTGCAAATGAGGAAGATTACGCAGTGCATTATTTATATTACAAAACAAAATCTTCATTTTCAGTTTTCTTTATTGTTGAAAGATCATCATCTTACTCTCCTATATCATGAACTGATTAATTATTATTCATATTTAAATTTTACGATTTGGTTTGGATATGTTATCACTCTCGACCTAAATTCTAAAAGGATTTTTTCGTTTTGAAACCTTAAGTATTTGAATTAAAATTTACATTATGAATAGAAAAATAAATTTAGCTAAGTAATTCCTAAATTAATTCAATCATTAAAAAACGAAAAAAATACCTATTCAAAATGTGATTTTGTGTACAAACTTTAAACACTCAGATAACATGATCTACCTTTTTTCCCTTAACCGTCAGTTTATTTATATTTTTACTAATTTTTAAATTTTGAGATTCTGTTAATAACTACTTCGGGAATTATTAGATTCAAATTAAAATATGTGAAAACAGTCATCATTTTTTACTTAGCATTTCAAAAATCAACCATTAATAGGATGAAAATTTGAATGTAAATTATATTGGACAAATAATAATTCAAGTTATTAAAACCTACTTATTTATATAGATGCATTTATTTTAAGTTACGTTACAATTTCAATTCATAAAAATTGATGGGGAAAATGATAAGCGATGACTTGATTTCTATATATATATATAATGATTAAGGTAAGTTAAATAGTTAACAAATTTTTAATATTTCTTATAAAATATATACTCAACAATTAATGAATATGATATACGTTAATTAGGCACAAAAACCTAAATAGTCAATCACCAAAAGATCTTCAAGCGGTACTAATAGATCTCCATTTATTAAAACTCATCAGCAATAACCATAATATGAACCGATTCCCACAAGATAGGAATAAATTTATAAAAAGACTTGTGATGATCTGAGATAGAAGATAAAGACATTTAATTAATTATAAAGATGCAATATAATACTCTTTGGGCCCAGCGGCTCTGGAAAGTCATCATTAATTAGAACATTCAATACTAGTTTAAATTAAACACAAACATTACCAGAAGCATTGTGTATAAAAGATTTATTGCACAATGAAGGGACAAAGCATTTTTAAAGCATTAATTTACTGTAGTCAACTAAAAATTAAATATTTTCGAAAATGAATTCACATTTAATTTAAAATTGTTAAATCAACATTCTCGATACTAGAGGATAGATTCACTTAAGTTCAAAGGAAAACAAATAAGTGGAATTAATGCTCGAAGGAAAAGTTAAAAATATGAGTTTAGTTGAATAAAGGACTTATAGGTATGCCTATAAATTATGGGAGTTCTGGAAATAAGACTGCGAGTTATTCCCTCAAGAAATCATTAGTTGCGGAACCTATATTCCCCATTAAGTCCTTATTGTTTTTGATGGTAGTTTAGATAAGGTTCCTAATGGAAAAGAAGAGACAGAATTTTATTAATAAATTCTAAGTCTTGTCAAATAAAAGGGTTATGACAATCCATTTATAATCTTAACTTAGTTGGATAAATTAGAATATAAATTTAGACATCATGACGATTATTAATTATATGTTGATTACAGAATTGAATCTATAGTCTAATCTCTGAAGATTCCCAGGGAAAGCGTATTTTTTATTGAAAATTATCATGGACAATAACAGAGTTCAGAATTAGATTATCAAGCGCTCAGATTACTATATGAATGTTTATAGTAAGCATCTAAGTATCAGATATAAAATGTAGAATGTAAATTTTTTTGAATGAATAATAGATTTTCATTAATATTGTAAAATGCTCTATAAAAATTGTAATATTTAAATATTTGGACTAATAAGTGCTATAATTATAAATGTATCATTTGGATAATAACCCAGTTCTTATCATATCTACTCTCATAGTCTTCACCTAATTCATAGTTTAATTCAACATGAAATATCTGTAGTAGTTTTTACTGAAATTGAAATCGTTTTGTAGCTTAGTAAATAAATAATATTCCAGTAAACTAAAGTAAAGGACAATGATCACTAAAAGTTGAATGATGCTGAAAATATTTAGATATAATTACAATGAGACTAGACTTAAATTTGAAGTTTATGATAATAAATTCTCAGCATCTAAAGCCCAAATCTCAAAGGACTTCTAAAATATTTCATAAATGATTTGAAATGAAATTTGGTATTGAGCAAGGTCGTCTATTTTGAAATCATCATATCTTTCATCATATGGGTTCAAAGCTTTTATTACTACTTATGATAATAGTATATTGAATTGCTTTAATCCTCTTTTCAAGGCTCCATTTAATATTTCTGGACAGAATTATTCATAGTAGATGTAGGTTGCAGATTCATCTAAAAATTTAATTGATATTAGTACCGTAAGAATAAAAATCGCATAATGTTTCATCAAAAATGCGTTAGATATCACTTATTGTTGTTTAGTATAAGAGAGGGGATGTTACTGCCATATCATCAAGAAATTCTTGGAATCTAAATTATGTTATATTTGGATAAAAGGAGGAATTCAAATAGTTATCGTAAATGAATTTCTTATTATTTGATAATTATATACTTCTTTAAGCAATGTAATGATCCAAAAATAGTTTGTTTGAACTAAAAAATTGTTATCCAAAAAGATTTGCTTTGTTTGTATTTGATTCATCCAAATGAAATAATAAACTAATATAAATAAAACAAGTATGATAGCTAAATAAAATACAAGAGCAATAATAGTCTAAAATGTTAGAGATTAATACATTTAATTAATATTTAGGTAGCATTATAATTTTGGCTTTATTTCTTTTTTAGTTTGCTTTCTCGACTTCAATAATCTCAAAATCTTGTTATCTATGTTTATCTTTATATATACATTATTGTATCTGCGTTTAAAGCATGCATAGATGGTTTTTTGTATCCATATTCTAATTTATATTAATAAGTATTACATTCTTCTTCAAATAGAGCATTTAATTGAGTAAATAGTGTTTGATGTTGCATCATCGCCTTTATTTTATCCTACTTTGGTATATTTGCAACAATATTGTATATCGTATTTACATCGTTTCGGAACTAATATTTAATTACTAATGAAAAGATCGAATTAATAATCAAAACTGAAAATAAGAAGATCATGAACAGTATGAGGTTATCAATAGACTGAGTTTAATAGAGTATGGCTTCATTTATCCTTGAAACAATTGAATCCTACATTAATTGTAGTCCATAAGGAACCATATAGTCTCTAAAATGTAATATAATCGTATTATTTAAATCGATCGTTCCCTTTTCTGAAAAGTTGAATTACAATAAATTAAGTTAATACTAATCGAAGATATCCAAACCACTAACATCCGAGTCATCAATATAAAACCCAGAATAAACCATGGATACAAAGTCGTAATCTGTGTAAATGTTATAAATGAAAAGGTATTCTTCTTCGATTTCTGTTTAAACAAATTATAAAAATTACTCTGTTGTATTAAATTTAGTTGTTGGATTGACAATTAATAAACTTGTCAATTTATTTTCATTCATTAAACCTACATCAATGATGTAATTATATGACTAAACAGTAATTAGTGAAATTTTATACACATGACCCAATAAAGTAACAGAGTTATGTAAGGTTAATGGATTGTAATAATATGAGCAAAAAAAGTAAGTGAAACAAATAAGCAATATTTCTAAAAAAAATAGTAATCTATTTAAGAAAAACAGCAAACTTAACTTGTGACTCCTCTTCGATATTTTATTAATTTCTTCTTTAATAAAAGGATTGTGTTATTCATTTAAACTATATATAGTGTTTGAACCTTGTTCTAGAAAGTCTTCTCTCAATGAGTGACCAATCAACAAAGGCTTAAAATTATTGTCCCTATTGGTAACAAATTCCATATCTAAATAATAGCAGATGGTATTTACCAGAATATTAATAGCCACTTTGGTTTTTCAATGTATAGGCTTCTGATTAAGTAGCCAAAACAACTTCTTGAACAAGGGCTGAAGTATAGGGTTTGAAGGAATTTGTATTTATGAATTACATGTCCTATTTTTCATTGTTATTTGTGGTTTCATCATAGAGTTCCAAACGATTTATCTTAATTATGTAGAATGAGGTTTTGTTAAGAGTTTTATAAAACTTAAGATTAGCATCAACTTTTAACACTTTCTCGAGTACTTACTCTTAGCAATAATGTTCAAATAAATATTCTATTTTAATTTAAATACTTACTGATTTTAGAATATATAAACTTCATTCTTTAATCTTTAACCCATCTATACCTCTAAATAAATTCAAATTTATCAACCCTTATTTTTCCATTGCCATTTCTGAAAATTAGCCTTTTCAAATTTTCCGCGCTATAAAATATATTATTCATTTAAGTATCATATTTATTATAATCTTCCTAAAATTCAGCCTTGTACAAGGGAACTCGTATGTTTAATTTAATATGGCTTAATTTAGTCAATTTTGCAGCTCCGTCAATTTCATTGTCTTCTTCAAGTACTTATTAAAAGATTTAAACTACATTCTATTTTTACTTTTCTTCCAATTCTCTTTTAAAAACCAAGCTTGTAAATTCATGTATTGATTTGTTACTAAATGTTTAGTCGTTTTATCTTCTAAAGGTAAATTTCCTATCTTGAATTCTCTCCCTACTGCCAAATGAACATAATTTCAAACTTAAAATTTTCATGTCGTAAGTAGTAAGGTATTAAGCGAATTCAGTATAGGAAATGGCTTTTGGACATAAAGATAGAAAAGGGAGTTTAAATTCACCGAAAATTTAATAAATAAATTCACTAGATGAATCCATCTCCCATTTTGAATTCAAGATTATGTATTAAGATCGACTTGAAACTTTTCGCAGCATACTAAAATACTCAAATCTGTTTTATTCTAAATTAAACAGGTATTTTAAGTATTTTTGGGCTTTAAAACAATGTCCTTTGCTGTGTTTAACTAATACAGACCTCCTTTTATATAAATTTTCAGATTGCCCAGTTTTGTAGAATAATTTTAAGAAGTAATTATGATTCATTTTAATTATGTCTGGCATTAAGATTTCAACCCTAGCACCTCTGTATTCATTCTAGTGTCTCCCTAACAGTTATAATGATGATTAACTAACGGCAATGATTTCTCCAAATTTATCAACACGAAAGAATAGGTTATTGGAAGAGATGATACAATTAGTTTAATAGTAGACTTTTCCTTAAGTCTCATCTTCGCTTGAAGATCTTTCATCTATTTTCTCATCTTAAAATATTTATTAAGACTTGAGAATTTAATCAGGTAATTCTTTTAATTCTTGGACTTTCAATTTTTTATGGAGGATATATAGTTTAAAAAACAGGTAGAAGAATCTCCATCTAAATCTCATAAACATATTTTATTCATCAATAGGATTGGTAAAATGAATGCTCCTCCAATTGGATTGACAAACTTACATCTCATTTAATATTTCTTAACTTATGTTAATTTAATTTTAAATGGTGATAAATAATCCAAGTTAACCTTTCCAAAAAAAGATCGATAACTCTGTTATTTTTAGAAAAGCTTTAACAAAATCCTTCATTTATTCTTCACATTTCAACATATTCTCAAAAGGTAGTTTGGATCTATAACTTAATGAATTGTTGTCTTTTAATTTATTATTAATAGATAATTTTAACTATATGATTCTCAGTTATTAATTAAAATTGAAATTTGATTTTATCTTCTATATTTATTTGAATGATTCATTAATCAAACTGAATTTGTAGAATAAGATTTCTGCATATAATAATCTTAATTCAGATGAGTTAGGCTCTATTTTCAGTTAAGTTTCAAGCAAGCATTTGGTATAGAATTTCACGAATAAGCCCTTGTATTTTTAGATGTTATGCTTTTTGGTAGTTACGTTAGTGTACTTGGTAAATTTCTTACCGCTGTAATAGATGGCCTTTTGTCTTAAGAAGCATTTCTTGTTGTTTGGATGATTTTGATGTTTAATTATAATGCCCATATAATATACGTTTGAACAGTTTAATTCTCTGAACCAATGTAAAAGCAAGACTCGAATTGACACGTCTTTGCAATTGGCGAACTGATGTTCGAAGTACCACTTTCTGAAACTGTTGTGGACGACAACAAGATTAATAATAATCAAAATTGTGGTTAAAGTGTAAGGATCTTCTATATTAATGAGATATTGGATCAAAAATCCTAAGCTTTGTCCAAAATAAACCAGATTAACTAAGTGAAAGGTTTAATCTATATCATACTTCCCAAAAATGACCATAAAATACTACAATTAAATGTAATTGAGAAAAGATAGTGCAAAACTAATAAGCAAATAAATCATCTAAAATTATTATTATTTGTACATGAGAATTTTGGTTTTTATAAAAGTAACTCGAAAATCCACATTAAACTAATTTAATCCAAGTGGTAAAAATATAGGGTTTAGGTTGTGCGATATTCAAAAAGTCCTATTTATTAAAATTGTCATTAAGCAACAGAAAGTCATGAAAAAAAGTAAAGAAAACTACAAATATTATAACGAACATCGATAGAAATTAAGTTATGTCTTCGGATATCATGACATTATAAGTAGATACCAACAATAGCAGATAACACAGAATCCAGTATAATATTCTTATGGATCTTATAAAAATCTATATAAACTAGATGATTACATTTCCCAGAGTGCTGAACTATATTTGCTCAGCCTTATTATGATTTCTTTTGTAAAGTAATATAATTACAATCAAAGTGACAAATAATGATAAAGCAAATTGGATAATTGATATGATAAATGTAACATCTTGGTAAGAATATATAATATTGCTGACGTCTAGTTAATTGATTAACGACGACAAATTTGAATTGCTCGAATCTCTTGTCTAAGCTATAATCATATAACTAATTAATTAAAATTCTTTTCTTTACTTACTTATGGTAATGGTTGATAAGGAGGATAAAATAATGAATAATAATAAAGGCAATGCTATTTCCATATTTAGAAGCTATCTCTTGTTTGATTTCGAAAATAAATAGAAAAAAAGGGTTCATGAATTTAATATTCTCAAATTAAATTAATTTCAATATAAATCAATCCATCCTTTTATTGGGGATGATAAAACTTTCCACTTTTTCTAAAAAATTTAAAAGAAAATTTTGGAATCAAAATTATGTAATTTAAACTTTAGAATTTAAAACTAATGAAGGTTATTGATGGATTAAGAAATATAATTGCACTCTATACTTGAGTAAAAGAGTCCGAGATGATTTTGGTGATATTTCCTATCATTTTGGTAATACAGAGGAGTCAATGACAAGAAAAAGCAATTGACTCAAATTTGTGATTAATTTATGTATATATAATTTGTAATTATTTTAATAAATAATGTTAAACGAGGCACTTTTAGATATTTTATTCGCGTAATTTGAAGATGTGAATGAAATGAATTAAAGGGATAAGAGCAGCTTGGATTTAAATTTTGCAATGCGATACTTCAAAGACATTTTAGACTGTGATGCATTGATTGCAGGATTCAGACCATAGGGACAATATGAGGAAACAAGTGATGACGAAGAGGAAGAAGAAGAAGCAAGTGAAGTTGAGTAGAAGAGAATTGGGTAAAGGTAGAATCTGAAGATCAATGAACCCAATATATAGAATTTTAACTTGTCCTCTGATACAGATTAAAATTAACATTTGAGAAACTACTCTTAATTGAGAACATTTTTACGTCAAATAGACTTAAGAAATAGTTTGTCATCAGGATAAACCAATAATACTCGTTAGTCCTAAAATGTTAAGTATCCTGTGTATGCATTTTCTGATTTTTATTATGCTGCAAGTGAAGATGTTAAAATGATTTATGATAAAGTAATAAATGACATTCTGTACAAATATAAGAAGAGTAAATCCTTTGATAGTGATTACTACGACTCTTTGATGTAGAATTTTTCTGTTTTGACTGATCAATAAATAAGAGAGCATTTGCAATTAAATAAGGACTCAGAGATTATCTTGGACTCCTTCAAAAAATAGAAGTGTTTGAAGAGTCTAGAGAAAAGACTGTCACTCTATACTAAGTTGTAAAATGAGAGTAAAGATAATTACACAATCCTATGCCAAGAGGAAATAGTTGAGAACCCTTATGGCGGGATTCAGAGTTTCCACAATCCTCTCTTAACATCCAAATACTTCAAAGAGTTGAATGATTTAATCAACAAAAAACACAAGAAGATAAAGTTGGAGGAAGGCATAAATTACAGAAGAGAAATTCAGGAGAGGATGAAAAATTGTGTGTAAAATACCACTACTGATAATAACAATGCGTATCCCTTAGAGGAGAATCGGGAATTTTAATAATAGATTTAAATAGATTAGGATCCCAAAAAAAATCAGATGGAATTGGAAGCATAGATTAGGTAGAAAGACAGTGAAAATTTAAAGAGGTTCTTTACTAATAAATTCAAATTATTTGAGAATGAACAATAAGAACTATTCAATGCAGAAATGTAAAATTAAAAACAACAGAGGATTCTAAACAAGGAATCCTTTTTGTATTAATGTCCCTAATAGGATATTAATGCATTAAAATGTTAAGCCCAGATTGATGAACCAGGAATGGGGTTGATGCAAAGAATTCAGTAGTAATTAGAGGATGAAAAGAAGTTGAATGAATAATAGAATTAGTAAAATCAATAACCAGATGAAAGTTTTAAATAAGTGGAAATCGATAAGAAGGAATAAGAGTTTTAAAAGGCTTTGGACAATTATTCGTATTACAATAAGGAGATTATTGAATTCTGCATGGGTCAGAAAGAGAATTTCTTATCCAAATCGTTCGAAGCCTATAACAGAGTAGAAATTGATCTATAGAATCGATAGTTCTTTAGTGAGAAATTGGAAGTTTTAATGCATTAAAAGAAGTTTCCAGAAAAAATTGGGACACAACAACAATTAGCTAATAGATTGGCTGCCCCATCCATAGTTTCAAGGTAAAAGGATAATAGAAGTGCTGTGTCTCATGTGAATCTACTTAGTGTAGAAGATTAATAAGAGTCTTATGATTTGTCATAGTTTGAGGATGGAATATAATAACAATAGGATTTCAATTAGCAATTTGTCAATGAGGATGGAGGTAACAAAGAATTGCTGAATTTGATTGAGTCTAAAATGAAGGCATTTTAAACTACGCCATTCTACAATCATTCTCAAGTGGCAGAATCCTTTCTCTTGAATGACTTTTCTTAGGTTTTAATAAAACATGCAAGATATCATAGAAATAATATAGTCGACAATTTGTATGAAGAGAAGAGGGAATTTCTGGGATTGGAGAGAGAACAAGTCAAATATTTTGATCCATGGACAACAGAATTGGTTCCATTAGTAAATATCAAGGAATAAAAGAAGGACAATAGGGAGATCTTACTTGAAGAATCAACTGAGAAATAGAATAGTCATGAGTATTATAAACAAGTTGAAAATCTATCATTGTCAAAGGGAAACTTTATATTGATGGAATACATAGAACAAAGACCATTGTTATTGAACAATACTGGAATGTGTTCTAAAGTGACTAGGTATGTTTATCCTAGTAGGGCACTATTGCAATTCAATCAGAAAAGAATCAAAGATGAAGGAGACAATTACAATAACTTTTAAGAGAACAGTCTCCAAGGGACTTATAGAAGTACTTACGGGCAAATGGGATAGATTTCAAATGAGGAAATGACTCTTTGGGAATTCAAAAATATGTTAGTTGAACAATTAGGCAATATTGGTTAAATTCGATTTCTTGATAAGAATGGAACAATCCCACTTCAGGGATAACTAACAGATGAGCGATTCATAGGCATAGCAGTTATAGAGAATGAACTCTACAGAGCTCCCATTTTCAAACAGAAACTGCCAGTCACTGATTTCCTATTGGTGAGAACCAGAGTTGATAATTGTCATTATAAATATACACTCAGACCTATAGATTGTATTTACTTGGTTGGTTAGATTGAACCGAAAGTAGAAATATTCACTCCTCATTCAAGACCTTTGGGAACATTTCTGAAGAACTGTCTAAAAACTTACATTAAGAAATAATTCAAGATGGACTAAGAAGTGAAGCAAGATGAATTGGAATAGATATTCTAAAAGCAAAGTCATACCAATATCAGATCTGCTTTGAAAGAATGTAAAGGGATTTAGGATTCATCAAATCAAAAAACTTGGAGATATCAGAAGGGAAGTAATGACGACATCCAGGTTTTGAAATATGACATAACTGCTAATTAGGTGTGTCTGTATGAATCCATGTTGCATTCATCATATTTATTATAAGAATTTGGGTTGAAGGAACTTAAGAATAGCGATAAGATGAAGAAGACTCTCCAAGAATATTTATCTAGAAACCCTTAGGATTTTAATAGTTGGGTTATTGCTAGGAGGATTGAAGACGAACTAAACATGACTGCATGGTCCTTATCCTAGTCATTTCTGCATTCAGCTAATCAAACCGGAAGGATGTTATTGTATGGAATCGGAGATCCTACATCTGGTCATGGAGGTTTGAATTACATTAAGAAACCGCTTAAAGCAAGAGGTGAGAAAGGACAGAATGCCATCCAAGAGAAGAAACCTTAGGTGATGGGTACTGAAAATGATTTACGTAAGTTGCATGTGGAGGACATTTAAAATATATCTCGAAAATTAGGATTGACTGTATTTATATTAATTTATCATTGTGTAGACTGAACCCAACTTAAAGAGATGGAGAATGATCAATAAGTTAACGGCATTTCTATAGTAATCTTAGAATCCAGATGATAAGGATAGTAGGGATGCTGTCATGTTTAGGAAGAACTTGGAGTTACTGGATGAGAAGTAGAGAAAGTAATTGAATGTGATTGAAAAGTATGCCAAAAATTAGAGATAGACAACCAAAAAGCAGAAGGAGTAGTATCAAAAGGAATTGGATAAACAATTAGCTAAATTGATTTAGAATCTTACAATCAAAGTGTAGGGGAAGTATTTCGAGGATTTTGAAGAAGTAAAGAAGAAGAGAACAAAGAGGGATTTGGATAAGGATGATAAGAATAAGGACTTGGAATACAATGATGAGGATATTAAGCCATTTTTAATTGTGGATTAGGAAAATTATAAATTAAAAATAGAGGCTTTTTAAAAGAAGGAGAAGAAGATATGGTTGGAGAAGAAGAAAAAGAAGGGGTTGTAATGAAGTATATTTTTCACATTTCATTTAAAATGCTTTATTTATTTCAATAATATTAATAATTATGTAAATTGACGAAGTTGTATGGCAGGTCATAAATAGAGGTCATTGCTCATTTAAGATAAAGTAAGAAAAAAAGTAGTATGATTAGAACAATCTCATAGAATTTCTGTAGAAATGAATATAATGTGACTGGGTTATGTTCTAAATAATCCTGTCCATTAGCAAATTCATAATATGCCACAATTAAAGAAGAAAAGGGATTATGTTATCTTTACGTAAAAACAGCAGAAAGAGCATAAAAACCAAAAGAATTGTGGGAGAAGATACTATTATCGAAGAACTATGAATAAGTAAACTTAGAAAATATATAAATTATAGGCATTGGCATAAATAGATGAATAGTTGAAATATTGGAGCAATTTCATAATTCACAAAAATAAGCAAAGATTGACCAAACTAAGACAGATGTTGATAAGAATAAGGAAGATGCGATTGAAGGGATTGTATGAAACAATAATATATAATAGCAAGGAATTGATTCCAATTAAAAAGAAGGCAGAAAGAAGAGATAAGATAAGAGAATAGAAAGCATTGGTGGCTGCCAATTTGGAGAATGCCATAGAATAGGAATTGATAGACAGATTGAAAAATGGAGTATACAATGAGATAATGAATTACAATACTAAGGCTTTTGAGAAGGTCGTTGGTTAGAATTAGGTGGAAGATGAAGAAGAAGTAAATACTAATGAATAATTATTTCTATAGAGAGAACAATAGGAATAGGAAGAGGAGGAGGAAGATTACTCAGATGAGGAATTGATATTTGATCCAAATGATTTAGAGGAAGATGATGAAGAAGATTAGGAGGATGATGATGAAGAGGATGATAAAAGATTGTTTTAGAAATAAACATTTAATTAATTAAGGAGAGATGGTAAGTATTAATAAAAATTGTAGATGATGAAGTGAAGGATGTTAAGAAGAAGAAGCCAAGAGTAAAATTGTAGTATGAGGAGGAAGAAGAAGTGGAAGATAGAAAGAAATAATAAATTGCATTTTGATTTGTTTATATATAATTATTAGTATAAATCTTATATCAAAATACTTTTTCTAGCACATCTTTGAATGATTGTACATTCTATTTAAATAGAGAAGACTGTCTTTTAATTAATGTTTTCTTGGGATTTGGTTATCCTAAATAATTATTTACGTATTATAAATACTTTGATTTTCATGTAATGTTGATGGAGATTTTTGAAGTACTGTATTATGTGCTGACTATTTACTGAAGGGTTCTAATAATATGCAATGCTATTAATATTGATAAAAATTAGTTTCCTTGTAAATATTCAAATGGCAATAATCTCTTGATATCCTTTGAGTATCTAACTCAAGGGTCTATCCCAACCTGTTTTAAAATGCATTCTAAACTGAAGGTACAATACTCATTGAGAGTTTCTGTTCAGTATCTGAGGAGCTGGTTTATTCTGTGTATTCATCAAGTTTTTTGGTTTTCTCGATCAATTTAACAGTGTAAGCTTCCCATGTTTTAAGAGCAATCAATACATTAAGATACTCTGAGAGGATGTTGAAGTTTTGATGTTTGGAAATGTACTCTTCTTAAAAGTAATCTTCATCTAATTATGATTCTTATTTTATGTTATTTTCTCTCATTTTCCTTTTCATTGCTAAATCAAATTGCTTCATTTGTGATCTACCAATTAGTGATCCTGATTTGAATACACTCTCTTTAAAAGCAAATCGAATTGTCTCATAAAGTAGTTCATTAAAGTACACATAACCTTATTTGTTTGATCTGATCCTAAAATTGGATGCACTCTTGGCTGCATCCCATACATTGTCTCCTTCGAGAGCTCCTAGAGGTTCGTGTAAATCTAACAGAAATCGAGCAATAAAACGTGTATGCAATTTGGTTCCTTTAGTTTCATATGTGTATTTGCACCACACATTGCAAAAGTGATCAACATTTTCAACGAATGTTTGGATGGCATTAGTAGAGGCATTGAAGAAATCTAAGATTTAATAATGTGCTATTACTTTCAAACTAATCCACCAAAGCTAATACAAATAGATTCATGATGATGATATTTGAAAATAAATAATATGAAAGAAAGAATGGCAAGGACCATTAAGAACCGCATTAATTGCTGTCACTCTTACAAAAATAGTTTTGAGGAGAACAGTCAATCAACAGAGCTCTCCAATCATCACCTGTCGTGCATTTGAACATCAACAATGCAGAATTAATAAAGTTCTTAAAATTTGCATATTTATCGTCAATAACTGATCCATTTGTAATATGTGAAAACAATTCCTTCCCTATGAGAGCATATGTAGTTTAAGCTATGACTTGAATGTATAAGATTTTAAATAATAAAGGCATCGAAAACAAAAGGACTCTCAATAATCTAAGTAACCCCTTGAATTCTTGAATAATCAAAAGTATACGGATGTCTCGCAAGCAAAACAAAATCCTATAGAATGTGAAGTATTTGTCTGATTAATTAGCTCCTAAGAAGGTAGTGAACCATCCCCAATAATTATCATAGATAAAATCAGCTACAGCTATAAACGAAAGAGACAATTCAATAACTCTCCAATTAGTAGCTTTAAATAGTAACAGTATATATACCAAAATATCTATTTGGACCATAAGCCAATAACTTAATGATTGTATCAAGAGCAAACACGCCTGTCAATACTTAATACGTCTTATTTAGATTTGACATGTATTCATAAGGGGCATCTGAATAGAACAAGCATAACACTATGGTGTTGATACATAAGACGACAATGAAAAATTTGTGATACCATAGACTAAACACAACCTTATAGCATAATCTTCTCAAAGGAGTTTTGGGAGGGTTGCTGTAACCTGGACTTTATTATAATATCAATTCTGAGATTTTCAGAAACTGCGATTGATCACTAGTTAAATATTTATTTTCCAGTTGTTTTGTATACTTTTAAAATTCTGTGAAGAGAACGCCTGTGAGGAATCCCATGAAAAACATTGCTCCAATGAAAATAAACAAAATAAAGAATAAATAGGTAGCCCATTGTGTATTAAGAGGTGTTGGTCCATATTTGGAATCATTTGCATTAAAACATACTTGCATGATCTCTCCCCATCCATCTAAAGATGCAGCCAAGAATAGTGTCAACAACCCATTTAGGATATTTTCGAAGTTGTATGGATGAATTACCCATCTCTTGTTTTGTTGAGAACATTGAAATTCATTCACATAAAAATTCATTAAGTCTTCACAATAACCCATTTTGTTTTAGTATAAATGCATTCCAATGACGTCGAATATTAAAAAAACTAACAAAATAACTCCAATAATGTTCAGAATTTGCACCAAACTCAAACTCATTGCATTTTTTATACCTTGGATGCTTTGAAACATGTTTATCATCATCAAAGGACGTAGATAAACTAAAATACTGATTAATTGTTACTTAGATAAAGTGAGAATTTCAAAAAAGGAGACAGAGTCATAAAGGACAAGTAATAACTAATCAAATATAGGATATCTATAAATCTCCATATGTCTCTGCAGAATGCTCCTTAATCCAATAACATCCCTTGAGAGATAATCTCCAAAATATAAGTAATAGTTATGATTAGATTCACAGCGAATAAGTGATACTCATAGAATGTGTTTAAGTTATTCGTATGTAATGATGGTAAGCTGTCATCAAATGAGATGATGATCATCGTTGCTACAGAAGAGCAAATTGAACTATTCAATACAAATTTGAAAATCACAGATTTCGTTGTTCGATAACAAAACTTTCTAAAATTATTCTCATATTTAAATATGAATAGTGAATATTCACATTCAATATCTTTGTAATACTAGATTTCTAAAGATTTTTATTTACTGAATATATGTTTAACTGTTTCAGGTACTTATTGATAAATGCTCTTCTTGCTATTAAATGTCTATCGTTTTATAAATTGCTATTATTAAATCTTGATATCATTGAGAATATCGTCATTCTCATCCTTCTCATTCTTATATGATGATAAAGTATCTAATTAAGTGCCATTCTGATTGATATTCTCTTGTATCCCTAGTTTCTACAATATTCTCTCTCTCTTCTCCTCATACTAGTTGCCCTTTTCTAATTCAGACGAGAATGCATCCAACAATACTGCACTCACCAAACCATATATCAAATAGTTCAAACCAAACACCATTGTAATATAAAATAGCAATCCAATCCATGTATCGGTGTATTAAGTAGCCACTTTCAACATACCAACTGCATCATCATTTGTAATTGTATTAAATACAGTCATCCACGATTTTCCTATGCTATTAAATGAATGCAATTAAGCTAATCTTTACGTCTCATCAAATTTATTCACAAAAAATTACAATCCCATTATAGCATACATAAAGATAACATAAAACATTAAAAATGTGATATTTATATATGACTTCATTGTTAATTAGGCGATCTTCATTATTCTTACGACAAATTTATTATATTTGATCACCCTATATAACATGAAGGCTTTTGATGCTCTTAACACTTTAATTTCGCTGCTATATTATTCCAACCAATATGGCTAAGTGATTGAAATAAAGTATTATAACAAACACAAAACAATGACAAAGGCATCTAAGTTATTACTAGACTTTTTGCTAAAATCTTTAATTCCATAACCAATGATCTTCAACACTATCTCCCCCAATAATAGGAATGTCATAACTGAATTAATCGAATCAACCAAATCTGAACTCAAATAGCCTTCACTACACAAAATAAAGAAATTAACCATAGTGTACAAATCAAAAATAATTGATACCATTTTCTCCTCCAATAATTTATGCAATTTATATTAGAGAACAATCCAGTAGCCATAAAATCCTTAGATCCAAATATTATAGTCATGTTTATTTAGTGATTTGAGTATAGAAATCAACTTATTTTTTGTTAAATTATTCAAGATGTTGAGCATAGAGATATTGTGTCTTCTTATAAAGCCTTACTCTAATTCTTTTTTCTATTATAATCTAAATTAATTACTCTAATTTGGATATAATGCTCATAATTTTGATCCATCCAATCTAATTTTAAAACTTGATCACCATCTGAGTCCTCGTTATCATCATCCTCATCCAATTCATTAATCTTTCTATTAATCAAAATTGAACAAGCATCATGATTCCACCTTATACCATTTATTGTGATATACGATTACCCTTCCTGCCATTCAGGGAATTCCATAAAGGCATCTGAACTTGCCCTATGCATTTTAGTTTGAGATCTCTGGAAAAACAGTCTTTGCTTTCTTAAATGATCATAGTATGATTTACGAGTAATTGTAGACTTATTAGTAGGAATTTCATTATTTGAATCACCCATATTTAATTCAGATCCAAAGATTCTTCTACTTGATTTAATGGGAAATTTTAATTTCAATTTAGATGTAATATTTTGGTCTTTATTTCTGGTATTTATATCATATTTTATACTATAGAGTCTTTGAATAGAAGGATTTCCATTATCCGAAGACTACAATTATTATGATATTTTCTCTCTTTACTTATCATAGATGTCTAGCATATAATATTATTTCAAATTTTGTCTTTTAACCTTCTCATATTACTCTTTCAACTTTTTCTCTTTCTACATTATCTCTTTGAGTTCACTTATTACATCTCTTTTGGATGTTGAATGGTATGGCGAATACTTCAGATCTAATTTCCATGCCAAGACATCGTTGTATTTTAAACTCATCAGTATCCTTTTGCCCTTTATATCCCCTTATACAGTTTATTCATATTTTGATTATTCAATATTAAAATTTCTTTGAGGTTACAAAATAGCTTTTAAGTTACACTTATCGAAAATGCTTTATTCATTGCTATTAATTATGCCCATCTCTTCATTCTCTCTCTTCAACAACAATTTCTGCTGTCTGGCTGATAAGATCAACCTTTATTACTTTTTCTTCTCCTTTATAGTCTTAGCTCTCCTCACCATTTTTTACAATTTGTTGATTTAACCAAATCCACCTGTGAATTGGGAAATTACTTTCGATTTTTGTATCAATTGACTTCCTTTTGGTGAAAATATTTAATTATCAATTGACTTATTTTAAGAAACATGACTCTGAGAAAGCGATTAGTGAGAGGCTTTCTTGCGTATTTTTTATAATGTTTTTATTTAATTGTACAATCCTATATTTTTTATAAATCTTAGGTTTAATGGTTCTATGTAAGGTTATTTATTTGATAAATCTTCCTTATCCTCTTAATAGTTGGATACAATTTATGAATATTATGTTTTCAAAACAGCAATAATCAGATTAAATGCGAAAAAACCTAAAGGAATATTGCAATTTCATACCTACTATAAAAATGACAAGGACGAAATAAATCCAAGTCATTGGACTTAATGTATACATAGTGTAATACATAACATCAGTCCAATTGTCCATTGTAATTGTACGTATGATTTAAGCAAAGGCAAAAAAGAAATTATCAAAATTAGTAGCAGTGTCTACATTATTCAAAGACTAAAAACATTTCATATTGTTAGGACAATCCACCCAACCACAAATATTTTAATTGAAATCCTAAATCCCTTCCTCAATATAAAAGCATCTATTCAATAATAATTGACTGAATAAATGAACACCAACATTAGCAAAGAATATACAAAAAATCAAGACCACCAAAGATGCTTCCATCATATTCTTTAACGATTCAGTTAATGCCTTCAATGTTTTTTATAATTGCGATGAAATCTTTGCTAACTAAATCAATATTCTCATTGCTCTCAAGGGAGAAAAATCAAATGACAAACTTCCATAAATGTACAACCCAAAGAGAATTAACTATATAAAATGTTTATAATTTTTACATTTACTAAATCATAGCAATTCCAAAATACCTTAAAAAATTAAACTAATCCTAATCCAACTATCTTTATGCCATGCTCTACCACATAAATCCAAAAGAAGACTATTATAATTGAACATTTAATACTTAATGACCATCCATCAAATAATTGTTTGTATTGAGTATAGACATCATCATAAAATTTGGTTATGTATAACACCATATTTATTGATACTAATAAAAGCATTATAAAATTTGACACGATGTTGGTGGTAATTTTATAACAAATCAAAGAAATTGAATTAAAAAATGTTACAATTAACTTTCTTAACCATAGTAATATATATGCATCTTTATAAAATTAATGGTTTAGCCATATTTCTTCCCATCCTTCTACGTGTAATAATTAGAGATTGTAATTGTCATTGTGAGGATCAGACTCATACAATTTCGTAAACTCAGATATAATATCTGGGATTTATAAATTCCTTTAAAATATGATCTCTTCAGGAGTTATTTTTTGATTTTGCCTCTAGATAGGAGTTGGAGTTTGCTCTTGAATATCCTCTCGATCTTCTTCAATCAACTCCTCATCCATATATTCTTGAAGAGTTTTATAAATCTGAAATTGCTTAGCTCTAAAGGTTTTCCTTTTATCAGGACTAATTTCGTTTTGCATACCTCTCGACATAGCTTTTTTATCAATTTCTATCTCTTCATTGATATCCATTTCGTAGCTCTCATCTGAAGCCAACTAAATTTGAATGATGTTATCATGCACATTTTCAAACTTAAAAGTACTCTTTTTTCTCGTTCTAACTTATCAATGTTTTATAACTACTTCCTCTATTGCACATTTGCTCTGGGACTCTTCTGATCATTTTACCATAAATTTCTTGCACTTCTACTTTTTTGTACTACACCTCTGCTGTTTCTCAAATCCTAAGTATTTAAATCACTAAAAACTAAATATTACAAAACAATGTACCCAAATGGCAGCATAAGTGATATTAAATTAAAAATTATTAATATATATAATATTCAGTCTTTCCCTAATCGAGTTGGTGAAACACAATCAGTATTTCTATTTTATAAAAGTCTTTTCATTACAAAATCGACTTACAACTAGACTTTTTCAATAAATGTAATAACTTATTTTTTTTTTGTTAAATCTTCGCTATTAATTAAATTTAATTTTTTTTTTAAATCTGTTGACAAATTATTTAAAAGAACAAAGCTTTATTTCATCAAATCTTCTCTCTATTATAGCTTCATTTGCTATTCCTCTATGCATTTTTTTAACATTTCTACATATCTTTTAGATTAAATTGTATCAGATTCAATTAATTATTACTTAAGATTACTCTAATATGAGTGATAATTTTAGTTTCCGATGTGGCTTCTCTTCTTCTCAATCGATTTCTATGTAGAATTAGTTTAAAAAGTATTAAGAGTCATCTTGCTATTAAAGATTTTCTGGGGGGAAGTCGAGCTTTGCTTCATTTCCTAATTCTCCAGAGTTGCAATCTTCTTTCTTAAGCGTAAATTTTCCTTGGCTATCTCCTATTGTGCCTCAAGCTATCAAAAAAATATCATCTAAGTACCTTTATTTTAAGTTGTATATTCAGACTCTCTAATTGCTTAATCCGATCAAAATTCTGAGTGTCTGTAACATATTTATTGTATTCCTATTATAATTTGCATTCACATAATTATTGCCTATCTGAAACAATAATATCCAAAAGATGCTTTTCAGTTTCTTTTAATTTCAAATTTTCTATTTATTATTCTTATTTTTATAATTACAATTAGAGTTCATTTATCATTGAAACCTTTTCCAATAACTAAAGTTCTAAAGAATGAATTTGTTAGTTAAGACACTCAATCTCCTTATTATCCTTTTTTTCTATAGATCTAGGAGTATGAATTTAGGTTGATTCCTAGCACTACTCATTCTCTTAAACTCCACCTTGTTGTTTTAAAATCAAATTAGAGATTATTTATTTAAAACCTAATAATTCGTTTATATTGGTTTGATTCAAATTAATCTTCTCCTTCATAGTATCCAAATTATTGATAATAAAATTAATTGTATTTTCCACATCTCTTAATTTGTCCTCTTCATTCTAAATAACTAGCTTATCAACAATTGGATCAGTCTATAAGGAGATTGATTTAGTTTTTAAATAAGTTTGTTAAAATTACTCCTTAACTTATCTTGTATTTATTAGCAACAACTTCTCTTATAATTATGAAATAAGTATCTTTGATTAGTTATTCTCCTCACTAAAACTTAAATTTCTAACTTAATACCTTAATTTCTGAAATTTTTGAGTCAATTCGCTTTAATCATTTAGTTGACCATTTAATTCTTGATTCATTGTCTCTAGTTCCTTATATGATTATTCATATAAATTATAATTGTTTTTCAAATTTTAAATTTCTTAACTTTAAAATAATTTAGTATTTTTACTTGAATTATTTGATAATTTAAGTAGTTTCCTTGTCAAATTAAGACATTCTTGTATGTAATTCTAAATTTTGACTTTTTATATCTTAATTTTATTGAGTATAATCTCTAATTTACTTTTCTTATTAGTTGATAATCATATTAAGTGATCTTAGTTCTTCTTCCAACCTGATGTATTTCTATTCAAGACTAGATGAATTTGTTTTCATTTCTAAAATTTACTATTGCGATTTAAAGTGTTATTACTATTCTTAAGTTAATTCATCTTTTTTCTGAGTCAATTCATTCATTAGTTATTGTACCTCATTTACTTTAATATCCAATTATTTTCTTACACTTAGATATATAATTACTTCATTGGGATTTCTTCTTCCATGTACTGAGATTTCAACAATTTAGATTAAACTTCGATTAGACTATCCCTCTGATATCGAAATTTACCCAAATCCTTCTTAGTCTAATTAATTTAATTTTATTATTAGAGTATTATGGCTTTATCATTTTATTACAAAAGCATTAAGTCTTATACCTTATGTTTCAGTTCGTTAACTACTAATCTAAAATAAATTATTATTTTTTACTTGGATTTGTAGAATTTTTTTTATAATTGTGCGTATCTTTCATTTTATGATTAGATGGTATCCTCGAGTTACTAAATAGTTGTTTCATTCTTTTCGATCAATTCATCATACTACAACATTTCTTAAGCATTTTAATTTAGAGTATGCTTCAATAACTACAATTCTACAAGTGTGTGTTAATATTGAAGGGAGTCCTTTTTTTATTATTCCTATTTTTGATTATCTTTTAATTCTGATTCTTCTTATTCTTTTAATAATTAATCATAACTTTCTTGCAATAATTAACTATTTAAATGAGATGGATTACATTTCTGATTGTAAGTGTTTAGTTTATTCATTATCAATTTCTGTTTTAATTTCATCAATATTGATCTGAGAACAATTTAATAATAAACTATTAATTTATTATCTAAATAATGTTTATTGTTATAAAATACTTTTAAGCAGCAACATGATTTCTACTCTCCTTTAGTGACAATTCCAATTTCTGCTTTTTCATTTCTAATTTCTTAATTTGTTCTCCCAATTCTACTCTTAAGTATAATAAAACAGTTTTACATGGTTTCATCTTTCTCAAATATATTGTACTCAAAATCTTAAATTTATTATTTTAGTTGTTATATAGTGTCATCTGCTTTTCTGTTTTATTGTTTCTGTTCATGAATGAGCAATTTCAATTCTGTAATCTCAGTGTTCTTTGCTTAAAGATGCTCATTGTGTTCGACAGCAGCAGTATGTAAATCTTTGATTTCTTCTACCAATTGCTGATTATTCATTCTTAATTCAGTGATTTGATTAAGTAGCAACTATTTTTGTTCTTCTTCAATCAATTGTTTATTAATGGTGTCTCCTAATTCTGTACTCTCATGCATCATAGATTATCTATTGAATTGTATGTTGAAATTGTCTCTATTCTCGAATTGAACTGAATCTTGCATTTCTTATTGCAGATCTATTGAAGTATTTGACATCTCTTCTTCATTTAAAATGAGACTTGATGAAAGTTAATGGTGTACAATCATGTTCATGATAGTTAAAGAAATTTGATATAAAAATGAATTTGTTTAACTTTTATTTAATAAGGTCAGAATGCACCCTTGAGTTATGATTTAACATAATCGGTGAATCTTGGTTAATTTAATAAATCCAAGGCTTGGTGAGCAGCATTCAATTCTTTGTTGTATTCAGCAACGGTGGCGTTGTAAACATCGGTGGCGAAAGCAAAGTCGTCGTTTTCAGCCTACAATTATCCGTTCAATGTATCCAAATCTGCATGTAATTCATCAATCAAATCAAGTGTTTATTCGATTTTGGCTACATATAATTGAAATAAATACTGGCATTAGCTTCGATTTCAGCTGTTTTGACAACTACTGCTCTTTGGAACTCAGCATGTTCTTAGTTCAATTGAATAACTCTTGCTTCGAAATCTTTTTAGGCTTCAGCTTCATCGGCTGTGATTGTGTTAAGTGAATCAACTAATTAAACTCTCAAGTTGTTGAAGGCAACAAGAATCTTTAATAAAATCTATATGATTAATTACTTCTTTAAGAGCTCCTTAATCAGCGAAGTTGGCTTCGACAGCGATTTCAATAAGGGTCTTGATGAATGTTTAGAAAGTGCTATGTCTCTTGAGGCTTTATTAGATTTTTGTCAAATTCTTCTAAACCTTTTAGACTTAGACGAGTGATGGTGCTGATAATTGACTGAGTAAACCGAGTGATTCATCAATGGCACTGATGGCTTCGTTGTGTTCAGCAACTTAAGCTTCAAACTCAGCATGATCATTGGCTCTTTAGACTGTTGCCTCATTAAGTGTTCTTCTGTTTTAAGCGATGTTTTCTTATAATTATTCAAGTTGGGCAGCGAATCTATCTCTTTATGGGATGAGGACATTATCATAGAAATCGTGAGCGTTGAACACCTCTAATGATGATTTTTATCATAGTATTACCTCTCTCTTTATCTTAGATTTCTTATTCAAGTCTTCCTACTTCTCTATTGTGAACATCTGTTCTTCTTTGATATTAATGATGGACTTCTGCTAATTCCTCATCCAATTCATCAATCTAGATAGACACATTATGATACAAGTTTGGCAATTTCTGTGTTGAGTTCTGAAAGGATACCACCTGTTGATAAATGGAGCTCACCAAAATTCAAGATAAAGTTTCCCCATCCTGATTATTTGATTTGGGCAAACATTTTTTAGTCATGACTTGTCCAAACTGAAGCTTTGATATCAATTGCTGTAATGCTAAGAACGAGCAATGTGCAGACTGCTACTTTTAACATATTTTGTTATTATTATTAAAAAAGTCAAAAACGAATACTTCACATTTATATATTGAATAATTAAAATTCTTAATTGCCAACCCTTCATTAATAATAGAAAATTTATTATTTCAAAAATTCTTCTCGAAAAGAACTTATCTAAAACTAAAAATTTAAAATAAAAACTAATTAATTTATTCATAGAATGTCTCATAATATTTATCTATCATTTGTTTCTATTTATTCAAATTCTAACTTAAATCTTTCATTATGTCTACCCCAAGCAACTCTCATACTATCCGAAAATGGGCTACAAACATCTAAGCAACAACCTATTCACCATCTAGATTTACATCATATTGCAATCAAATAAAAAATGCTATGTTTTTGTTTATTTTATAGCTTAAACGCCAATTGTTATTTTATTAATAACTACTAATTATTTATTAATGAATTTGTACAGTCCTTCAAATAAAAAGGCAGTTCATATTAATAAGGAATAATTGATGAATTAAAGGAAAAATGAAATTAAAAGAATAGCGAGCGAAGGCAGACATTTCAGATTCAAAATCAATGAATAAGATGATGAATATTATCTGAATAGAATAATTGCATTAAAAGCAGAAAATGATATAGCCTACAATGATTCAAAGAGACAAGAAATTAGTCACGTATTGCTATACAAATATCAAAATATAGATTGATGAGCAGATTTATAAGGAGTTAAACTTTATTAAAAATTAGATTGAGACTGTTAAAAATGAATTAAAAGTATCAAGTATATTTACATTAAGCTGTGCGACAGTGTTAGTTCAGGCAGAAATAGAAGCAACAATCCTTCCATTATAAGTTCCAAAACCTTAGAAACTATGCATTAAAAATTGTCCCATATATACACGAATAATTCTGTCAATCACACATCCAAAATTAGAAATTTCAGCAATTATGTTATAGAAAAGCAATAGAATCTAAGTCCTAAATCATAATGCGATCAAAAAATATCTAATTCATATATTAAGTGGAAAAATAAAGCTCAATAATAAGGTAGAAAAATTGAGAACAACAATAATGTTAATGTTTAATAGGGCTAATCAAATGATTATCTTTTTTGTCTATTCTCAAGACTGAGTAACTCCTCCATCATTTAATTAATGGGTAAAAATAAAATAAAAGTGAATTAAGAAGATAAATGTCGTAACCAATGCTCCTATAAAACTTATACTTTCAAAAACAACCTCATTACAACATTTAACGAAATAGATAGATTTTATAGTCAAAATAAATTCCAAAAAAACTTCATGATCATTGGTGGTAAGAGCACTTCTAAAAAGAAAATTGTAGAATAATTAATCAGATCTATGATTTTGTAACTATAGTCTAATGTACTATCCATTAAAGTTTCATATGCGATTCATGGATCTATTAGCAAACCAGATGTGTTCAGATAATTACCCTTCAATATGCAAAATCAAGAGGTTGCTTTATATTAACAGGAGTGTCACTTACAAGCTCCTGAAGTTATATTTCATCAGTTGTAGTTATTAATTTAACAATCTCTTACAGATCCCTATTACTACATTAAATAATATTTTCACGATTAACTTCAGATGACTTAAAACCCACAAATCAAAAAAACATTGATGAATCTAATAAATAAGGACATTAGTTGTATCAAAGGCTATAATATACAGTTATCAACTTATAATGAAAAACTGTAATATAATATTCTTACAACTAACTATTTAATCTCAAGCAACAACTACTCAATCTTCACAGGTAATAGTTAAAGTCTTCTTCAAAATGGGCAAGGACATAATTTTATCCTGGAGTGTTTGGAGTAAATGAATAATGATGAAACTGTTCGATTATTTTGCATAAATCCTCTGAGGTACAGAATTAATGATTCCTTACATCTATTAAAAATGATGATTAATTGAGTTAGAATGATTTAACATACATTTTAGTTTTAAAATTATTTCAATTATTCTAACACATGCATTGTTATATGAAGGTATTTATGATAATTAATTTTCGAAAATACATATTTAATAAATATTTCTATTTGATATCATAAATAGATTTGTTTTATTTTTTTATTTATGATTTTAAATCATTTTTAGTAGGAATGTAGAATTATATCTGTAAATTTTATAAGAATCAAATTTGTTAGCATTACCCTTCTTTATCTATTCTATTCTATAAAGTTTGGAATTATTTTTATTAAATTTATAACATATATTTTTAACACTTCATCATTATTTAAGATAATTAATGAAACATTAAAGATTTCTAACTCCAGCCATTCTTATCTAAATAATCAAAATTATCGACAAGTTCCAACTTCGATATTTATAGAACAGGATAACATTAGCTTTGTAGCTTAAAATTGAATTTCTTGCATTATATATTGAATACAAAGAAGATTATCCATTTTTTTAAACCTACTTAGGAGCGAATATCAAGAATGAGAAATAAGATTTTGATGAAATGCTTAAAATAATAAAAGATAGGTTATCCTAATCATTTGACAATTTTAACCAAATAGAATCAAAAAAGAATATTTTCGGATAATTGTAATAAACTAATACTAACTTGAAAATTGTTTAGGAATTGGTATGGCAATATCTTTAATTTGCTCATGATTTATTTAATCAACATAAATGGAATATGTATGATGAACTTAATAAGCATCTTGTATATAGTTATTTGATAGATGATATTGATTATGTTACAAAGAATGAACTTCAATATCCCTCCTTTTGGTTAAAATATGACACTCTTATGATTCCTCCTGCACTAGTTAATTAAAGCGTATATAGTGATATGATTTTCAGCTCCAATAGAGATTAGCAAAAAAAGGTTCTGTCATCATACAATAAAATTTCAAACTAACTAGTGATATATTTATTTGAAATACGAGAACTTTTATCATAATTTGCAAAAGTGAAACTAAAAATTTAAATATTTCCTAGTTTATTGAATTTTAATTTTATTAGAAATGATAATCAAAAACCTTATTACCTTAACACTCAGCATTTTGAAAAGTTTGTAGAATAGAACAGCAAACGTTATAAAGAAACAAGATAAAACATAAACTATTTTGAAAATTATTTAGAGAAAAACAATAAAATATCTTTGAATATTTTTGATTTTTATCCTTATGACTAAATAAGTTCAGGATTGATTTTAGTTCAGGAAAAATATAGAGAACAAAATACAAAGGAATTCTAAGAATATTGGCAGAGTTTATATAAATAAAAATACCCTGTGAAGGGAAATATTGAGAGCCTTTAGATAAAACCTGTTTCCTTTAAGTATCTGCATTCTTTAAATTGTTCTGTGAATTCCAGTTTTGAATTCTTATAGCATATAATAGATCCAGAATCGATGATTTGCAGCTAATGTAAAGAATAGGTTGAAGATTATGGAACCCTCTTTTATGACATCACATTCTATAGGTTCTATCAATGCTTAAAAGGCGTATTGTTAAGTCCCTATTATACGGATATCCCAGGAGTTTACATTTGTCCAATTACATTGAGGTTTATTGGAGCCAAAAAGACTTTTGAGATCGTATCAGAAATTTTGAACTAAAAAGGAGAAGTTTTGCTTGAACTTTACAAATTAAAGTTGAAATTTGAGCCTGAGGAAACAGTTCCTTCTTATTTAGAGGATGACGATGAAGATTATGAAAAAATGAATGAAATAAGAGAAAGAAATTAAGAATAGATTTTAAATTACAATAGTGATGAGGAGCAAACAATATGAATTGAAAATGAATTTGTTTATATTATTATATTAATGTGAACAGATCACTTTCTCTTGAGAGAAGTTTATGAAGCCAATGATCTAACTTGATCTTTAAAGAGTTGTATAACAACATCGATAATAGCGTTTTCCTCTTAAAATAATATAACTTATATACCTTATCTTCTGGCAGTTTCAGAGGCATAGAATTCTCTCTTTTCTTCCAAATCAGCTGTGGCACCGGCAACTGCATTTAAAGAGTCTTTCCATAGTTTAAGAGCCTTGGCTTATTAGGCAAGAACAGCTGGGAGTTACTAAGAAAATTGATTTATCAATTACAGTTTCTAATTTTTCAACAAGGCCTGTTCTTCTTTCATGTTCTGAGTTCAACCATGCAACTTCAGCATTAGTATCTGAAACGTATTTGGCAAGGGCAAAGGCAGCATGGATTTCTTACTCTTAGAGTGTTGCAAGAGTCGATTCTAATTCGGCTTATAAGTCTTATAAGATTTAAAGGACTTATTCTCCAGTGGTTCCATCTCTTTTCACTTCAGCAAGGGATTGGAATTTTTCAAGGGCATCTTATTAGAAAAGGTGACTATATGCAGATAATTTATCAGCAATGGTTTAAGCCTTTTCAACAAGTTCAACTCCAGCGTTGTTTGTGAGAAAACCAGCAACATCTTATTCTAAAAGTTAGACAACACCAATAGCATCAGCATGATCAGCAAGAGACTTGACAAAAAGTCCATTGGCCCAACATCTTTAATCTTAAAGTTAAGCATTTCTTCTTTCAATTTCTGCAAGTCTTGATTCAGCCCATGCTAACCATTAATATCCATCCTAATTATATATTATTAATTAATACTCTAATTTAAGCTTCAACATCACCTCTAACTGCTCCAAGTGCTTCCCATTATTGTTTATTGAGTGAGGCAACATTTGTCAAATCACCAATCACTTAAGCGAAGATTTCTAGAGATATTTCACTATTTACCTTCATCTGTGTTGTTCTTCTTGTCAGCAGCAGCTTAGACATTAACGTTTTCTGTTTTGAGATCTCTCAAAAGATTGTATACTGATTCAACTGCATCATTTCCTCTTGTTCCTGTTTATAGTAAAACAGCGAATTTGTTTGCATCTGCAGCAAATACGGCAGCCACTAAACATATTGTCAAAAGAGCTCTCATTATTTTAATTTTAATATTGTCAAAAACGGGCACATTAATCATGCATTTTATAATTAATCATTTTATATTCATGACAAAATACAGAGTGATATTAATACTTTTGAAAATGCTTACCCTCATTTTTATATTCAAACTTCTTGATCTATACAATTATTCATTAATTTAATAAATTTTCTAATTGGTTTATTATTATGATTATTAAAATAAAATAGCCCAAAGGCTAGGTTTATTCCAAAGAAAATTTTCTTTACTTTTAATAATATGAATTTTTTTTATTTTAATAGAATTCTCGATAACATATTTAAATAATATACAAAACGTTACTATAATATTTATATAATTTTTTAATAGAAATAGAGTTTGGATGAATTATATTGGACTGCTTAATACAGTTATAGAGGCTAAGACAAATGAATTTCCAAATAGAAAGTTTACCTTAATTAAGCTTCTTGGATCTGGCTCGGAAGGAGGAGTATATATTGCAAACGCGTAAGGATGGGGAAATAATTCTAAATAATTTGCGCTTAAGCTACAGAAATAGATGAAAGAAAGTGAGAAGGACTTTATTAAAAATTTAATTCAATACCAAAAGGTTTTTGATTAAGGAAACGATAAAGGTTAGCTTTCTAGTAACATAATCTAAATATATGATTATTTCGAATGGTAGAAATAACATTGTATTATAATGGAAGTTGGCTAAGAGAGTCTATATCATTTTACAAGTTAAAACAAAATACCTGTATAAGAGAAAAATAAAGTTTTGATTCAAGTAAATAGATTTTTAATTCTTAATAGATTACTCTACCAATACTTTTTTTACATAATGCTAAACTAATCCATAGAGATTTAAAACCAGAAAATTACATCAAAGTAGGGGATACTTTTAAGTTGATTGACTTTGGTTTAGTTAGGGGTTCAAACCCTTAGGATATAAAAACAATGTCAGTTGGCTCTTTAGTCTTTTAAGCACCAGAAATGATATAAAATAGCAATAATTATAATGAGAAAATTGACATTTGGTCATTGGCATGCGTTTTTTATGAAGTTTTATCATCTTAAACATTATTTGATGGTATTTATATTTTATAACTTAAGGATAAAATTACCAATAATTAACTTAATAAATCATAAATCATAAATTTCCAGCTAATATTAATAATAAAATCAATTAATTGTAGACTTCAGAAAAAATTAAAAACCTTTTAGTTAACATGCTGTCATATGTGGAAGCCAAGCGACCAACAATCCAATAGGTTTATAATGAATTACAATAATAACTTCCAGAAAAATCTTAAATCTAAATAGCTATTGAAAGAATCTAAATTTTAGAAAACAATTTCAAAAATATAGAATAATAATTTGAGGTTGATGCTTAATAAATTTCAAAAGGTGAATTAGAATTATTTGATAAATTAATACAATCCTTGAAGATTGATTTAAAACAATTAAATAACAAATATTTAGAAATGGACTAAACAATTAAAAATTAATAATAGTTTAATTTAGAATAATAGAATAAAATGGAAACTCTTGTAAATTCTCAGTTACAACAAAAATAAGTATAATTTGATTCTTAAATAAAATAACTTGAAGGAAAATATTCTCAATTAGAAATCAAAATAACAAAATAATTTTTCGATAAAGATTAATAAATAGAACTTTAAAAACAATAAATTTAACAACAAACTAATGAGAAAAAGTAAATGGAAGAAAAATTGAATTTTGCTTAAACTTAATTATAAAATTAATAAAAAGATTTTGAAACTAAGATATAAAATAAATTAAATAACATAGAAAGTTCTATTGCAGAAAAGTTACAATCCAGAGATAAAATAATAGAATCTTTAAAATAATAAGTATTATAATAAACTAATGAGAAAAAATTAATGGAAGAAAAGTTGAATTCTGCTTAAACATAATCATAAAATTAATAACAAGAACTTGAGTCCAAGATTTAAAATAAAATAAGTAATATAGAAAAATCTATTGCAGAAAAGTTAGAATTTAAAGATTAGCTTATAGGATCTTAAAAACATTAAATTTAATAATAATCTAATGAGAATAAGTCATTCGATTAAAGAATAAATGATTATTTAACATAATTATAGAAATAGTAATAAGATTTTGAAATCAAGTTAGAAAAAAATATTTTGAATGTAGCTAGTCAAAAATCCAATTAAGAAGAAACTATATTAAGTCCTAATATCTAAAATTATATAGAAGACAAATTAAAAGACTATTTTTAATAATAAATTTAAGAATATAAAGACCAAGTAGATAACATAAATTCAAATTTGTTAGAAAATTAGAAAAAATAGTTTAATGATCAGTTGTTAAAAATTTAATAGAATGTCACAAATAAAATTCAAGAATGCTAATAATAAAATGGAAATACGATAGAGTACAGAAATTAAGAATTTTATCAAGATTCGCACCCTTAAAATGAAATCAATAATCAAAATAGTGCTAATTAAGAATATAATTTAGAAGAATCGAAGTTAACTAACAATTAAGGATTAAATGAAAACTACTTAAATATTTAACAACAAAACTAAATAGAATTGAATTAACATAATTCTAAAGCTTTAAAGGATAATCATATGGAAAATGAAAAATAAACCACAAATTAAGAAATGATAAGCAATTAAGGATAAATTGAAAACCACTGTTAATAATAATGCCTAGATTAATAATAATAGAGCATATAGGAATCATAAATAAAAGATAATCAAAAATAAAACATAAATGAAATAATGATAAGCAATTAAAGATCTATTGAAAACTACGGTTAATAATAGTGCTTAGAGGAATAATAATCGGATATATCTGAATCAAAAATAAAAGATAATTAAAAGTAAAACACAAATGAGCAAGGGATTAGCAATTAAAGATCAATTGAAAACGATGATTAATAATAATCCTTAGATGAATAATAGTAGAGCATATAGGAATCATAAGTAAAAGAAAATTCACAATAAAACGCAAATGAACTCAGGATAGATAATTAGGAATCGAAGAAAGATGATAATGAAAACATCTTATCTTCTATTAGTTAACATATTTAAAATGATGAAAATGATTCACAAAATTCGCAGGGATTTTTACTAAAGTATTTTAGTTAGTAAGGCTCAATTCTGATCTAAGAGTTATCTTAAATATTCATGCATAATTATCCAAATAATTAGCAATCAACTTAATATTTATAAAACTAAGATGACCTAATTTAATAATAAGAAAATCAATAACTATAACAAATTTCTTAACCTCAAAGTAGCTTATAATAATCATAATCGCAATTATCAAACTTATAAAATATAGAATATGCATAAAATAATCAATAAGAGATTAATGAGACTTATCATTAACATTAATAGAATTTAGATTATAGCACAATAAATGGGTTCAAAATTCACTTTGAAAATTTAAAAAAAGAAATATCACAAAAGGTTAGTGAATAATTCAATATTTTACGAATTGCAGATTTGGAAAACCTAGATAAAATAACAAATCTAAAGAAAGATGTACTAAATTTAACAATTAAATTAGAAAGATTTAAAATAGTATCAACAGAAGAAAAGATATTATTGTTAGAAAAAAATTAAGAAGTAATTAAATAATTTGAAGCTGAATAGTAGTAATTAAAAAAAAAATAATAAAAAGATGGTTAGATCATAAATGAGTTAAATTCATAATTATCAAACTTCAAAACAGAAAATAACTAGCTAAATGAAACTAACAATTCTTTGAAATTAATGTATTAAGAGTTTAAAAGAGATAGCGAGGCTGAAAATGCTGCAAAATAAAAAGAATATGACCAACTAAAAATAAGTTTTGAAATCTTTTAATAAAAAAGTTTGGATGAAAAAGAAGCAAAAAAAATAGAATGTGATCAACTCATACACAAGATTTAATCAGACAATTTGGCTGAAAAGGCTGCAAAATAAAAAGAATATGATCAGCTAAAATTAAGATTTGAAAACCTTTAATAAAAAAGTTTAGATGAAAAACAAGAAAAACAAAAAGAATGTGATCAACTCATACACAAGATTCAATAAGACAGTTTGGCTGAAAGAAAAGCAAATCAAGAAACATATAATAAACTAAAACTCAACCTTCAGAAGGTAGAATAAGAAAGTTTGGATGACAAAAAGGCCAAACAAACGGAAATTGATCTATTGAAAAAAAATATCTCCTAATTTTAAATATAATAAAACACTTTACAAGCAGAACTATATAAGTTAAATTAGGACAAAATTGAAAAAGAAAAAACACTAAATCAATTATCAACAGCTAATAAAAGTATGCATTTAAGCTTGGAATAAGCAAAACAACCTTTGAATCAAGTGAAGGCATTAATTAATTACTTTAAAAATTAAGATAATTTAAAAAAATTTTATGAAAATCAGAATGCTGAATATATGGAATTAATCGAAGCAATAAATCAAAGTTTTTGAATTCATTATTAAAAAGTCATTATAAATTATAAATAATAATAAAGAATTCTATTTTTATTTTATAATTCAAAATTGTTATTAAGTGTATAAATTCACAGTAAAATTTTAATCATTAGGATATTCCTTCATCTTTTATTATGGACTTGAAGTTTCTATAAAAAAATTCATCAAAAATTAATGTCTGCCTTGGAAATAAAAATATAGTTTATTTGATTGATTAAAACTACTATTTGTGTCGTTTATTCCCAAAAAATGTATAAAATATAAAACATATAAACTAAAATGTTAAGAAAGCGATGCAGGGTAATCTAGTATAAAACATTAACAGTTAACAAGAATCAAGTAGAGTAAGATATAAATTATAAACTATTGTTGACATAACATTACCTAAAATGGTTGCTCCTTCTAATTCAAGTTTTGTGTCTGTGGGTAATTAAGTAAAATTTTTTGTTTCATATTACTATGATTTTATTGTTTAGAGAATATAAGCTAAAATTTAGGATAACCCTTTCTAAAGATTCCCATTCATAACTACTGGGCAAATAGTTTTGGAAAGCTCTTTAAATTAATCTGTTTGATAGTCACATAAATTGCCTTCGTTCACATTCTTGTAAAATGTAACGGCATTTTAATCGAATAAATATTGATCTGAACTAAAATCTAAATTTTATTTTGAAAATTCTTCAACTTTATCATAAGCTTTAAATAATACTTAATAAATTCCTTCAATTTCTTGATCTGATAAAAAAAAGTATCTTAATGTTCTTCTATATAAAACTTCTCTTTAAGCATAGATTGTAGGGATATCTACGCCTAAATCGCTAATTTATTAATAGACAATAGCAGTTTTTTCATATTTTTCTAAATATCGTTATATGATAAGAAATATTGACAAAAAAAAAGTTAATTGTAAAATAAAATGGCAAGACGTAATAATTACACAGTTTTTTAAGTCATTATTGTACAGATAAACATTTTTTTGTTCTTTTTTGTTGAGATGTCTAGTCTTGGAGGGATGAGATTATTCCAATTCAATATCAATTGCTTCAATATCAAACTCATAGGTTTTAATTTTTTTAATTTCATTAGTAATAATATTAAGGTGTTTTTACAATCTTTGTTTTTCATCATCTATAATAACAGAATCTAAGCTCATTAAATATAAGAATATCTTATGCATTATGGAAATATAATCTTTGTAATGTGATATTATTACAAGACTTAAAAGGAAGCTAAAAATTAAAAATGGCAACAAAACTGATAGCCATTTTTATTATTCTAAAGCGGATCTCTATAATGTGGCATCTAATACAATTTAATTTAACCCATCAAAAGTTTACTTGATAGTCAAATAATTTTTTGCAGTGAAGTAGAAAAAAGGACTTTCGAATACAACGGCTTTTGTTGTCAGACCTATTTTAAAATCATATTGATAATTGATAAGTATGCTAATTAATGATCTTATTGTGACATTTCTAATTTCACCTTAATATGTATTTTCTAAAAAGTAAATACTAATATTTTGATTGGCTGATAAATGATCTATTTCTTCTCTCTATTAAACTTTATACATGCTATCTCTTAAATGATTAAACATCAATTCGAATGTAGCAAATGGATATGCTGTTAATTGATTATATTGAGAAATATTAATAAAGCCACCAGCTTGTTACTCTCTATAATTGACTTGCGAGAATCGAGAGACATAAAAGGATTCATACGGTTCTACAACATCATACCTAACTGAGAGAATTTGAATATCAAATATAAACTCTTCAAGATTTTCTATCATCACAATAAACTAAAATAAAATTACAATTTAATTATACTATAATGAGACCAATCAAGATGATTGATATGTAAAGGGCAATAAATTTATTCATTTAAATTATTTTCTTGGATTACTTTTCAGATTTCATCAAAACAGATATAATTTCAAACTTTTTATAATATTTTGATTTTTTTATTGCGGTTATTGAAGATGTAGACCCAATTTCATTGATTTCTTCCTCATGAACTATTTTATTCATTTATTTTTTTAAATCATCATCCTAAGAGAATCTAGAACTGTGTATCATTCTATTTTATGATAATGGCTCAAACATATTTTAGATTTTATAATAATCCATCAACTATTATGTACCCATGGCATTCATTTCTGTATTGAATATAATTTGAGGATCCTGCTATATTACACACAAGGAGCCTTCAGGATTGATTCTGTTGTCAGTATCTGAATAAGGAATCATTTTTTCACATGAATAATCTACTTCACTATTAATGTTCATTATTTTTTAGGTAGAACAAGGAAACTGTGAAGTAGAAGTCCTGTAGACGGTTGAAGTTTCTTCTCTTAATTTTCTCGAAATAGGCCTAATATTATCTAATTCAACCATATAACATTAAAATTAATTATGAAATTTCTTTTCAATCTTAATATTTGCATTATAAAAAAAGAATCCTTGTTGGTTATGATAATCCTTTAATAATTTAATTTCTTAATTTAAGAAAATATCTTGGGAGGAGGAAATAATTTGCTAAAAATTTGGTATAATTTTTGATATTGAAGTTTAAGGTTATTTAGTTTCACTAAAAAATAGACTATCCTAAATATCTGAGCTTATATTAATAATTTCTAGTTAATTATCAACAGCCAAATAGGATCGGTATTCTTGACTATCATAAAAGAATAATATAAATGAGAATTTGTCAGTAGTTGTATGATTGATGCTAACCATGATTTAAATGGGTAACATTACCTTATCTTGTATTTTAAGAAAGGCTAGGTTTTATTATTGATAATATTTATTTTTACCATTATTTAGAAAAGATTCTACAAGTTGACGGTGATATGTTATTACATATTCTGGCAAGAAAACGTTAATTTCATTATTTTGATGGGCCTTTGATTAATTAATTTTTAAAGATTCTAAAATAGAGACTGCTTGACTTGATTTTTTGGTTATAAGAACATCCAAATCAGATGTGAGTTCAGTAATGAAATAGGCAGGATTGATACCAAATATTTTATGGTAGATTTATCCTTGAAATGTGTTATATTTGTCATCATCAAAGGCTTTACATTTGTTAATGTTGAATGCTTCTATGTAATCATTCAAGATATTCAGACAAAAGTACTTCAGTAAATTTTGATTAGAAATGGCTTTAAATAATATAATGATAGTTACTTGGAAATTACTCATATCTACTTAAGAGAACATCTTTGAACTATTTGATCTATTTGATGAATTGAATAGCGAATTGAACACTTCCATAATTTTGATTTTGATGTTCCAAGAAATTATTGTAAAATTATATTTTAGCTGTGATGATCTTTTTCATTTGTTGAATAATTTATTGATCTGTGCTTTCATTAAGTACAAAAGACTTTAAAGAGTCTGTTATAATTTTATTATGCTATATATTAGATTCAATATTTTCAGATATTTAAATAAGTACTTAGTTTAGGACTTATTCTTTTAAGAATTCCAACAGTAAAGTGGTAATAGCGGAGAATCTCTACCTATTTTATGGATATATGGACTAATTAAGAGACAGACATCTAATAATGTGCTATTATACTTTAACTAATTATTGATTTTTGAGCAATGTTTAAGCATAATCAATGGCTAGTGAATCTTTAGAACTTTCAACTCTTCCGAAAAACTTTTATTCTAACCTAATTTCAATTAGTTTAAGCACAGTTTAATAATGGTTTTTTGAGTATTCTTTACTTGATACACATATGCAATATGATCTCTTATCACAGGTTTAATAATGACTTCTGCAAAGGATGTATGTGCGTAATTTAGTGGAGGTAGTTTCTGGGTTACTTAGTTCTAATTAAGCAAATTAATATTTTAATTGATGAATTTCAAAATTTTGAATAGAATTTGGCATATAATTATCACAGATGAATAATATTTTAATTAGAATAAGTGAAACTAGTATCCAATAATTGTTACTGATAGTAGTTTAAGTTAACAAGACTTCAAATGATAATACTATGCTAATGGAACTTAGGATTAGAGCAGCTTTGGAATAGATCTGATAAGCATACACTTTCATTTTGCATAATTCAGTTACATAGCTTATTTATATTAAGATGTTTAGGATGCATTGGATTGTGAGAGGAAACATCGTTTATGAGTCTAGGTAATAGAAGAGGAGGATTTAAGATATTTTGAATGTTTTTATTATGTATGAGTATGTTGAAATGTTGATATATAAATTCGACGTTGACTTAAGTGTTAATCCTCTTCTAAATATGAGTTCACCTATAAACATAATACTCAGAGTCTCAATCATTAGTATTGTAGCAATAATAAATTCAACTAGGTTAGAGGAATAACAAAGGCTAATTTCCAAAATGATTGGATAGAATGTTATTGAAACATAATAGACAAAGGTAGAGAATACAGTAGCAATTATCTATCCAATTTAAGATTGAGTGTGATTTGAGTAGTAATTTGTAAATGCCGTGATTGCTGCTATGAGAATTATGATATTTTGCACAAAAACCATGATCCAAAATATTGATTATTTGACAATTGAGTCAGTAATGTATACATATAGTCTAGTAATGAGAGTAATTTTGGTTAGACTGTTATTTAATTGATCTTGTTGAGGTTGCGCATTATAAAATATGAAAGAAGTAGGCTGAATAATTTAATAGAAGAGGATGAGCATATGAATTAACTTTGATGAGTTATATTCTAAGGTAAGGAAGTGAGAGAGCATCAACAATATTTATCTTGTCCAGGGTTTTAAGGTTGAAGGCATATAAATGATTGATATCTTGAGTATAAAAATTAAAAATATTTAAGAAAATTGAATAGCTAATATTTAATAATTAGTTTGGAAGGATGTTAATGATAATTGATATTATTTGTTAATGAAATCAGTTTCTGCTGGCAATGAATTGTGCTGTGGTTGACAATTTTTCACTAATGTGTTCTTAGAGTCTGTCAACTATTTCTTATTGGGCTTCTCTATAAGATAATAACTATAAAATATCATACCTTTCAGCAGTTTAGGTTTCATAGATTTGGGATTAAACAGCATACCATGCTTATTATCCAGCAAGTCTTTCTTCACTGTTTTCTAATTCCAAAGTGTGGAATTCGATCCATGATTAAGCATCTTCAATTGTATCTTTTTATTCTTAGATTTAGACTTCCAATTAAGCTTTTCTTTCAACTAATCTGGTGTGTTCATTAGCCAAATGGACAGAGAATTCAGCCCAATGTGCAGCTTATCTCTCTTCAACATCCTTAATTATTAAGATTTATTATATACAGTCTTGGCTGCTTTCTCGCTGACTAATTATTGTCTAATTTCACTCAAAAGTTAAGCAATCTTAGTCAAAGCTTTTTGGTTGACTCCGTGAGTAGCAAGTTCTGTAAGAGCAGTGATGACTGGCTATAGATGTATTCACTATTTAAATACTTGTAATAAAGCACTGTGACTAGTGTTATCTGAAAGTTTCTTGTGAAGTGTGTCATATTTGCTCTTTAATTAGGCAAATGAGGCACCAAGACTTAAATGTTAGATCAATTTAGCAGCTTCATCAATAGCATCAATAACATCATCGATGGCAGCAACTTTAGCAACAAAGGTTTCATGTTATTAATTTCTTGTGGCTTCTTCTCTAGCATAGGTAGCTTCGTTGTTAGCAATATCTGCAATAGTAACTCTGATGTCTTCTTCTGAGACTGCCAATGCTTCAATAGTATCGTCTCTCAATTAGGTGTTGGAAGCAATTTGATTTTGATGATATAAGATCTCTTTCTCTAAATCTTCAACAATCTGAATATTACACAAATCATTACTCTATTGTTTGTAGTTGTATCAAGTTCAAATGCGTGATCATGATCGTTTTAGTCTTGTACAATACCAGCACCAACACCATTCAACAACATGTTAACTTCATTGGCTGGAGTTTAAGCAAGAAGGTGAGCCTTAATAGCTGACAATACGACATGTCCAAAAGGATCAGCATTAATTTAAGCCAAGCTAGTATGAGTATCAACAAACTTAGCAGCTGTGATAGCAAGAACTAATGCCAAGACGGCTAGTTTTTACATGTAAATTTAATATTGAATTAAAAACGGATCGAATTAACTCATTAAATAACAAAATTTCACTTCTTTATTAATTACCCAATTCAATATTATCTCTAATTAACTACCCTATTTAATTCACTTATCTATTTTCATCTTATCTTATGTCATCAATCTAAATTACCTATAACTAATTAATAATACATACTCCACAGTCCGAATCGTATCTAACATCTTCTATCAACTCTAAATTAGATTAGAACAATTTAGGACTCTAGATTAAACAGCTTATAAATTATATTAAAATGATAGACTACCACAGATAACCATTATGCATAACAGAATTTGGATATTCAAATGAAAAATAGTGATGTCTAAGATGAGATTATGAAAATTTTATTGATAAGTTATTCCAATTTTTAATTAAATAGGTCAAAAGGATTCAAATCATTATTACAAGTGTAAATTAAGACGTAGTTTTCTAAAGATTTTCCATTGAATTTTTGTTAGCCCTCTGATGATATTCAAGATACTGTTCATTTTAACTATCAGAGAATAGTTTCATTAGAGTGTAAATAATTTATAGTTGTATTTCGATGAGTTGGATAACATTGATTAATTAATAGCGATTACATTTGTATATATATTAACGAAATTGAATACTAAATACTATAATATTAATTTGAAATTTTATCAAAATACCAACAATGAACATTAAGCCACGACTTTATGGAGATGCAAATCTAAAAAAGAGACCATCATACTTCGAATTTGAAAACATGGATATTCATTATGGGTATGTTGAAGTGCTATTAATAGACAACTTGACAATTATGAGATTGTCAGGAAAATTGGAAGAGGAAAATATGCAGAGGTTTTCGAAGGAATCAACGTAAATACACTTCAAAAGGTTGTAATCAAAGCCTTGAAACCAAGTATTACTTATTAGATAGTTAATAGTAAGATAGAAGAAGATAAAGAGAGAAATCAAAATATTACAAAATTTGAATGGATAAAACAATGTATTGAAATTACTTGATGTTGTGTTTGATCCAGCCTCAAAGACTACTAGTTTGATTCTTGAGTTCATCAACAACACAGATTACAGAGTGCTATATCCTTAGTTGCAGGATCAGGATGTTCGCTTTTACATGTATGAAATTTTGAAAGTAATTTTAAATCACATTTATAATTAAGGCCCTAGATCATTGTCATAGTATGGGCATAATGCATAGAGACATCAAACCTCATAATATAATGATTGATCATGAAAAGAAGTTATTGAAATTGATTGACTTTGGATTGGCAGAGTTCTATTTCCCCAATAAAAATTATAACTGTAGAGTGGCTTCTCGATATTTCAAATCTCCAGAACTTCTTTTAGACTATTAATATTACGATTATAGTTTAGATATTTGGAGTTTGGGGTGCTTGTTTGCTGGAATAATATTTTAATAAGAGCCATTCTTCCACGGATAGGACAATAATGACCAATTGGATAAAATAGCAAGAGTGTTGGGCACAGACGATTTGATGAATTATCTCTAGAAGTACAACATTTCATTGGGTGCCAACTTTGAGAACGTATTAGGATAACATCCTAAAAAGCCCTTCAGCAAATTTGTGAATGAAGACAATGAATATTTGGCTAAGGCTGATGCAATTGAATTATTACAGAGCATGCTTATCTATGATCACGTAATCATTATCCATATAATTACTAGAATCTAAGAATTACAGCCAAAGAAGCTATGTTGCATCCTTATTTCCAATCAATCAGAAAGAACTCTAAAAGATAATGATAGTTAGAGTCTTAAATTAATATCAAATATAAACACCATTATCATATAGTATTTATTAATTCTGTTCTTATTATGTAATATAATTTTTTAGCAATAAATTTATTAATATAAAAATTATCAGACATCTTCAATAGCCTTTACTTGATTTCAATATCCTTTGCAATGATTATTAAAGAGTGGATAACTCATGAGCGTGACTAATTTATAGTTATACTATAATACCCTCTTGTAAAATTAGTTAATTCTGTCCTTGGTATTGCATTTAGCTTAGCTGTTAGCTATACAATATCCGATTGTGTTATTGAAGGGTTGTTTCGATTTAATCTCTCATTAAATTATATTGATTTGGTGTAATTAAGTTATGGACCAGATTGATAGACTATATCATTTCCCATTCGAGTAATCCCAGTGTTTTGTAATTACAATTCAATGTCTAATTTAGAGTCCCAGTTCTTAAATCTATCTATCTTCTATTTAGCTCTTGTAGGTGAATCTTAAAACGATTGTTTCTATTGAGGTTTATGAATCATTGGAGATGAACTCTAATGAATGCTACTATAAACCACTTAAGTTTATTTACGAGGACTATAACTATAAAACTATTTAATTACTGAAACTCTCCTACAACTAATCCATCTAGACCTCTTTATTTTCTTTCTGGTGATTCTCTAAACAATCGCATCCTTACGGGAGATACATTTGTAGTATTTGCTGCCTTAACTCCCTTATGAAATGAATGATCTGAATTTCCTATTTTGCTTATAGCTGTAGACAAAATTCCAAGCTGATTGCTTTGCTTATAAACTTTGCTTGTGTCTCCTAAATTCATTGAACTTGTATTTAACATTATTTTATTTTATTGCAATTTTAATTTTATTAGTAAATTTATTATTATTAATTTATCAACTATTTATATGAACATTTTTGTTTCATTTTTTTCAGTATTTCAATATGAATCTTGTCTTAAATATATAATAGATTCCTAAATAAAAATAGTGCTAATTTTCCACTTACAAATATTTTTATTCTCAATTAAATTCTTGAATCAAAAAAGATATCGAATTGAAAAACTCAATTATCAATAATTATTGAATTTTTATTTTTAATCATAACCAAAGTAACTTGTATTTAATCTGACAAACAGATTCAATAATAGATTACTTAATTAATATTAATGGTTGCTTTTATCTTGGGTATAATTACTTAAAATTATAAAAATTGCTTAATGATAGATATTGAAGGGCAAGATGTTAATAAATTAAATTTTTGGTAGTAAGTTGAATTAATTAATTATTTATATTATCAGAAGTATATAATGAATATAGGATAGTCAATAAAAATATAAGTATGAATTTGCCTTAATTTAAATACTTGAAATTTAGTGAAAAGTTCATTTTAAAATAAATGGGAAGTATTTCAAACATAATGAATTAGGCTTTAAATAATTCTTTTCTCTTATAAATAATACCAAAATAAAATTGAAATTTTTGGTAATTAATAATATTTGGTCTTTCTGTGATAATTTTAGGTTGAAAGCTGCGTTTTAGAATTATATATATAAAATTACTATTATAATTTATTTAATAATAAATCATTATTGTTGCAATTATTGTTCTGTGAGATTGATTTTGAAAAATTCATTATCAACTCTTTGATTTCTGGAAGCAATGAGCTTAGCCAATTTAACTTTTTTATAATATAACAATCCAGCAATTAACAGAGAGATGCCTACGACAGAACAAATAACAGAAACTACAATAATGACTGTATTCGATTAAGGATCACCTTTGCTAATTGATTTTTTAATTGTTCCCATATTCTCTTAATTAGAATCATCCTAAGAATCAATTTAATTAATTTATTCATCTGTTGTAAATAATACATCAGTATCATTTGAGTTGTTATTACCATTATTATTGTTATTATTATTATTATTGTTATTATTGTTATTATTTCCTGCTGATTAACCTTAACCTGAATTAGTATTTCCATTACTTTAATCGTTTGTATTAGATCCTTATGGAGAAGCTAAAATTAATATATGTAAATTATACCTGAAGTTGGCTCTGTAGATGGGAAATTCAGTTTATCAACAACTGATATGGATGAACTCAATTCTAGAATCTTACCAATTTCAGGTGGTGGATTCAAAAACTCTAATTTACTAGCAAAATCTTCTAAGTTTGTCTTAGAATTGGATGATTATTCAGATCCGATTTCTGCACTATCAACAATACCCCATTCCACTGAAACTTAATAGCTAACACTTTGCTCCAAGAATCTTCTGGTTTATTTTTTTATGCCTATGATAAAATAGTTGTAAGGGTCTCCTCCTAATTATGCTCTAGCATATTATAAGAACTTATCACCATAGAATTCTTCATTAGATAATTCTAATCTAGTGGATATTTAGAGTGTGTTTTTAAGTGCAATTTTAACTCTACAACCTAATTATCCATTTACAACGAAATGGATAGTTCTATTTTCATAGAAATAATTATTGGCTCCACATTGATCAGTCATTTTCAATAGATCATGATGCTTAGAATGAGTTGTTAATCCAGGTTGAATGACTTTGTTATCAACAAATACTTAAATAAATTAGGACACTTAGAATTGCCACATTATAATAACAAAATCTTCGGGACTACCAGCTTCTCTTCTTTTAGACATTTAATACTCTGATGAAGTCGGATTGGTTCCTGCATTGGTCATGTTGATTATGGTATTAGTTGCTATAAGAGCAACGAATTTAGATTCTCTTAAATTCTAAGGTTCTGATCCCAACCAACTCCACTCCATTTAACTATTCATTTCATTAAAGAATTCTCCATCAGTTAATTTAATTGGTGAATACAATCTCTTCCTATAGTCAGGAGCTGTACTCATGAAGCCTAGAGTTGTAATCTTTCTACCAGGACACCAATATCCATTCCATGACTCTTATCTGGTACAATATGTAACATTGGGTCCAAAATAAGTATTATTACCAATACCTTGACCGATTTATCCAAAGAAATGTCCAGTTTAATCTTCGATCAAATAGTTGATTAATCCTGAACAACCAAAAGAACCACAACCACCAAACCATCCTAGTTTTCTCACTTCAAATCCTAATGACTTATATAAAAGGGCTTCAAACTAGCAATTTGTACATGGAGAATTAACTAGGTAATGCTATCCTGACATATCATGTGCTCCTTTGTGTTATCTGAATGCTGC